TTATTATTATTATTATTATTATTATTATTATTATATTACCTTGCAGTAAATTTAATATTAAATTTACTATAAGGTATTACTTTTATTATATAAAGAGCTTTATAAGCTAGTAGCTAAGAGTAAAGCTAGCTCTATAGCTAAACTAAAAGATAAATATAAGCTTTTCTATACCTTTAATAAAATATATAGCTTACTTTATTACTATATAATCTAATAGTTTACTAATACTAAAAAGCTACTTTAACCTAACTATATCTACTCTTATTAGTTTTAAGTTTAAAGTTCTATTAATAATAAACTTATTATTTTAGATCTTATGAAAGTTAAAACAAAAAGTAAGCTTAAAGTTATCAAGAGATTAAATAATAAGTCCTCTTATTAAGAACCCTTACTTTCTAAGTATAAAGAAGCTGCTAAGCATATAGAAGCCTTACCTCTAGTATTACTAAGTTAATTAATAACTACTATACTAAGCCTTCTATTAAGCTTTTTACTATTAATAATACTAACTAACATACTTAGTAGAGCTATAACTACTTAATAAAGCTTTAAAGCTATTATTTGTAAAGATATATATAAAGCTAATACTAAATATTATTATTACTTGTATAAAGTAGTTATTATATTTTAGTATAACTAATATTATTAAAGCTATAGGTATTAAAGTTATTAATCTTATAAGTAATATACTACTAAGCTTATTATAATACTTTCTTACCCTTATAAAAACTCTATTATGGGTAAAAAATTAATCTATATAGTTAGATACTATATAAGATATACTTAATAATTTGCTATATTAGTATAATATTAATCTTAACCTTAAGTTTAAAAGTATATTAGATTAACTTATTAATAAGGAGGAGTCTAGTTAGGCTTAAGATAATAAAGAGCTAGCTAAACTATATAAAATTAAGTACTAAAACTAGCTAAGTTATTAATTTAAATATTATATTTATTTATAGCTACTAGAAGTTATATAATGTAATAGGGTTTTAATTAAAATAATAAAAACTAACTACTAAGCTTTAAATTATTTAAATCTAAGGAGTTTTTAAATTATTTAATAACTTAGTAAAACTTTAGCTAATCCTCTAGTTAATTTAGGCTAATTAGAGACCTCTATTTTAACTGCGCTAGTTAGCGTTTCGCTGGTCTTCAGAGGGCTACGCCTCACCTAGCCACAGAGAGGTGTGCTGATTAGCCAGAGGGGTGCGCCGAATATCCTGCCCCTATTTGAACATAGTCCAAGGTAAGCTTCCTTCTCAGACGCGAGGGTACTCTCGGTAAGAAGACGCAGTCTCAAATCCCAGCAAATTCAAAGTTGTTTGGTTTCTTTTCAGTCTTCGTTTGGCACATGGGCAAAGACTGACGTACTCACGTAGTGCTAAATTACTTCACCACGGGAGGTTCACAATCGGACGTGACTCCGGGGCGTCATCCACCGGGACCCTCACCGCCCAGCGGGCCGAGAGTAGTTCTGCGTATGCCCACTCCAGGGATATCATAGCCTTCTCTAGATTGAGATGTTCTGGGCTTTACAAGTGACTAGTCGTGACATTCCCATGGCTCTAGGCACCTACGTTGGCCATCCCTGCCAACTTTTTCCCTATGAGGCGATGGTTTCGATATCCTATCCACATGATGTTGGGCTCCCTTTGCCTTTCGATAACTCTAGTCACATATCTTCTATCTCAACACCTTATCGTATTTGAGCAGCAGCCGACACAACCGGAAGGAAGCTCCGTGTCGTCTTCAGTGGGTTAAGATCCTTCTAAACCGGGGTCAAAACTCTAAAGCACCCTGGCATCTATTGATATCCCTCGAAGGATGTGGCTTCATTCTGATCCTTCGCCAGCATCTAGATGGTCGAGAAAAAGCCTTGTATCTTCAACTGAATCCACCGAAACTCGTGAAGGTCTGGAAATGGCCCAATTCAAGTGGATCACCACATCTGCTTCAGGCAAATGCCGGTGGAAGCAGCCGCAAAGCCACCGTCGCTGGGGCTAAGCTGCCGCTTCTATGGCCGTGATTACCATTTACAGCTTCTCCGTGGAGTTATTGTAAGCCAAATTCGTGGGTGTCATATGTGTCGTATATAACAGGCCCTTCATCCCGCCCAGCTCAACTCTCCTCATCACAGCTCTACGTCCCCCAACTAAGCCTTCACGTTTCAAGACTTTACTCATCAAAATCAGTCAATATGCGTGCCTCTTCATTCATTGCTCTCCTTTCCGCGACCTTCGCCGCCGCCGCTCCCAGCCCAGCTCCCTCCGGCGATGCTGAGTCTTACGTTCTCGCCGGCCCGCTCCCCTTTGAGGAGCTCAAGGCTGAGGTCGCCAAGCTCAAGTCCGACGACGAGTCCAACGTCGCCCGTAGCTTGAACAAGCGTATTTGTGAGGGCGTATACATGTGCGACCTCGACAACTTCGGCGGCGAATGTTACTACGGATGCTACCCCATTAGCGTCGCTATATACCCTGACTCTTACTGGGTTTCCCGTATTAGTTCGGTTGGACCTGATTCAGGCGGGTGGTGCGATTTCTATGGGTATGTTTAATGCTATATCTCTATAAAAAGTCCACTGTTTGGCTATGTAAGTTCTAACATCTCACAATACAGCGGCAACGCATGTGAGGCAACTCGCTTCTCTCACCAGATCTTCAGAAACCCCGGCGGCAACTTGGCCGCTGGCATCAGCAACAACATGGGATGCTTCTACTGCAACCCCAACTAAATGATGGACGTGGAAAGGACTCGGACGGAAGCTCATGTTCTCGGGTCTTGTGGTGTCATGACTTCTGCGGCTTCATGTTCACTGTACATATTGTGTCTCTCACAGAAACAACCATCTCCGATGCACCGTGTCCAACAGTGACCGAGTTTGTGAACTGACCATTTGATGTTTGCGGACCAGCGTTCATTTCATCTTGCAGGGCCCAAAGTCGCTGGAAGCAGATATTTCAGAGGATGAAAAATGTCGAATAATCAGCAGGTTCTTGAACGCTTATTCAGAGTTCGTCGGTGCCGAGTGAGTTGCTAGTGTGGCTGGTTACAGCGCTGACTCTCTCTCCTTGATCCCTGTGTGCAGCAGCCAATGGCGTCCACATCTCCATCCAGAAGAAGAAATCGGCTCCTGCGGCGCACTTCCTGTGCTACGTCAAACTTCGGATAACTTTGAGACTTTGGCGAAGTTATTCGCATCTCGACTAACACAAGCGATCCTAGGGCTTGAGCGCTGAACATGGGGGGTTCCATGGCCCGGCAGAGGCCTGGTAGTTGCTGTCTCCGAACCCTGTCCGTGCCGCGTATCATCCGCCCAGAGAGCCTGTTGCGAACGTGGCAATCTGAGCCCTGCAGAGAACGCACTAAAGATGTGCCGTGAAGGTGTATTCTTCTGCAACCCCTATCTGCTGAGGTCCTCATTCGCACGTCAGGTTCGCAGCTCCACCCCAATTCTTCACGGTGAGGGGGCGCATGCATGTTGGGTGTGCGCAGGGTACCATTGGGCCGAGAGCAGGGGTCTTACTTGGACCGCTGCATGGTCTGATCGAAAAGCCGTCACAAAAGCCGTGATTGCCCCGCGTCCTTATTCTGACAGGTTTCCGGGAACCGGGTTTCTTCTTCTTCCTCTTCGTCATCTCCGTCATTTTCATCGTCAAGCGTCAGTCGAATTGGCCAGCGTGTGCAAGATCTGAGCAATGTCTGCAGCAACACCCAGCAACCCAGGTTCGCCTGACTCGCCAAACCGCGAACCTGTAGCAGCAGACGCTGGCGTCCAGCCTGAAGTCCAGCCGGAAAACAACCCTGAAAATGTGCTCACCGCCGACGACACCGAGGAGGAAGAGGGCCAGTCGGTAGACGGAAGAGTACGCTTCACCTCGAATCTTTGGGAGTCGCACGTCCTGAGCATCTTGGCGTCGAAGACGACTTTCGCCCAGTTCACTAACAAATAGTCTTGCAGAGTCTCGCTCCATCAACTGAGAGTCTCCGTCCATCCTTATTCGACTACCGCCAGGAAAATGGCAGGACCTACCATCGGTACAAAGATGGAAGTACGTTTAAATGGAATCAGCCGACATAGCTTGCACTGACAATGGTCTTAGAATACATTTTCCCCAACGACGAGCGGGAGAGCGACAGACTGGGTGAGACGAGTGGAAAGAAGACCATTCGGTGTTGTGCTAATGTAGAGATCAGATATGGAGTTTCAAATCTGGATGATTTCGCTTGATGACAGGCTTGGAGTTGCTCCACCTTGCCTGGGAAGCTCCAAACCCACCCGAGTTCTTGATATCGGGACTGGCACGGGTATTTGGGCCATGCACTTCGGAGACGAACATCCTGAGGCCGAGGTACGTTGGATTCCAGCTCTATACGTGGTGTTTACTAAACGGCGTCTCAGGTCATTGGTACCGATCTGTCCCCAATTCAACCGGGCTTGTACGTGCTGCGCCGGAGCCGCTTCCATGACTAAACAAAGAGCTGACCATGTTCAGTGTGCCTCCAAACGTCAAGTTCGAGATTGACGACCTCGAGGATGAGTGGACTTATTCTCTGCCGTTCGACTACATCCACAGCCGAGTCATGACATCGAGCATCGGGGATTGGTCGGTGTATCTGCGTAAATGCTATGAGTGAGTCTCGTGCCACCTAAACTCCAGGTCTACGCACATGATTAACCAAAGATGGAAAGAAACCTGAAGCCTGGTGGTTACGTCGAACTGCAAGAGATTGACCTCTTCGCCACATCCGACGACGGAACCCTCAAGCCAGAGAGCGCCTTGATGAGATGGTGTAACCTGCTCATGGAGGCGTCAGAGAAGTTCGGCCGCCCCTTCGTCCGAGGCCCTACGCTCAAGGACATCATGTCAGCCGCGGGCTTCGTTGATGTCAGCATCACGGTGCTGAAGTGGCCTACCAACTCTTGGCCAAAGGACCCTAAGTACAAGGAGATCGGCATCTGGGAGAATGCGAACATGTTGGAAGGGCTGGAGGGATTCTCAATGGCGGCGTTGACCCGTGGCCATAACTGGAGTAGGATCGAGGTTGAAGTCTTCCTTGCGGAAGTCCGCAAGGACTTTAACGACAAGAGTATCCATGCGTACTGGCCCGCGTAAGTCTCCCCTACTGAAACCCCTGAGAAGATGTCGCGTCTAATGACTTTAGGTACTGCATTGTTGGCCGCAAGCCCGAAACTGTTTGAGAGGTCCACCATGGTGTTGGGGTATGATTACATGAAAAGAGAAAACGCTTGTGTTGATTTCTATACCATTCAGTATCAAACTCGTTGCAGATTCTTTATCAAAGAGCATTGCAAGACAGTGCATCGTGTCTTTCTTCGATTGTTATTAAAATTCTCACCTGAAAATGAACCGCTAGCCCTCAAACATTGTTGAAACCCAATAGAGCAAGCTCACTGAGATGCAGACAAATCCTTCAGGATTTTCCTCCCCCTCAAAACATCGACCTCATGAGAAGGTTCCCTAGCCGTCTCCGCGATACCATCATCAATCCACTGCTTGACCGCCGGATGCTCCAACAACCTCTCCACATACGCCTTGGCCTCAGGATCCTTCAGCGGAAGCCCAAACGTCTGAATCCTCGTCGCGACCGGCGCGAAGAAGGCATCTGCCGCAGAGAACTCCTTACCCGCCACCCACGGCCCCCCAAACTTCTTCAGACCCTCCGTCCATACCTGCTCCAGACGGTCGAGGTTGCGTTGCACGTCAGCATCGAGCGGGCCGCTCTCGATGCGCAGCGCGACGTTCATGGAGTACTGGTCGCGCAGGGCCTCGTAGCCGGTGTGCATCTCCGCAGCGGCGCTGCGCGCGTATGTGCGGGCGGCCTTGGACTCTTGCGGCCAGACGCCGGGGTGGGATTCGGCGACGTATTCGGCGATCGCGAGGGAATCCCAGACAGTGATGTCGCCGTCAACAAGAGTGGGCACCTTGCCGGAGGGGGAGAAGGAGAGGAAGGCTGGTTGGCGGTAGCCGGGACTGAACAATTGCAGGCGCTCTTCAAAGGGGATGTCGAGGGCTCTGAGGAGGACCCAGGGCCTCATGGACCAGCTGGAATAGCGCTTGTTGGCGATGTAGAGTTCGAGAACCATTTTGTTGATTCTTGTGTACTCAATTGAATGTAAATAAAAGGATTACTGTGGGTGAAACTGATGATGACAATACTGAAGAGTCTAAAACTGGTCAATCATGAGGTTCATATGTGCAGCTCGCGCTTGCGAATTGACTCATCGACGATGTCTCGTTTGCGACCGTTGCGCCCTACTGTTGAGGGTTTCATGCGGGCGGGTCTTCCCGACATTTGCAGGCATGAACGCTAGTTCACGAAGATGACCAATCCAGCCTCAATCTGATCGCATTTGGGGTGGCTGCAGCATCAGCTGAAAGTTGCAGTCATGGATGAGGGCCATATCTGCACACCGACTTCTATGGCACACGGGAAGATGTGGGGAGCGGGTTATCGCAAAGAGGTCATGTCATGGAAGGGCGCTGCGCTAGAAACAACAAATGGGGCTTCTGTGCTTTGGCGCCAAGAGCCTAAGATGCAGTGACGGAAAATGGGCCAGAAACGACCAAGCTTCGCTAATAGGCCAGCATCCACAGCGTACAACCGAGGCGACGAGCCAATCCGGCCCATTCATGCGTTTGCGAAGGCTATCATCGGACTCTTTAATTCCCTTGGGCCGGCGTCAAGGCCCGAGTGGATGTCGATATGGCCGATATAACATGGTGCTGCGAGCTTCGCTGAAGAAAAGACGACGCATAATGAAGGTGAGGATACAGCTCTGAATTTGGGCGATGAAGAACACGCTGGCAGTTGAGATTGAGGCTAAAATAATAGTGGTGGATAGGTCACATCTGACATTGTGATTGCCTTCGACGGCTGCTTCTGACTCTCGTGTGAAGTATCGTGGCAATATAGACGGCACCGGGTCAATTCATGAGTTAATACTCATGATTCTGAAGGCTAAAACATGAGAAAAAAGCGGCATTGAAGCCCTTATGGGCAGGTATGTCATTTTCCCTGTGGGGAAGAAGCATGTCTGTACTTCCGTGAAGGACGATCAGGCATGGATCCCACGCGAGGAGACTGAGCATTAAAATGCGAAGATTTCCTCGCAAAAGACAAGTGTCAAATCATTCACTCAAGAGCACAGCGTAGATTCAGAAACAGAAAATGAAAGACCACTTACAGCAAGAAGCGTTGTAAGTGAGGCGGATTAATGTCGAGACAATGATAGAACCCCAGGAAATGCTTATTACATAAGCAATCCCGCCGCCAATTGGACCCCTCGCAACGGTCAGCGGCAACCTAAACTTTTGGACCTGCCCGAGCTTTTGTAGATCAGCTTAAACAATTTCAGTGGCCTCACCCAACTTTTTTCCCTCCTACTCTCCCAATTCCCACCTCCTTCACCACACCCGGCGCAACGAGTATGCTCGCGGCACCATGGGTCTGCCGCCGGTGCCTGGGCTCGTTCCTGAAACCCAGGACGACCCAATTCATCCGCCGTGCTAGCACAGGCAAGCTCCCGTCCCTCCAATGACCCCTCCATCACCAAACTAACACACCCCTCCAGAAACCCAGACAGCCCTCCCCCCAGCCCTCCTCCAACGCGCGCGCACCCTCGCAAAAGAACATGCCGACCTCTCCGCGACCCTCGAGACCGACTACGACTCCAAGACCGCCCGCCGCATCGGCGAGCTCTCGAGCGTCGTCACCGCCCTGCGCGAATGGGAAACCGCCCAGGCCTCCATCGCCGAGCTCACCGGCATGCTCTCCTCCAAGGACAGCGAGCTGCGCGACATGGCCCGCGACGAGCTCACCAGCACCACCGGCCACCTCGCCGCCCTCTCGCGCAAGCTCTCCGCCTCCCTCACGCCCCGCGACTCTTTCGCCCACATGCCCTGCCTGCTGGAAATGCGGCCGGGCCCCGGCGGCCTCGAGGGCCGCTTCTTCGCGGACACCCTCTTCAAGATGTACCGCCAGTTCTGCGCGCGCAAGGGCTACCGCGTGCAGGTGATCAAGTACGAGATGGCCGACGCCGCCGGCGACACCTCCAGCGCGGCGGGCGAGCAGCCCCTGCAGGAGGCCATCATCGAGGTGCAGGACCCCGGCGCGTACGACGTCTTCCGCGGCGAGGCCGGCATGCACCGCGTGCAGCGCGTCCCGGCGACCGAGAGCAAGGGGCGCACGCACACGAGCGCCGTCGCCGTGTGGGTGCTGCCGTCCTTCCCGGAGAACGGCAGCGCGGAGGAGGACTTCAACAACCCGGAGTCCGACTTCTACATCGATCCACAAGAAGTAAGGATCGAGACGATGCGCGCGCGCGGCGCGGGCGGACAGCACGTGAACAAGACGGAGTCGGCGATCCGGATGACGCATCTGCCGAGCGGGACGGTGGTGAGCATGCAGGACTCGCGGTCGCAGCAGCGCAACCGCGAGGGCGCGTGGAAGCTGCTGCGGTCGCGGGTCGCGCTGCAGCGGCGCGAGGCGCGCGAGGAGGCGGCGGCGCAGCTGCGCAACTCTGTGCTGGCGAAGAACAGAATCACGCGGGGGGACAAGATCCGGACGTACAATTACCAGCAGGACCGCGTGACGGACCACCGCGCGGGCATCGACGTGCACGATCTGCCGGATGTTGTGGCCGGCGGGGAGATGCTGGATAAGGTGTTTGATAGCGTGAAAGAGTGGATGGTGTCGCAGGACATTGAGGCCATGATGGCGGAGGAGGAAGCTGCCGCCTTGGTGGCGGAGAAGAAGGCGCAGAAGTGAGGCATGCGCTTGTTGCATAGACTTGTATTATACTGTAGATGATCTAGACATGACCCCCAAAAGCGAAGATTACTGAGAATTATCCACACAAGAATTCACGATTCAACAATCTTGGCGGCTGGTTGCCCGCAGCGGAGTGAATTCACAAGCCTCAGCCGCGGGGCAGACAACCAAGGGACATCCCAGCGGCAAATTTCTCTGCTGCGTTGTCACCCGCACAAAATTCATCCAAACCCCAAACGTGCTTTTCTGCAGATCGCCAAGGCCTAGGACAGTATGCTTAAAGGGACCATGGCTGTGCGGCTGCGACTGCGAAACATGCCTGATTGCCGTCTCGTCAGGGTCCGGAGATGTCAAGTCTGGAATCGGTTGCGTCTGTCGCAGACCCCACAAGTCGACATGCCGTGTCGGACAGCCGATGGAGGTCGTCCAAGAAAGCGATTGATGCGATTTAACCGTGAGCTTGAGACATGGCGCTATCCGGAGTTACACCAAAATTGCGATGAGACCACTGTCGAACGATGTTTGGGCCACCTTGTGAAGATTGAAAATTTTACATTCTTTGACTACATAAGTGTCAGATACAAGAGAGGGGATGTCATACAGCGTTCGGCATGACAGAGGAGCCCAAAATTTTTGTTGTTGTCCGTCGTGATCCTTTTTTGCCTGAGAGATCCTCTCTCCAACCGCCAAATCAGCCATGAAGACGCCGCGCTATGGTCATAGAATAATGTACAACAAGGGGGGAAGGTACAGGAACGAGGAGCGGACTCGCGGACTGCCCAGCCGTGAAAAACGTAGGCTTTGTCCATGGTGTACAATGTGTGCTCTCTCCCGCAGTCCGGGTCACACGCTCCAAGTCCGTCAGATGAGAATCCTCAAGCCAATTGGCGTTCTCGTCTCATCATCTCCAGCACGCCGACGACGCCGTTCTTCCTAAGCCTCTCGAGAACGACACGCATGCCCTCACGGCTCTTGCCCATCTGGTCCTGCGTCTTGCTAGAAGCCAGGTTCTCAATGCTGCGCTGGATGCCCCGCGCACCGATGCCACTCATCCAGCCAGGCATCCAACGGCCCTCCTTCTGCTCCGGTTGCTCCGGGATGGCGTTGGCCTGGGGCATGTCCTTCTTGCCCCCACGTAGCCTCTCGCCGAGACGAGATCTGTAGATAACAGTGGTCGTAACGTCGGTCGCGGCATCAGCAGGGGCATCCGCGGGGAGGCGAAAGTCCTGCTTTTCGATGACGGAAAGGACGTTCATGAAGTTGAGATTGCGACTCTCCGTGCGCATCCAGCCCTCACGGACATCGACGACGGATGTCTCAAGGACGTAGCTCGCTTTTTCAGCGGAGCCACCGCCGGTGATGGATGCCGGGAGGAGCTTGAAGACGGGCGCGGGCATGCGCGACTTCTTCAGGTGGATGCGTGTCGTGTGCAGCCTGCCCGTGGCCGGGTCGAGGCGGCTGTCGATGGTATCGGTGCTGAGAACATGAGTGGAGAAGGGATTGAGCTTGGGGGACGAGTATCGGAGGAAGTAGGCGAGCGTGACGGTCGGGAAAGGGTGAGAGTAGGTGTGGTTCGTCGAGTGGGTGAGGACCATCTTGTATGCGGCGGGTATTCTGGGTACGGTTTTTTTGCGTTATTGGTGTCGATGTTCGGTTCCGTACTTGAATTGGGGTCTTCGATCCTTTTGCGTTCGAGAAAGCGCTCACGTTTGTCGGGACGCAAGGGGCGTTGACATCGAGGGCCTTGCGCGGGCGACCCAATGCAAATTTTGGAGGTGTCTCAAGAGTGCTAAAAATGAAGCTATATCCGCCGCGGAAGCTCGGCCACCGAGTCGTCGGTATTTGTCGGTTTCGGTGTTTGCTCGATGCAAGTTGCGCTCGCAGGTGAGGGGCGGGGGACAAGACTAAGAGAAGAGAGGGAGAGAAGAGGATGACGGCCGCACTCGAAGTCGAAAAGATGAGGGGGTGGGAGGGTGTTAATGATGAGGAGAAGGCGGAAGATGAGGAGATGGGCGGAGGGGAAGAGTGCGGCGCTGGAATGATGTAGAGTGCAACGACACCCGTGCGTACATCGAACGATAGGTCGATTGATTTTGGGGAAGAAGCTTCCGTGCCGTGCCTGCGACTTTCTTTTTGGTCAGCGCCTGCCCGCCAATTGGCGCAGGGACCCCAACTCCAGCGAGCAGCCCAGGGCGGCCACAGACGGTCCAGAGTGTCGCCGGGATTTTCCAGCCAGTGGGAACAGGCGGCAATTGGCTTTGTCCGCAGCGACGGCACCATCCCATTGGCTCGACGATCCCATTGCGCCCGCTTTTCGTCACACGAGCTTGGGCCTCCTGGGTGGCGAAAATCACATGATGCGGAGTACACCGAAGCTCACCGAGAGCTGTGGTGAGCTGTCACTGTTGCTTTTAGCCTCACCTTCGCCCCACCTTGAAACAACACCTCATTCCCAGCGTTCCATGCCTCTTGCGATGTGTGGTCTGTTTGAGTTTCTGCATGAAACACTCCGCGGCAACGGCGGCTGCTTCGTGGGCTACTTTCCAATCGAGGGAGGTTGCCTGCAAACCCCGGACTGTCTGTTCTTCTGGTGACAAAGGGAGCACGGCTGCTGCCGGGGTAAGTGCTGCAGCTTTCCCCAACCCTCGAATCCCGAGTCCTGATTGGCTCGCGCTCGGCGTTCGAAGAACAGCGATGAAGTTTCGATGAAGCTAAGCCATCCAACTAACTTCAATCAACATGACTAAGGTAACGCGGGGAAGGAGGAACACAAAATGCATGAATCGATCCTTTACCTTGTTGGTGGATCTCGATGTAGCTCATCAACATCATCACTTGCGTGAACAACATAGAGACTATTTGGCCATGACGCTGCGATATTTCTAATTTCGACGAGGCTTTTGAGAAGATGCCGGCAGAGTGTACGGACAACCTCAGCAGCCGAGCCCTTGGCTTGATCGGAGAGTCAAGATTTCTTTTACTTTGATATCATGATGGGTAAAAACTTTCAACGAGTCAATACACCCAACCATACCTTCGTATCTCATCCCAAAGCCGATCAGCCGCCGATACGAAGCAATGACAACAAAAACACCAGTGATACTGAAATCGATCTTGAGAGCTAACAGAACAAGAGTCGTCAAGGCATGCTAGCAAGGACTGGAACATGGCCAAAAAGGGCTACGCATCTGTATGTCACAGTATATGAGTTGGAAGATTTTCGACGAGAATGAACTCTCAGCTTGCTTGTTGTACCATTGCTACTAAAGTACCTAGTCGGGTACGGGTATTGATGCTCTCATCATCTGTGGAGCCAATGCAAAGTATTAATACATACAATCAGACTATCCAGTAACGCCTAAACCAGACCCAGTCTCAACTGCCACGAGCCGTCCTCAACTTCTTCTAGAACCTCGTCATAGACTTGCGTTGCCCTCGAGACTTGGTATTCGTCCTAGCCGGCATGGAGCTGGGCGGGATCGACCTCCTTCCGGCTGCCGCGCTGGCTGTTGTTCTAGCCGGCGGCATGCTCTTCGCTCGGGACGGCTTGTTCTTCTTCACCCAGCCAGACCCATGCGGTAGACTACTGCTTTTCTCCTGGTAGTCGTCATCAATCTCGTCTTCAGCATAAGCCTCTTCTACGGGCGGTTCGGGCGAGGATGGCAACGAGATAACCTGGGAACCATCCGGAATGACAAACGGAGAGCTGTGGCGCTTGCGCTTCGTAAATCGAATAAAAGGCTTCTTTGGCTTGACATCCTGCGACTCGCTGAAAGATGATGGTGCCGTCTTGGGCATCGGCCTCATTTCGGGTAACTCGGGCGATCTAGACGGAGCTGGCTGACTTGAATTGGGAAAGAGCTGCTTGCGGGTGCCCCTCAAGGCCTGCGGCGACTCGTCGTCCTCATCCTCTTCGTCGTCCTCGTTTTCTTCACTATCCTCATCTTCTTCATCATCCTCGTCCCCTTCTTCATCAATGCGTCGCATGGCAGCCTCGTAATCTGTGTCGAGCTTCACGATTGACTTGCGGGATTTGATGTCCGAGAATACTTGTGACTTGGAGGGACTTTCCGTGTTCTGTGTGCTTGGTTGCGTGGCCTCGAGAAAGATGTCTTCCAATGACGGGAAGGACTCAGTTGTGCCTGGCTCAACAGGCGACTTGTTCTGGCGAGGGGGCGTCTGGACATTCGCCTTGGGTGTGGAGGCTCCCAAGATTGGTGACCCATCGCCAGTGTCATTCATTGGAACATCGTCGCCACCTGTATGGAAACTGAAGTCGTCGTCTGGTTGTCGCCCGCTGCGGACGCTAGTCGCAGAGGAGGGTGGTGGGATGGAGTCGCTTTGAGGAGGAACCGGTGTGGGATCCTTTACGGAGCTCCCCTCGGGTACAGCAGCCTCGGACGATCGGCTGTTGGCTGCCTCCGACATCTCCATAAGTTGGCGAGTAGGACTGCTTGTTTTGCGTTGCAAGACAGACGGGGAAAGGTCTTTACGGAAACCCGCTTCCTCGATCATCAGACTGATTTCATGGCGGCGATCCGAAGAGATTGAGAATGCAGTAGGGGCTTGGCTGGTTCCCGACTCCTGAGATTCCTCCGTTTCAACAATGACATTCTTGACTTTCGCTTGTGCACTCGCTTTGGGTGTCGCCACGTCGTCTTCATCAGCTTCGTCTTCAATAGAATCTGCTGGCTGTGCATCGTCAACTGGTGGCTCAGGGTTTGAGGTCGATTGATCCTGTTCCGAAGTGTCGACGACCATCTCATCATGCTCAGCAACGACCTGAGACTGTCCATCACCCGTATTAGCCTTGGCTTGATCATCCTCTGCATCAATTTTTGACTGACTTCCATCTTCATCCGCCTCGGGCGGGCTGGCGTTCTTCCCCGGGAACTGAGAAGGCTGGCTCTGAGTATCGTAAACGGTCTCGTGAACGACGCTGTCAGTGGGGCCACTCGACTCTTCGTTGACGACTGGCATCTGCTTGTCGTCCAGAGGGTCTTGAAGAATCTTGGGCTCAATCAGCTCCGCAAATGTGATCTTGCGGTATCCGTCATCGAAACCAGACTCGTCATCGTCCTCATCGTCGTCTGGAGCCTCAAAACGGTCATACACCCGCTTGCCGGTGCTTTCATCGTAGACCTTCTCTTTTCGATCATGATCCCGGTCCCGTTGAGCCAGCAAGAACTCAAAGTCGGTGGCATCCTCGTCGAAAACTCTGACCAAAATACCAGTGACGTTGATAACTTCGGGTTGCCAATTGGTTTGAGTCGACAAAACCCACTGCTTCCACGTGATGACCATGCCCGCCTTCGCCGCACCTGGCCGAAGCTCCGGAAGTGTGGTCAAGTCGTCCGGCAATGAGGGCAGATCCTCGACATCCGTCATCTGGCTCTCCTCAGGTCGGGGCTTTGGCGCGGCCGGTTCCTCGACCGGGTCGTCGTAGTTCAGTGTTGTGTCTCCTTCCTCAACCCCTTCCGAGAAGGTCATGATGCTGTCATCGCCCTCTACCCGACGCTTCTTCGACGATTGAGAGTCCCCGTCGTCATAGAATTGAGCTTGATTGCGCTGTACGCGCTTACGTTTGCCCCCGCGCTTATTCTTCGAACCAAACCATTCCTCCACTTGCTGTTGGGGGTCCCACCGCTGGACAAAAGGAAATGGCGGTTCCGAGAGCTCGACACCCTCGTGGCAGCATTCTACGGCTCGGTAAGCGATTTTCTCGCGCCAGGCTTCGGGATCTTCCTCTACCGATTCTTGAGTCTGGGCGGATTCGCCAGACTGCGATGCTTCCGTCAGACGTGCATTGGTGTGCGGCCGCACGCCTTTCATCAGTTCTTGCCTGATCTTGTCCTCATCAGCCTTGGTCTTTGGGTTCTTGAGACCCAAGGATCCCATCAGCATGCGCCTCGCAGCGCCAACATTGGGCTTCATGCGACGCTGGGCAGATTCCTCTTGAGCAGAGGGGCTTTGAGAAGCCTCGGCGTGCTCAACCTGCGAGAAGTCTTGAGGAGCGGAATCTGGGATTTCGGGCGACTTCTCTTGGCTCTGAGACTCCTCAGGCGCATCTGATACGAAAGCCTCGAGCAACGCCTTTTTCCTTGCCAAAAGGGCTGCAATGTCATCTGGAGTCTCGGGGGCTGTCATCTGGGAGGGCTCTCTGCTGATTGGTCCCGATACTGAACTGCCCTGCGCCGCGGACTGCTTGGCAAGTTTCCGCCTCGCGTTTCTCTTCTGAGTTTTAGTCAGGCCTTGGCCGGGCGGGACAGTTGGCGTGTGGACAACTGGGGCGACCGCAGGAGTTGCCTTGGTTGGCTCTGGGGTTATGACGGGCTGCAAAGTCTGATACTGCTTGCTTAAAGTTGTAGCAGGTATTTCTTCGGGTCCGGAGTCGGAGTCGGAGTCTGAGTCCGAGCTGGAATCGTCGCTGCTGCTTTCCTCGTCAGACTCTGAAGAATCGGACGGTGAGTCTGACGAAGAGTCAGATGACGAGCCCGAAGATGAGTCCATATCCAGGTCGGCAGGTGCACCTTCAGAGGACCGCCTATCCGCGACAGCCCTTGAACCATCACTGCCAGAGTCCGAGCCAGACTCTTCAGGTATATCCTGGTCGGCAGCCTCTGAATTCTCGTCCGATACGGATGCTTCTTCTCCAGCAGACTCGCTAGAGTCATCGGAGGAAGAGTCTTCTGAGCTTTTGTCCAGGTCATCCATCTCTTGATCAGAATCCGACTCGGACGCTACCGCACTCGATTCAGAGCTGGATTCGGAGTCAGACGATTGTAAGGACAGCTCATCCTTTTCATCCTTTGAATCAGGACGAGTGTTGTGGTTGAGGGTCTCAGACGCCTCGTCGCTGTCGTCATTCAGCTCGTTGCTCAGGTGCTCCTCAAGCTCGTTCGCTGCGCTGTCAGAGTCTTCCTCAGAACTCGTTTCTCTGAGCACCAGCTCACGTCCTTCGTTACGGTCGCTATGCCGAATGGGACTGCTGGACAGGCTTCTCTCCTGGCGCTCTAGCATTTGACGAATACCAAGCTGGGCGCTGAACTTTTTCGAAAGCTTACGGTATGCCCTCTCCAGGTCTGAGTCGCACCTGAGCAACGTTGGCTCGACGATGGCGAAGGGTGCAGTGGGGAACGCAGCTCTCAAAGCTATGATCTTGTCGAGAAAGTCCATACCGGTGGACGTCCTAGTTGCAGACCTAACCAAAGCATTGTTGGCCGATGCTACAGGGGATGCGCGACGAGGCGGGGTCGAATGTAAGGTCTCCCGCGATCCGCTCGATGCCCTCTTGCCACGAATGCTGCGCAACTCCTCGAGGAGGTCACCTTCTCTAACGGCGGCGTTGTCTTCGCTGATGAGACGCAGCTCCTCTCGTATGTCATCGTCCTCGCTGCCCATATCCTCATCATCGTCGCCATCTGCGCCGGGCTCGAATTCGTCGTCACCTTCTTCATCTCCGTCCGATTCGGCGTCGTAGAAGCGGGCGCGAAGCTTGACGCTCGAAGGGTCTTGATGGGCTCTCGTCGACGAATCGTACTCGATCATGGGAAGCTCTGTATCATTGCTGGTTTCCGACGGGGAATCGGTTTCGTCGTCGCTGCTATAGGTGATGCGAGCCTTTTTCCTGGGCGGAAGGGCCACGTTCGGTCGGTCGCGGGGGGCCTTAAGCCATGAGCGTCCGTAGGCGAGACCGTCCACCAAGTGTCTGCCATCGGATGATATCTGGTGCCTGCCGCTGAGCTTTCGCCTCTTGAGATCGTCGGTAAGGAGAGGTCGGATGCTAGAATCAAGTTAGCCTTGCACTCAGAGATGCGTGCCGGACATGAATGGGTCGACTTACAGGACTTGGTCATCTTCCTTGAGCACCTTGGAGACGAGGTGGTAGTGGACGCACTCAAAGCCGTCGCCGGAGGCATCCTTAAGCTCCACGGCATAGTCCTCGAGACCCCATTCGCCGCTTTCGAGGGGGATCACCTCGTTGACTTCGGCGACAAGTTTTGAGATGGTCAGATCCTCATTGGCGGTCGCATTCCAGAGGAGCTTGACGTCAGGCACGCCGTGGCGCCGCACCACGAGTCGCAGCCGCAAGTCTTTCTCCATCTCTGCCGAGATCGATGTGCCGTTGGTTGGCGCTGCTAATACATGTAGTCGACGGGTGTTTTTTGGTCAAAAGAAAACAAAATGAATCGCTGGAGCCGAGCTGGTTTCGCAGAGTAACAACTGTTTGACCGGGGAAAGCAGGACAGGAGAACAGTCGACAGACGGCGGATAAAGTGATTGAGGCAAGGGAGCGAGACGCGCGTGGGGGAAGGTGAAAGCTCCAAGCGCGACTGACGCAAATTCTGGAAAGTGGGGCCGATTTATCCCCAGGGTCCGCTACCTTAAGATACTTCCCGTCATTAGCTTCCATGTACCTGGAGGACCTGGGAGCTCAAGATACCAATGACATTAAGTAAATCTGTACACCATCACAGCAATTTCTGAGTTATTGGAGATTCCACACAAAAGAACTCGCTTGATTCGCAGCATGTCTGCATCTTCCTTATTCCCGCGGTCGTAATACGAGCATTAGTATGAGCAACAAACGACTGATATATTTTTGGCCTCATAAGCCACAACCCGATTTCGACGTCTTTCACTCAGCAGCACAATTCCCCGTCCCTGCATGCTGCTACTGCTGCCTGCAGGTTGTGCAACCACCAACAACCATCTCAGTAATTTTCCATGAAATTGCCATCCAATATGAGTCCAGGGACCGTCAGTAGATACTATGAACAATGACAGGTATGTCAGATATTCCCAGTGACAAATATGCCAATGCGCCATTCCCAGGTATTCGTGTCAATCCGAACGCCGTCTATGCTTGTAACCAAAACCCTCACTTCCCTCCTCTCTCCTTGTCCTACGACGTCTCTCCAACTTCAACGCCGCTTCCCGGCCGTGTAACCTATCAAGGCATGCCACCCATATCAAGCATATGTCCCATCTTTTCAATCTGCATCCTTGTTAGCGACCAAGTTCCCCGACAGCCAACGGCCAAGCTCACCTTTGTCTTGAGGTACCCCTCGACCTCCTGGCTCCTGAACCCTCCCCGCCCCTTCCACGACAGCGGCACCATCGCCACGCGCTCCGTCACCCTGACCTCGCGGTTCGGGCCCTCCACCGCGCGGATCTTGTCCGGGTTGTTCGTCAGCAGGCGCACCTCGTGCTGCCCCAGATCCAGCAGCATCGCGGTCGCGAGCCCGTAGCTCCGCGCATCAGCCGGGTGCCGCAGGAGCAGGTTCGCCTCGACGGTGTCAGAGCCCAGGTCCTGCAGGTTGTACGCCTTCAGCTTCTCGCCGAGGCCGATGCCGCGGCCCTCCTGGCGCAGGTAGATGATGATGCCGCCGTTCGTGTTGCCGGGCAGGCTCATCAGCCGCGCCGCCTCGTCGAGCTGCTCGCCGCAGTCGCACCGCGCGGACCACGCCGTCTCGCCGGTGTAGCACTCGGAGTGAATGCGCACCAGCGCCGGGCCGCGCTGCTGCGCCGCGTCCAAGGGCGACGGCTGCTCGCCGACGGGGGTGGCCACGCCGCCGGCCATGCCGCTGGTCGTGCGGCCAGGGAACAGACGTCCCGTGTAGGCGCCGCGCACCATGCGGTCCATCTCGGTCTCGCCGGGGCGGGGCTCGTCAAGCGACTTGCTGCGGATGTGCGGGCCGAAGACAATGGCCAGGTGTTCCTTGTTGTCTACGTTGTTCGTGTACAGGTGCAGGAACATCTCGGTGCCGGTGACGGTGGGGATGCGCGCTCGTACGATGCACTGCACCTCGGGCAGGGTCTCGAGGAGGCGGGGCCGTTTGGTCCCCGCGCCGCCCGAGGGGATGGAGCTGTCGACGGGCACGCCGCGGGGAGCCTCGGAGCCGGTGAGAGGCGTTGCTGTGCCGGGGGTCGCCGGGGGCGTGAAGGCGGGCGAGAGGAGGGAGGGCGGTGGCAGGGCGGTGTTGGCGGTCGTTGAGGCGGCATCGTCTTCGGCTCGCGCGGGGGCGGCGGGGTCGGAGAGGTTCAGGTCGTCGGCTACCTCATGGCTGGAGGACGCAGCTGCCGATGCGCTGTCGGCGGCCTTGGTTCGAGGAGAGTAGAAGGACGGGAGCTGATTTGTTTCCTCGCGCCAGTCCTTTGGCGCATCGCCGGCCGCTGGCTTCGCTTCAAAGTCGGGCATGGCGGGGGAGATGGGGGGTTGATTGCGCGAGCGGAGAGGTGATGTTGGTGAGTGCTGGTCAATTCAATGCCAATGGGTATTCATGCGCAGAATAGAACAAATTCCAATTGAAGACACGCCAGGGTCGCAAAGCAAAATATTGCAGGAGACGGACAAAGTAATGCGGGAGGCGACACTGAATCTAGGAGTGTCGGGTAATGCACATTTAATCGCGGCGACCGGTTCCGCTCCGAACAACGAGGTGGTGAAGTGCGGTTCAATTAGTCATGCAGCCAGATGATGACAGCGCGGGTGCATCTGTGTGCCGGCGGCTTTACACTTTGGGCCAAGTGCCCGCCCGTTCCAGGCAATGTTCCTTCTGAACTTCTGAAGGGACACCTGGAGGCTGGAGGGGCCGTCTTTCGCCGAGGTTCCAGGCAGAGCGCCGCGCGCGCGGGGCGGACTTTCCCAGTGTCTCGAGCTCGGATTCCAGGGTCTCTTCAGCGGGGTCGGCTGTTCCCCTCGCTGACTTTTTGTGCGAGGGAACGCCGGCCGCTCGGGCGGGGTTCGGTGATTACATCATCTCATCCTGGAATCGGCTAATCATGAAAAGTTGGACCTGCTCTGCGATTGTCGGTCATCTTGCAATACTATTTGAAAAATATGCAAATGATCTGTATTGAATCTGAAACGGATGATTAGATACGCTTAGCCGTGAAACTTTAGCCTTCAGCGACGTCTACTTCCAGAGCGTAATCATTTTTGTGGTGATCCACGCCGCCGTATGTGAGACCACGACAATCTGTCGAGTTGATGACGACTTTACTCGAGTTCCGGCTTAGATCCATTCATATCCATAATCATTTCGTTTATCTCAAAGTGAGCCTCTATCAATCATCGCAAACACACCGCGCGCTTGATTTTTAATGCTGACAGAGGAATCCTAGACCTCATCGGCAGACCTCACCCCTCATTGGCCGCATCTTTCAAGACTCTCCACGTTCGGCTCGCCTCTTCCCAAGTCACCCACAGCCAACGGCCCATCCGCTCATCCACAACATCATCACAAGCATCAACTCCTGTTCCCAGCCGCAGCAGCAGCAGCAGCATAGCAAAGTGAACGGCCACCACACACCTTCGTCATGCGCAAAGCATGTCGCACACTCTCTGTCCTCAGGAAGCCCATTCGGAAACATCCATAGAGATGCCCCGTCCGATCCCCCCTCTCCTGCGGGTTCCTGCATCCCGAATTGGCCGCCCCATCCCGGCCTCCCGAAACATTATTTCGTCCTCTCCCGACCACACAAATCACCACCGCACCAAGGTGTTGAGAACGTCGAAAGTTGCTGACACGGTATTCATATCCGTCCAGAGAAAACTTGAGGCCCGCCAAGCGGCCCCCGATGCAATGATGGATCCCACCCCGGCCCTCGCATCCATGACAATCACTGTTCGGCCGCGGCCCAACCAAAGGCAAACCAACCCATCAACCCGCATCGTCGCGTCTATGCGCTGTCACTGAGTGACTCACACACAACCTCACCTCACGCAAAGGAGGGAAAAAAAAAAAAAAAAGGACCACCCCCATGCAACAACCACCAACCCGCGTTTCGTTTCCCTTGCAAAGCCAACCACACCGCGCCTGTCTGCGAAGATGCCATGCCAACAGCCCGCGCAAGTGGCGCGCAATCCATTGGCCAACGCGCTCCCGCGCCGCTACGCCATCGTGGCAACCCAGACCAACCAGCTCTCGGTGCCCTGCAACCACTTACTGCGCTTGCCGTTTCATGCCCATCCGGCGGTATGGAGATCATCAGGCACCGTCTTTGTTTACACTTTCTTCGCATTTGCAGACACAAGACAGACAGACTGAGAAAAAAAAAAAATTCTCCTTGGTGGTTCAGGTCCCACCATGCAGCCGTCAACCGAGTGGTTGTCGATTTCTTGTTTTCCGGCTCGAGTGGCCAACAACAGCACACGCTGCCGTCGTCCAGTGGAGGCTTTCGCTCACTCCCTTGCAAGACGCACCTGGCGCACAAAAACATCGCCAACTGTCCAACCCCCAGTCTCTTACTGGTGTGTATAAGAAGATCGAGTGACTTCCTTCCGTCTGACACCTTTCCTCCCCTCCGTTTTCCAATCTCGACTAGTAAGAACCTAGCAAACCCGTGCAACAATACTTAATCAAACGTTCATTCAAAGGATCTGAGAAAAGGATTCCTGGCAAGGTCTATTCGGAGCGACGATAGACAACCACATACGATACTATACAACATACCGCCTCACTCTCATCTGCACTCATTAATATCGTCTTGCACACACTTTCGTTGTTCACTTCTTCCTGTATTTTCACTTCACCGGCGCCAACTTCAGTTTATCGTTCTTCAAACACCATCACCACACATCACACCACACCACCACTAAACACAATGGATCACAACAACGTAATCGCCTGGCTGCTGCCCACATCAACAAACCAAACCGCCCTCGAGGCCGTCCGCCTGCCCGAAAACACCAACCGCCGCATCGCCGCCATCCCCTCCTCCTTCGAGCCCCTACCGACACCCAACCCAGACAACACCACAATCAACCCCCTCCTCCTCAACAAGACCACCTCACCCACCACCACCCCTAAACCCCGCCCAGCCCTCGAGCTCTCCTTCACCAACCCGCCCAAAAACCACACCGGCTTCGTCCTCGGCACCGACCCCGGAGCCGACATCCTGCTCCCCTCCCTCCCGGGCATCGCCCCGCGCCACTGCGTCCTCACCTTCGACGCCGAGCGCCGCCTCATCCTCCGCGACACCTCCGCCACCGGCACCGCCGTCTGGTACGACGCCTCCTCCAACGGCGACCGCGCCCGCGAGTCCTGGCTCCTCTCCGCCGGCACCTCCTACGGCTTCCCCTCCATGGTCGACCGCCTCGTCATCGACATCCAGACCGTCCGGCTGCAGGTCGTCGTCAACGACGTCGCGCCCCTCAGCGACCCGGACGCCTACGAGCGCAACGTCGACGCCTTCATGGACCGCCTCGCGACTCTAACGCTGGACGAGATCAGCGCCCGCGAGGAGCTGAGCTTCGACCTCGACTTCCGCGACTTCGGCATCGACTTCAGCTTCGACGACCTCAGCTTCGGCCGCGCGAGCGGTGTGGGCGCGTATGAGGACGACGGGCTCATCGGGTACGACTACGAGATGGACGTCGACGACAGGCGGGACTACCTCCCGCCCCTGCCCTCCGAGGTGGCCCCCGTGTTCGTCAAGTACATGTTCGCCTCCGACGACGGGCTGCCCCCGGACACCTACCTCTGGAACACCGCCCGGCCGTGGGAGCCGATGGTCAAGGTCACCTGCTGATCATACCAAAGCCCAACCCAACCGGGGGAAAAAAAAAAGAACACAAAACAGCCAAAACAACAACACTGTCACTCATTTAATGTATAGACTGGGAAGGAAGCGCGGGAAATTTTGTAACAACAACCGGTTCACAAAGAGTTGACAGCATGTCTAGTCAGTGCTGGCACACCTGACGGCGATTCTCTCATAATATCTGGCGTTATTTTCGGAGCGGCGGCGTCCAGAACCCATGTTTTTGGCATGACGACGAAAGATTTCCAACTGCGAAAAATACGCGCACACACACTCATTCAGAACCCCCCAAGAGATTGGCGTCACGTTCTTCCCCGGGATAGCATAGCATACTTTCTTCTGTACATCTAGTGTAGATACCCCCCTACATAGCTGGAATACCCACCAGCAAAACACACTTTACATTAAAAATCAAAAAATCAGAAGAGAAATTACCAAACAACTGATCCAACTCAAATCGTCTTTCTCAAAATCCCATGATGGAAATGACTCGCCCCATGGGTGGTGGTTTGGCCATCTCCCACTTCGCACTTCACCGCTCTCCCCCATCTTCCGAACTTCTTCGTCCCAACTATCTGACCCATCATCAACTCCCCAAATCGCCCCGTGATTTTTTCGACTCCGCGGAGCCCAACGAGCAAAGGCCATATAAAGGGCGGAGCGCAGAGGGAGAGTGCCTCTGCTGACCGCTACGCTTACCACGCTTGGGGGGATCAGTCGCGGCGCCGGACCACCAGACGGCTCGGGACACCATTGAGAAAAAAAGCGCATGATACCGCCACTTCTAGAGCACACCACCAGTAAACCTCGGAGGCATGCGGTGACGGCCCGAGCTCTATTTTGCACAATCGCCCAACGGCCGGTCCTCAGACCGAGTGGCCCACGAGATCCGACCGATACTTTAATCTTGGTCCTCCCGCCCTCCCTTAACCTGGCCCCGACACCACACCCACGCGCGTCATTCCGTGTATCATGTCTCCGCGGGTCGCTAATCTGGAATCAACTCGGGGCCAGCGGGAGGCGAGTGTGCTTTCTCTTCGTAGTGCGCGGGGCTCTTGAATCCTGCTTCCGATGACATCGTCCTTTATATTGACCATGTTCGAACCTCGTTTGTAAAAAGATGCGTGCCAAGACTCTTGGCCAGAGAGTGTGATAACCCATTCCTTCAACAAATGCAACCGCAACCATGAACCCTCTAGCTATGGCCTCCGACGACCCGGAGCCCGACGAATCAAGCCCCCTCCTCTCGACAACATCCCAAAGCAGAATCCCCCCCCGGCCACCGCCGCCGCCCTCCTCGCCTTCGACGCTGTCCCTCATCTCCAAGGCAGACTACGCCCTGGGACAATCCCCTTCTCAAGGCGACCGCCTGCCGTACAGCAACTATGCGACAATCGACTGGCTGCGCGGCCTCACCGACTCCTCCTCTCGCGCGCGCCGCCTCGATCGCCTGCCGGGCCTCCGGGGCCACCTCCGCCGCTGCATCGACCGAGCTGAGGGCTGGATCGCCGCGGCACTGATCGGGGTGCTGACCGCTCTGGTGGCGTACGTCGTCGACGTGTCCATGGCGACGACGGCTGACTGGAAGGAGGGGTACTGCCGTGGCAACGTGTTCCTCGACCGCGGGAGGTGCTGTAGAGACAAGCCTAGGTCGGGGGTGTGCGAGGCGTGGAGTCCCTGGGTCGCCGGTAGTAGTGGCGAGGGCGTGTCTCTCGCCGCGTACGCCGTCTACGTCCTCGTTGCGCTGCTCTTCGGCGCCATCGCGGGCAACGTGACGATGACAACGAAAGCGTCCCTCCCAACAGCGGCCGCAGAAGACGGAGAGGGCAGCACGAAGACGATGTACATGGCCGCGGGCAGCGGCATCCCCGAGATCAAGAGCATCATCTCGGGCTTCGCGATCCCGCGCTTCCTCAGCCTGCGGGTGCTGCTCGTCAAGGCCGTCGGGGCGACCTTTGCGGTGTCGACGGGCATGTGCCTGGGCAAGGAGGGCCCGTTCGTGCACATCTCGACGTGCGTTGGGTGGCTCGTGGCCAACTGGTTCCCCAAGTACCGGGACAGCCCGCGCAAACTGCGCGAGATGCTGAGCGTGGCGTGCTCGGCGGGCATGTCTGTCGCGTTCGGCGCGCCGATTGGCGGTGTGCTGTTCAGTTACGAGGTATGTTTGATACGCTGCTGTTTGTGTTGTTGATGTAGTATTGGCTGACCCCGACGACTAGGAAATCAGCACGTACTTCCCTCGTCGTGTGATGTGGAGGGCGTTTCTGTGTTCGCTGGTCGCGGCCATCGCGCTCAAGGCGCTGAACCCGACGGGCGGCGGGAAGCTGGTGCTCTTCGAGACGAATTTTGGCGTCGACCACGAACCCGTGCACTATCTCGTCTTCGTCTTCCTGGGCGTGTGTGGCGGCGTTTTCGGCGGAGTGTTTGGTCGAGCAAACTACTTCTGGTCCAAGACTTTCCGGAGATGCGACATCGTGAAGAACCACCCCGTGCTGGAGCTCTGCGGCGTCGTGCTGATTACCGCACTGCTGCAGTTCCCAAACGCTCTCACCCGGGACACCGGCGACGTCGCTCTCTCGAAACTGCTGGTCAACTGCGAAGACCCGGAGGGCAAGTGGGTGTGCGATCAGGAGCAGAGGCCCGACAGGACGGGGTACATACTCTCGCTCGCGAGCGGGACGCTGGCCAAGCTGGCGTTGACGACCATCACTTCCGGGTGCAAAGTGCCGTCTGGAATCATCATCCCGGCGCTGAATGCCGGCGCGCTGTTTGGGCGGCTGGTCGGGCAGTTCGTCGGGGGTATATCGCCAGGTATATTCGCCATGGTCGGTGCTGCTGCATTCCTCGCCGGCGTGTGCAGGATGACGGTGAGTTTGGCCGTCATCATGTTCGAGTTGACGGGCGAGGTGACGTTCATCCCGGCCTCGATGTGCGCCATCCTCACCGCCAAGTGGGTTGCGGACGCCATCTCTGCCGAGTCGGTGTACGAGCTGTCGCAGCACTTGTTGGGACACCCGTTCCTCGAGGCCGAGCAGGCGCACGAGGTCGTCAAGCACCGGGAAGCAACCGCGCGGGAGCTGATCCCTTCCCCTGAGACGATGGAAGAGATCACTCTCTGCACGGGCAGGGAGTACCGCGTGCGTCAAGACGTGCTGACCGACAAGCTGCAGAAGCTGTTGGCGAGGGGCCTGATGGATGCCGGTCTTGTGCTGGTGAATGAGGCGGGTCTGCTGTTCGGGTACTTGCCTCAGGCGGAGCTGGAGGCTGTTCTCCAAGTCCGCGGGGAGGCCGAGGAGATTGACTTGCGGTCGGGGATCATGGTGGACTTGGTCGACCGGACACCGTTGACAGTGAGTGCAGAGGCGCCGATGGAGCATGTCCTTGAGATGTTCGGGAAGCTCGGTCTGAGCTACCTGGTCATTCTTGAACCTGAAACAGCGAATGTGGTGGGCGTTGTGCTGAAGAAGCGGTTGCTGGGCTATTTGCATCGTACAAAGGCGCATAATTGAGGAGGAGCATTGTCATATTGGCTGTACCATAGAACCTACTCAGCATTGTCAACTTAACGTTAATGAAATATAATGTCTTGTCGCTAGTCTTGGGCCAGGGCTTAACTGGATGCGGAACGGTGACATGATGACTTTCCTGGATGCCTTTTCCCGGATTTCAACGGAACAGAGCGGATCAAGTCCTTCGCCTCTGTCGCCCACACTTAACCCACGATGTGTTCCAAAGTTTGCCCAGTGATGCCACCAAGGGCCAAACTCTAGTCGTTTCCACCTCCGTCTGCAATGCCCGATCGTAGTGCCCATGTCAGGTCTTTCGTCGTCGCAGTCTGCCCAGGTCGAAGTAAAACGCAGTTGTCATTCGCAATAACGTGAATTCGGCCTCGTTCTATGACCCTCGCGGCAAGTCCAAGTCCCCATTTTCGACCCTTTTGCCGTGGCCCTCCAATGTCACAGGTTATATACACAGACGCGGCCGCCCCGGGCTGTCTTTGTCGGACCCCTCAGTTGCTTCTCGTACCCTTCTCCGCGCGGAGCTCGTTCATTTTGGCGACACGCTTCTTGAACTCGACGTACTGGCACTTCTCGTAGCTGTGGCGCTCGTCCTAGCCGTGGGGAATCATGGGTTAGCAGAGGGTTCGGTCCGTCGGGTAGCCTCTCAAGGTCGGGGTCGAGTAGCGCCGGGAGCGACGACGGCATCTCGGGGATAAACGAACATTGCACTTCCACGGCAGGTAGAAGGTATCGGTGCGGCAGCGGTTGAGGGGGATGAGGAGGTGGGCGCAGCTGTCGCGGTAGGCGAGGGGGAGTTTGGCGTCCCGCATCTCCTCGCGGGGCGTCTCTGCAGAGAAGGGTCAGCATGTCTGCGCAGTGTGTAGCATGACGGCGGAGGAACGGACCCCTGGGTTCGAAGTCTCCGGCCATTGTGACGGCAATTGGGGGTTCTGTGATGGGCGAATGGTTCGGTCGTCGTTGGTCAATCGGTCACTTTTGAATTGACGTCGGAGCTTTGGATTGGATTGTGGAGCTGCCGTGACGGTTCCCTTTCGGCCTCAATTGTCAGGCTGCCGGGTGACTGCTTACGTTTTGGGCATCGTGATTGGTCAATTTGGCGGTTCCGGGGTGCCTTCACTGGACTTTTCAGCGCACAGGCCTAAGAATCTATAGAGTTTGGCCTCCCGACACTCTATTCAACTTCGAAGCCCAAGTCAGGTAAAGATGAGAAATACGCATATTGAGCCTCAGTTGAGCTCTCTGTTCATCTAGACGTTCTTCAATTTGAAAGTTTCTTCTGGTGGTTGGGTGCTGCTCCCTAGACGTATCACTGTTCAGAAGACGGGCGCGGGAAATAAACACACAGCGAGTACAGAGTCAAGTATGACCAAGGAACAAGAGCCTAATACACTGAAGCCCTTCAGCGCGTTTCCCATGATGCTCCCTATTTTTCATGGTTCTCTCTCGAATACAAATGTATTCAAAGTCATATTCTTCAAGCTGGTACGAGGCCACCTCTTGCTTTTCTCAACTTGTCTTGGGGCAGCTATTGACTGAAAACTTGGAGGCCGTTCTGAAGACTCTTTGGAATAGCGTACGACTCGTAGATCGTATCTAAAAGACGACCAGAAGCCACAGATAAGCCCACCTGATGGGTTTACAAGACAGGCGCATATGTGGCATCCCGCGATCAAACTTCTCCCTTTAACCACTGCAGCCATTACGTTATTCAAATGCGCTTTGCGTCTCAACTCCTTCAACCAACTCCTTTGGGCTCACAGTCCAGAACAAAAGTTCCAACCCAAACTCCCTGACACTCTCACTAAAGCTCCCAGCAACATGGCCGATCCGAACCACCTTCCCGTTGGCGCAGGTCGGACCACAGACCGGAGACAGAAGTCCCTGCCGGACTGCCGGCGCGTGTCCACCCGACCTGGGGCCACACCGCAGCGTCGAATGCTCACCTTCCGCTTCGAGCTAACCTATCGGCCCACGCAAAATCCCACGCCAAATCCAATCTCCAACGTTGCCATCCATTCATTCCCAAATGCCTATCAGGAACCACCCCCGTCTCCATACCCGGCCGAGGCCAACCCCCGGCCTCATGTCCTCAACGTTACAATCACGACAATCCGTGCTTGCGCGATGGGCGGCCGGGATCGCATCGGGCTGGTCGTCCCCTCTTCCCGCCAACGGCACCCAGAGAGCTTGGAAAGCTTGTTCCTGCCGAGGGTCGCAATACGGGACGCGTGCGCTGGATGTTAGGCGACTGGATGCATGGTTCTTGCATATCGGGACTCATTTCGCCGGGATGATGGATGGGTCTGCTGTTTGCCCAGATGCTGCGCGACTCTTAAAAGAAAGCAGCTCCCCCCGCTGCCGTTCCCGCGATGCCTCGTCCCTTGCGTTGATCGAGTCGCAAAGTAGGCGTGCCGTGGTGTGTACTCGTTCTTGGTCACCGTAGTAGTGTCTCTGTCACCATGAAGATCTCCCTCGCCTTGTTGAGTTGCCTCGCGGCGGCTCAGGCCCATTTCGCCTTCCAGCCCATCCAGCCGCCCTTCAGGGCCGAGGACGACGAGGGCGGACTCGCCAAGCGTGACGCTCTGTATTTTGAGCAGCTCATCGACCATGATGCTCCTGAATTGGGAACCTTCCAGCAGCGGTACTGGGTCAATAGCACCTACTGGAAGGGCCCCGGCTCGCCGGTAAGAGCTGCTCATGGGCACGCGAAAACGCGCATTAGCTGACAACATGTAGATCATCGTCTTCACGCCCGGCGAAGTTGCTGCTGAGGCTTACAGCGGATACCTGACTGACCGCGCACTCACGGGCAGCATTGCCAAGGCTGTTGGCGGTGCCGTCGTGATGGTCGAGCGTAAGCCTCCCCAGTCATCAACAGATACTTCGAGATGGGCCAGACTGACACAGAGCAGACCGTAATTGGGGCACTTCTCTGCCGTACACCCTCCAAGACACCAAGAACCTCCAGCAGCATACCATGACGAACGCCGTCTTCGACCTCACAAACCTGGCCCGCACGGTCGACCTTCCCTTCGACACCAACCACAGCAGCAACGCTCCCCAGGCTGTAAGTTTTATCGTCCCGTCCAAGAGGATCGCCTATTGACATGCGGCTCTAGCCTTGGATCTACACCGGCGGATCGTACTCCGGCATCCTCGCTGCTGCCATCTCCAAGTACGCCCCGGGGACCATCTGGGCCTACCACGCCAGCAGCGGGCCCGTCGAAGCGACATACGACTACTGGAGCTACTTCCTACCGATCCAGAACGGCATGCCCCAGAACTGCAGTCGTGACTTCAACCTCATGGTCGACCACATTGACACCGTCCTGACCTCCGGAACCGAGGACGAGATCTACTCGCTCAAGGAGAAGTTTGGTCTGCAGGATCTCGCCCACAAGGACGACTTCGCGAGGTACGGTGGCCCTTGAATCCTCCAGAGAAGGACGAAAGCTGACATCCCAAAGTGCTCTTGTTGGTCCTCTCGGATACTGGCAGTCCATCCAGCTGTACTCTGGCTACTCCACCTTCTACGCCATGTGCGATGCGGTCGAGGGCGCCACCGGCAACTTCTCGGCACCCAGCGCGGACGGCGTCGGCCTCACCAAGGCACTTGACAACTACGCCAAGTGGTGGAGCTCTGAGTATCTCCCAGGCAGTAAGTAAACTTCAAGCTTCGGTTGTCGAATCCCTCTGACAGAATTAAAGCTTGCGCATCATACGGCGTCGAAGAGTGGTCGGACCCCATGAACGTCGCCTGCTTCGACTCGTACAACGCCACCAGCCCCATCTACACCGACTGGTCTGCCGACAACGCCTTCGGCCGCACCTGGTACTGGATGACCTGCAACGAGCCCTTCTTCTTCTGGCAGACGTAAGTATCTGGAACATGTCTTTGCTCCAAGGTGTCTGTCGTTACTGACCCAATCCTAGTGGTGCCCCTCAGGACCGACCCTCCATCGTCTCCCGCTACGTCACCCCCGAATACTACCAGCGCCAGTGCGACCTCTTTTTCCCCCCGCAAGGCGACTTCACCTACGCCTCGAACCGCGGCAAGACCGCCGCTGACCTGAACGAGGCGACTGGCGGCTGGTTCTACACCAACACCACTCGTCTGGTGTGGTCGAACGGGTAAGGCGAGACCCTTCCTGTCCGTCATGATATCGACTAACACCGTCGCAGTGAATTCGACCCCTGGCGCTCCGCCTCCGTCTCCAGCGAGCTCCGTCCCGGCGGCCCACTCCAGTCCCGCCCCGGCGCGCCGGTCCATCTCATCCCCGGCTCCCGCCACTGCAACGATCTGCTCATGAGGAACGGTGACGTAAATGCCGATATGAAGGCTGTCATAACTTCTGAGATTGAGCAGCTGAAGACGTGGACCGAGGAGTTTTACGCCGGCAAGAACAAGACGAGGCGTGCCTTTTAAGCGGTTCACTACCTACGCAGCGTAGCTGCGAAAGTTGAATGTAAACGAGCTGGATATTTCATGTACATAATTCAGCTTTCATAATAAAATGGGAATGGGCACGAAGCTCGACACTTGGATTGCGCAATAAGGATTCACTGGGTATACACTCGAACGTACTAAACCCTTTCTCATGTCTACGTCTTAGTGCTACCGGACTTCATCAACCACATCCTCCACCTATCAAGTCTTTCCCCGACTTCTATATAGATACCCAAAGCCCCTCTACCACGGCAAATCAGTCCCATCATAATTCTTAAACTTCCCACTAATCTCCTTCGTCGCCCCATCAATCACCTTAACCATCCCGCCCACGCTCGTCTCGACCGTAATCGCCCCCAAACTCTTCGCATCCGCCACCCCATTCTTCTCCGCCAGCGCCGCCGACATATCCGTCTCCACCAGGCCGGGGTGGAACACAAACGCAGTCACCCAGTCCTCTTCCACGCTCAGCCGCTTCACCAGCCAGTTCAGCGTCGCCTTGCTCGCGCCGTACGGGCTCAGCCCCACGCCGGGCGGGAACAGCTTCGCCAGGCTCTCCTGCAGCCCGACGCTCCCAATGGCCGAGGAGATCGCCACGAAGACCGGGTTGACGCTCTTGCGCAGCAGCGGGGCGGCGGCGGCGAAGAGGAGGAGGGGCGCGATGGAGTTCACGCGGAAGTGGCCCAGCGCGGGTGCGGAGGCGGTCTCGCGCACGGGGCCGGAGGTGTGGGAGATGCCGGCGTTGGCGATGACGGTGTCGATGGCGGTGATGGCGTGCTCGTCCTGGAGGGTGGCGACGGCGGCGGCGGGGTCGGTGTCGACGGAGGAGTCAATCTTGACGAGGATGAGGGTGGAGGAGGCGCCCTTGGGGAGGGAGGCGAGGGCTTTGGATGAGGAAGAGGAGGGATCGCGGACGCCGGCGATGACGGTGGTGGAGGGGCGGGCGAGGAGGGCGGTGACGAAGCCCTTGCCGATGCCGCGGTTGGCACCGGTGATGAGGTAGGTTTGGTTAGCGGACATGGCGGGTAGTGGGTATTGTTTGTTTGCTGATGGGATGCTTCGAGAGTGTGAGGCTGAGGTTGAGATGAACTTTGATGTGATGATGGAAGTGTCTTTCGTCTGAAATGATGTCAAGTTGAGAATCTTATATACGTCTTGAAGTTGGTATGAATGCCTTGGTATTTGTAAATGAAGGCACCATCATGGAAGCTTTCACACTTACACGAGACGTCTTCCGCTACACAGAACGACATGGCGCACTTCTCTCGGCGCCGAAAATGGTAGTGGAGAGGATTGATAATCTGGCGTAATGGCATCAATATTGTTTCGGAGCGGGTCTAGGCGGAGTTTGAATCAAGGCGCGGACAGCTGGGCGGGAGAGGCAGTGATCATTAATCAATAGGAACACATCTGAGACCAAAGACCTGGCGTGCATGGGCTGAACTCCGCGTATTCGCTGCTGTGATCATGTCCAAGTTGATTTGGCTCTTGGCTGAAATGCCCGGTGTTACTCATGAAGAAGACGGCAGGACTTCGGGCTTGTTGTGGTGCCGGAAACCTGCCCGTGTGTGAGTTTGCCATGTGTCAACGTCGTGTCAAACGCGGACTGATGAACATTGGAAGGACCAAGACTTCCTCTCTTGGATAAGAAGACCCAAAGACAGCATGAATTACCTATCACGATGTCCATAATCTAGCTGAATGAAATTGGCTTAATCCTTGGATAGTGGTGACATGTGCATCAGTGACAAAACCGCGCACAATGATACACGAAGTTTTGGGTTGTGGCATAGACTGTACCTACAAGCTCTGCGCTAAGCACCCCTGGTAACCCATCCACCTCTTCACAGAGCCTGTGGCTGCAAGTCACTTCAAACGTTGTACTCAAACTTACAACCTTCGAACGAACTAATCGCCAGTCATGCACTCAAGAGCCAAGATAAACTTCATCCTCCCTCTCAATTTCTCTCTTGCACACTGCTGCATCGTTTTGTTTTGACTGATTTGTAAGATATCATGTCTTCTCGCGTTGGACCCGCTCAGTGATGCCAGACAGTTTACTGATCACTCGTGACCCGAGGCGGGAACCTGTGTTCACTAATCGCCAAGACCAGACCTAATCCACACCTAGCGCGATTCCAACGCTCAACCTGCATTCTGAAATAGCTCAAGTAATTCTTCAACGGGTGAGATGTGGAAAAGACAAATGTCCTTCAAGGTGATCTCATTACTCATCAATCGATACTAAGTCGAGGCGCGACGACATCTAATCACGATGAGCGCGTAGGATTTTGTCTACTGATGCATAATGAGTAATCACAAGACGCCGCAGGCTTCGGAAGAAGGCATGGTATCATTCATCAGGTATCGTATGTGGCCCCTCAACTCACTCGCTCATTCACCAACATCACGCATAAAACAGCCGCCCCAGCCGCGCAGGAACCAAAAAAGGCCATCTGCACACCCTCCCATAGACACCGCCTCCACGACCCGTCTCTCGTCCCCAAAGCCCAGCTCTTGCCCGCGCCAAAGGCCAACAACGCGACGAGGCAGATGGCGATGCTCCACCTCAGACCCTGTCCCACGCTCGGCGCGATGAAGTAGGGCAGCAGAGGCATGAGGCCGCCGCACAGGTAGCCCAGCGAGATTGACATGCCCGAGAACACGGGCGATACCAGCGAAGAATTTTGTTCGGTGGCAGGTGTGTTGCTGGCGAGGGATGGATGCGAACTTCGTATCCTCTTGGACGCCCATCTTGAGCCTTCCGGTTGCGAGTTGATCGCCTCAAGCACCGTCGCGATGGTTGAGTCCGGTAGGTTGAGAGGTTGGAGATACCTCCGCACATCGTCCTCCGCCTCCTCCACCCTCCTCGGGCCGCCCTTCTCCTCATTCTCGGCGGCATCTTCCTCGCTACGACGCTCTGCGAGCAGCATGCCTTGTTCCTCCTCCTCCTCCAGCGAAGAACCCGACCGTAGCGTTTCGCGCGAGGCGTCGCGGGCGGCCAGGTACCCGCCGATGCCCATGCTGATGCATCCCGCGCACAGCTCCGCGAGCCCGGCGTAGATGACCGTCTCGCTGCGGCCGAGGGAGCTGAGGCCGGCCGTCAGGGCGAAGGGGACGGTGAGGCCGTCTGAGAAGCCGAGGGTGAAGTCTGAGAGGAAGCGGGCGAGGTTTTGGGACGCCATTGTGTGCCGTACAAGGTTTTGAGAGTTTGGTTTGGCGATTCAAGCTTAGGAAGTTGATGAACGAGAAGCAACTCGTTCATGGACCATGGAACATGGTTGTCGTGTTGTTTCGACGAAGACGATAATGGTGGATGAGCACGGGCGGAGGTTCAGGTGGAAGTCGTCAAAATGCCCAGCATGCCAAGGAGCTGTCAAAGGAAGCGCGAAACGGGTCTCAACAAGGAGTGATTTGGAAAGAGGGACTGAAGCTTGGCGATCGGATGGAGACGCCGAAGACACAGGTCCGCCGCCTTCACCGTTCTGGACCAGGCATTTGCTTACCCCTCACCACTAAACATCTACCAACACCGTAGGTATCTCTTTCACCCTAAATTTAGCCCTCCTAGTGGCTCCTCGGTGAGCGATCGGGGAGGAAACGGCAGACCCGACCGACATCAGCAATCCGGATATGCGATGCCGCGAGGCGAAGCAAAAGTTTCTTTGCGGTGGATCGACAGAAAATCGCTAGTTTCTTCCTACAAATGTTTCTGCGGAGAAGGAAACACATTCATGGATTCATGGGAAAGCAAGAGGGCCAAGCTTTCGCCCAGCAGCGATGCCAAGAACCGCCCACGTGGGTGGGCTTCGGGGGAAAATGTCCCCTGTCACTCGTCCAATCAAGCATTTCTGATTTCCCACCTTCCTGACAGGGTAATCTGGTGGCCGGGATGATGCATGGATGGGGGGCAGGGAGGGGAAGATCACCTCAGCTCTCCACTTGGATTGATCCCCTGTTCTTCGCCGGGCGTGAAGTGCCTTCCCTCGTGGGGCAGGTCGACGACATCACACGACATCTCAGTCTGCAACCCTCGGAGGAAACGACTCGTGCGAGCGGCTGGTTGGCTGGCTGTTTTATTGTGCGAGGCCGGGATGGGGCCGATCACCGTGGTCACTTGCTGCGAGCTTGCATGTTTGCCCATGTCAACTGAGGGGGGCGAATGAGGGGACGCGGTGATGTTTGCGACAAGAAAGTTTACTGTCTATGCATTATTGACGACTACGATATTTACAATGACCGAAGCCAAAAACACATCATGCTGTTAGGCCGCGTATCCGGCGGGGGGGTTGAGGCCATCGGGCACGTGGATGGTGTCCTCGTAGTACGTGGGCGCGCAGCTCTTCTCCCACGTCTTCTTCACGATGTCGAGGATCTTGCGTCCGGCTGCGTTCTTGTCCAGGGCCAGGTTAGGCTTGGGGTAGCGCTTCGGCGCCTTGGTGTTGAAGAAGCCGGCGTAGGACTGATTCCAGAAGCGGTCGGGCGTCGCGGACGCGTCGCTCCACTGGCGGATGACGCTCTTGGTCTTGTCGGCGACGACCTGGAACACGTTGGCGCCGACGTCCCAGCGGCCGAGCGTGGGCAGGTCCCAGTTGGCCTGCACGGTGGCGAGCTCCGAGTAGTGGTTGTAGAAGTTGGCGTCCTTGGAGCCGACCTTGTCCGCGGGCACCGCGTCGCCGAGCAGGATGCCCATGATGCGGTTCTGGTGCGTGTACGTCTCGTTCTCGTCGAAGGTGACGAGGACGAGGGTGTTGCTCATGAAGTTCTTGTCGTTGAGCAGCGGCTCGAGGAAGTTGCGCGTCCACTTGCCGGCGACGGTGACGGAGGTGTCGTGGCCGTCGGAGGTCATGTTGGGCGTGATGAACATCCACTGCGGCAGCTTGTTGTCCTTGAGGTCGCGGTGGAACATGGAGGCGGCGGGGTTGGTCATGGAGATGTTCTTGATTTGCGACAGGCGCTGCTCGGAGCGGGTGACGCTGTCGAAGAAGATGGGCGGGTTGTGCTTGCGGACGTAGTCGTTGGCGCCGTTCTGGCGGTTCACCCAGGCCATGCCCTCGAAGCCGGAGAAGGGCATGTCCTCCTGGTACGACGCCCAGGAGATGCCCTTGGTGTCGAGCAGGTCGAAGACCGTCGAGACGTTGCGATCGGCGCGGTTGAAGTCGTCGTTTTGCATGCCGAGGTAGTCGCCGCAGACGGAGGCGAAGTAGTTGGGCTCCGAGGGGTGCGTGACGGCGAAGTTGTTCTCCAGGAGGATGCCCTTGGAGGCGAGCCACGCCAGGTTGGCTGCGATGTGTTAGAAATTGGGTCATTGGGTACCCGAGAACGGGGATAACTCACGATCACCAGCGGCCTTCTCATAGTCGGTATTCTCGTTCCAGATCACGACGAAGCGATCAAAGGCCTTGCCCTTGACCTTGCTGGTCGGGCTGCTCGTCTTGGCTGTCGCGGCCGCGGCGTAGACCGCAGCAGTGCCGGTCGCGGTGTAGGCCGTCTCCCAACCGACAGTGCTGGATGCGGCCTTTGCCTTGACAGCGGCGGCAGAGGCACCAGCCGCGAAGAGCACGGCCGAAACGGGAGTGCAACGCATCTTTGGGATCGATCGCGCAGGATGTCAGGATTGGAGGAGATGGAAGCCTTCAAGCGAGCGAGAGGCTTGAGAGCAGCGCGTGGCGAGCGAGCGACATGTCGAAGATCGAGAAAGAATCACGGGCTGCGACGCTAGATATTAAATCAATGTTGGTCGGACGGCGGACACTGCCGCTCTCGGGAATCCGGCAGGTGTTCCTCCCAACAATGAGCCACCGTCTTTGAAGAGTGACATGCTGCCATCCAGGTCCAGGCGCAGGGGGCCAAGTCCTTCAGCTGCCGTTCGGGGGTAGCGTCGCTCGGAGTTGGCGGGGCGGGGCGCGAGCGGGGGGGAAACGACTGTGCAGTAGATGAGGTACCTGTGCAGCATGTACAGAAGGATTTGACATGCGGAATTGTCTTGTTTCTCATTCGCTCGCTGGATGCGCTGTCTTCGCGTTGTTTGTGTTGAGGCTGGGCCAATTGATATCGACGCCCACCCACGTGGTGTTTAAGACGCATTTCGCCTTGGTGGCTTTTAGTGGGTTAATTAGCCGCGTATCCGGCAGACGCGCACTGTGTTGGGCACGGCAAGCCACCAACTTGACACTGGATTTCATAACTCAACATTCATGATTAGGCCGTTAAGAAGTAAAAATAGACTGAGTCTAGTGAGATCTTGGAAGAGTGCGTGTAGAACGACACCAATGGAGGCAGTGCCGGCAATGTGTAGACAATCGCCTTTCTCTATTGCATCCAATTAGTCCTTTTTCTCGTACGTCCAACGGACCAAAATAATTTCATGGCTAAGTCATACGGCAGTCACTAAGGTGTGCCCGCAGGCGGTAACCTGCTATAAGAAAATAATTATGACGAAAAATTTAGAAGGGAGAAATGATAACTTGAAAGGGTTTCACATCGGAAAGGGTAAAGCTGGGGATCACGGAAGGAATGAAGACATCTACAAAAAGTGACAGTAGTAGAGACGACGTCATGATAAGCATAACAAGGAAAAACAGAAATGAATTTGAGTTCTCCTATCTGGGCAGATGCTTCCAGCTACCCGGGCTAGTCACTACACATCTCTTGTTAATAAACGATTCCTTTTGTTATCATCCCGATTATTATCATTATTATCGTTACTGTCGTCGTCGTCATTCTTGGCCTTGTACTTGTCCTTGTTAATATCATCGTCGTTCTCTTCGAACTCATCCCTACTATTGCCCTGTTATCTGTTTCCTCACGAATAGCACAGTCAAGAACTCAAAACGTTTAGCAGCGGTGGAAGAGTAAGAGCAGGTGGTATTGTATCTAATAGACGATACAGTGACGTTCCAGCTAGTATTGATGACTATTTCTCTATTCCAACCCAACCATGTATCATCCCAAGGCGCTTATACCGGCGGGGTCAGCACCGCATATTTCTCATACCACTCCTCCGCGCAGGAAGTACCGTCTTCACAATAAGGCCAAACCAGCGCACTGATTTCCCCGTGCACCCTCAACATCCAGTAGCCCAGAACAAAAACATACATTCTCCAGAAAAATGGATACTCCCATCGTGCCTGCATCCCTAATGATCTTGATGAAGGCAAGCCTCTATCTACCTGGCTTAAAATCCTTTCTGCACATATCAAATGCGCTACTTTCCCATATTTAATCGCGGGAATGGGCAATTTTGGCCAGCCTTCTTCCCAGTACTGGTCCATGACTGTCCAATAGATGTGTGAAAAGGTTCGTAGTTGGTCGTGCTCGTCTAGTGACATGCTACCAAGTTGGTAAGAATCTGACGAGACTCGTTGGCTGATGAGACGTATGGCTTGACGAACGTAGAACTCTGGGTCTGGGATCAAGAGATGATGCTGATTGGCGACGCAACACAAGTACTCGAAGCTCCACCGAATCGGAGGGTACTTTTCCGCAGGAAGAGTGTAGGCTGGAAGACGCTTGTTGACAATCCATCCAGCAAGAGCTAGTGAGGGACGGACCGTAAGTGTCCATAACCCTACCAGAAGAACCTTCGTGCCAAGTGGGATTCTTGGGAATGCTTCGAATGCGAAGTTGCCGGTAGGAAAGACGAAGAGCATGACGTTCAAGCGAATAAAAAAGCCACGCTCATAATCGCCATCCTTGAATGCACATGTCAAGTCCATAGGTAGAAACACAAAGAACGTGACGATGGCGCCTATTGAGCCGTAGACCAAGACGTAGACAGCCCATTCTGCGAAAATGCTGCGGCTGAAGCAGAAAAGCTTTAGGATGCCTTTGATGACGATTGAGCTTGATTGGGCTTTGGAAAGTGACTCGTCTTCGAGAGCAGATTTCTCGTTGTCGATCAACGGAAGCTGGGAAGAAGCCATCGTAGGGGTTGTTGCGAAAGTCTAAGTTCCTAGGACAGATTTCTGACGGGAAAGACAAAAACTGTCTCTCAAGATATTTCCCGCAAGGTTGTATGACAATGCAGTCATTTAATCATTGAAACTTTCATAGATACCTTGACGGTGTTTTCGTGGCGTCGGCCCGAGCGGGGCCGCGAAGCTGGACCGACTCGGCCGGAGTGTCTTGGATTCGGAGCCAGAAAAAGCGCCCCGAAAACGGTTTCTTATCGCGTCAAGAACGTAAGCAAAAATATGCGAATGACATTCATGTCTGATGTACACAGCGTGTTTGCAGCCCTTCCAAGTCCAGTACTTCAAACTAAGTCGATTGCTTTGATCTTGACTATGAAGGGTGCTGGAACTGTTTTCCCCTTCTAATTCGTGCCTTCTGCTACTACTACCGCGCCCAACATCTTCAAAGTGAAAATTTACAAAATGTATTACGGTCTGTTAAGAATACAGCCCAGGTTTGTCATTCTTTCTTTGCATTCATGTTCGGAGCGTGTCTACCCCAACATGTGCTAAAGGGTCCTGCCACCATGTAACTCTGTATTTACCCCAATTAAGCGTTTGCGGAATCGCTGCCCCTCTTTGTCTGTCAGTGTCCAATAATACGTGCATTCATCAAGGTCCAGCAGGGTCGAGCCATCAGTCACTTCTGTTTTGGGCACGTGTTGGCGCTAAGATGCCGATTCACCCGCACAGGGTAGCATGCATGCATGCAATTCGCCTCTCCAGCTGCCATCTGCTGCTACCTTCCTCTGAAGGCAAGTCAGCATGTGGCGTCCTTCGGCTACTTCTAACGTCTTCCCTACAACCCCAATTTGACGACGCCCACGACGATGGGATGTGATGCACGCCATGGACGTTGAGCGACAGAGTGGGCAAGATAGGCCGTCGAGTCCAAGCTCCTTGTCTTCGGAGAGCGACGATGGCTATCGCCGAGATGTCTCGCCTTCAAGCTCAAGCAGAGAAGATGGCACGGAAAAGTCGCCTTTCCTCACCCACGACGAGGGCGACAACGACATAGGAGACCGCAGACGATATCGGAAAGGCTCGTCGTGGAAGACCACAGTATCTGCCGCAGCAAGTCTTTCCGGCGTCTTTGTTTTCTTTTTGGTCTTTTTCGTCTTCGATCGCTTTTTGCCGGGTGCTCCCCGTCTTGATGGAGCGACACCAACACATACCATCGATGAACAGATTCCTCCAACCCCGCGTCTCAGAGACTCATCAGAATATGTTCTCAACCCATCATGGGACTACGCATCGGCAAAGAGCGTCAGAGAGTATCACTGGACTATTCGAGACGCAATCTTCAACCCGGATGGCATCTTCCGACCAATGATCCTGATCAACAATCAATTCCCTGGACCGCTTATCGAGTGCAACGAGGGGGACACCATCATTGTTCATGTCCATAATGAGGCAGCCAACGCCACTGCCATCCACTTCCACGGCATGTTCCAAAATGGCACAAACTCCATGGACGGCACCGTCGGCGTCACACAATGCCCGATAGCCCCCAACGGAACCTTCACCTACCAGTTTACCGTCGACGGACAGTCGGGGACCTATTGGTATCATGCGCACCACAGCGCCCAGTCCTCGGACGGATTGGTCGGTCCGATGGTCATCCACTCTCGGAGTGAGAAGAAGGAAGCAGACACGTTCGCGAGCGATCGCGTGGTTATGATCCAGGATCATTACCACAATACTTCGGCCGAGCTGCTCATGGACTATCTCCAACCGGACCAAGAGAACGATGAGCCTGTGCCATCCAGCGGTCTCATCAACGGGCAGAACTACCGTAACTGCGCTGACTTTGATGGTTGGCATTGCGAGAACAAAGTTTCTTATCTGGAGTCCTTGGCCTCGTTCGACTTGACTTCAGGTCAAAAGCACCGCCTCCGTTTCATCAATACCGGCGCATTTGCAGAGTTCCAAGTTGAGATTGATGAGCACCCGTTCTACGTTACCGAGGTTGACGGCATTCAAGTTGAATCGACATCATTTCACCGTTTGAACATCCTGCCTGCCCAGCGCTACAGCGTTGTCATCGACACCAACGTGACCACTGCCGCCTCATTCTGGATGCGTGCCAGAATGGTCACACACTGCTTTGCCAAGGAAAACCAGTGGCTTGATCCTGAGGTCAGAGGCATCATCAGCTACAGCAAGACGTCGAAAGATGCCGCCATTGCTAAAGAACCACAAACAAAAGGTTGGAGTGAAGCGCATGATGTCGATTGCCGCGACATGGATACCAGCACCCTCAAACCTGTCGAAGCCATGGCAGCACCAGCGACGACGGCGTCCATGTACCTCCGTGCCAACTTCGAAATCGGCGCCTGGCGTTTGTCTCGTGGCTTCTTCAACAAGTCGACGTGGCATGGGAACGTCACGTCTCCAACGCTGTACCGCATCATGGAGACGGCGCAGGCAGAAAATGAAACTGGCCTGCCTCAGATGACGGGAGTGAACGAAGTCGCTTTCGATCCGGAGAAGGAGTTCGTGTACCAGACAACGGGAATCGAGACTGTGGACATAGTCATCAGCAATTTCGACGACGGCGCTCACCCGTTCCACCTTCACGGGCACAAGTTCTTCGTGCTGAAGCAATCGCCCACGGGATATCCCCCCGAGAATATCACCGAGCTGGAGGAAGAGCTGACCGCCTCTGGAGTTCTGGCAAACCCGTTGAGAAGAGACACAGTCACCGTCCAGGGATACGGATGGGCTGTCATTAGAGTCGTCCTGGACAACCCAGGCATGTGGGCATTCCACTGTCATAATGCATGGCATGCTGAGTCGGGCATGATGATGGTGATTGCGGCTAGAGTAGAAACGGCGAGGGACTGGAAAGTGAGCGAGGAGGAAAAGGGGTTGTGCGGTCTACCTGGCGTCGAGAAAGGAGTGCGGCCCGACGACGAGATCTGGTATGGGAACTTTGGCGACTGAGCGAGTATACGGATAGTACGGAAAGAAATAGAATACCCATTGATTCCGCGAATCAGGTTTGTCGATAGTGGCACTCTGAACTTGTAAAGGGGGGGAAGAACCCTGCAACGGAGTCTCCTCGTCTGTCGGGTTCATTCCGAAGCCATGCCCTTCCGCGCGCGGGACGCGGCGGTCAACGTCTGTGGGCAGCTCGACGACCAAGAGACCCCCGCTCGATGATTTCTCGTTCTCGTTTGCTGATGTTGAGATCGCCAAGTTGCTGCCCACCTGAACCACAATTCAAGCCTTTTGCAGTGGGCAACTGACGACGACTTGCGGCTCTTTTCTCGGTCCTCCGCATCGCCAAGTCCCCAACACATCGGCATTTCACCTCGTCTTTGCCAACACCAAACTACGCCGCGAATGTGAGAAATGACCGAAGCCGGCTGCGCTTTCTTTACTTCTTCTAGACTAATGCCAACGGCTTTCTTTTCTCCGGACATGAGCGGTGACCGAGGAATAGGCCAGGCAGTTGATTGCGCAAGTTAGAACGTGCATGACCTCTAGCAAAGCTAGTCTGCATAGAGATCTTGAACAGGGGTTCCTCTACGGAACCGCGATGCTAAGAGATTGAGAAACGGGGCCGGTCTAGCTGGATCGGACACAAGTCGCCAGCTACCCATGGGGCACGTGTGGCATCGTGGTCCCATTTCAATTTTGCTCCGCAAGCAGTCCAGAGGTCTAGACCCCTTAATTCTTCTTCGGCGGCTTCTTCGATTTCCGACGCTATTTTCGAAGTGCCGTAATCTCCAGGTTTCTGCGAGTTTGTTGCAGAACGGGCAGAATTTCTCGAGTATCAAAAGAGAAAGAAGAAGAAAAGGAGTCTGTCAGTGACCCAATTTTTACGGTGGATTCCTTCGCATTAAAGGAAGAGACGACGCGTGCGTCGCATTAACTCGGGAATAGTGGTTTTCAAGTTTGATCCCGTCGGGGAGCCCCATTTATTCGCACTTTGCCCATCTTTTGTTCTGTGTCTGTTGGTGGCATCCAACAGCTGTGTGCCGTTTTCCATATTAATGTACGGGTATCGATTCCATGTTGATGGGACACGCACCGGTGAAGCCACTGCCACGGAGACAGTCCCACGAGTGGACGGACGTTTTTCGCCGTGCCACCTTGTCTCGTTGGAAAAGGCAAAGCCGAAGAATCGTACCATTGCAGCACAATCGAGTTAAGATCTGTAAAGATTTTGTGTAACATTGGAAGTCACCAACAGTGAGGGACGGAGAAACATGGGATGATACGACGTTGAAATTGGATAAACAGAATTTGACTGGTGCAAAATAGGGTCGGTACTGAGTTGATGACCATGCTGTTTCAGCCGCGTGAACACGAGGTGCAGAAACTCTAATTTGGCAGTCAGGACCTCGAGAGGAGAAAATCTGCTGTGTCAGACAGAGTTGACCAGAAGGGTGCGTGTCGGGAAGCGGGAATGCGTGATCAAGTTTATGGCAGATCGGCAGTCTTAGCACGCAAGCCGATGAACTCTAACACGTCGCGGGGTTAGAGAGAGAGTGCATCTCACGAGGGCAACGACTCAGAAACGCTGCAGGTCGGTTGGACATGTTTCCCTTGCCAATCATTGGCGGGAAACACTTTCGCCATGGGTGGTCCGTCTGAATCGAAAGTGCCTGCCTTGCTCTCCCGAAAGTCAATTCTATTGCCAACCAGAATCGTCAGCTGCTGCTACGCTCCCCACTCTCATAAGTCCCTGAGCTATACGTGTTCGGGGGCCTTGACCACCCAGCTAACCGGCGGCAACTAATATCAGGTGAACTCTGATCAATTCAAAGCTCAAATTGTCTGACCATAAACTTCCACCAACCATGGGGCCTGCTGCGGATGGGAAAGGCATCCCTGGGTAATATGATGGCCGTTACGCGTCTGGGTGGCCAACGTGACCCCTATCCTGAATATGCCTGTTTTCTTGTTGCGGTTCAGCGCTTCTAGATGCGGTGCCTGGTTGAGGCTGGAAAGGCGGCACGGAACTCGGCAACTCGAGGTAAGGATTAGATAGGCCAGAACCACTAGTTTCGATCGGGACAAGTCCCGGAGGGGCATGCTCAACAGGCCTTAGCCTACGGCAAAGCACCACTGCTCGTTTATGTCAATCGCGGAGATGGGCACCGCCTGGCAGATGCTGGTGAAGAAGTAGTGTGATTCCATGAATTTCAGGAGCTGGTGTGGGGGTGGCAGCGACCAGATGCAAGGGCCATCCCCGGCTCGTTGGGTGCTCTGGAATGGGCCATCCACCCAGCTCCGAGCTCCATCGTCCATCTAACTGACTCGACCAGTGTTTCCCTGCTCGCGGGCAGACAATTTGTCGCGGTAAACATGAGCCGACCGATGACAGGCCTTGGCATCCCATCCTCTCCAGCCTTGCCAAGAAGACCAAGAGATCCAGAGACTTGGATATAAACCGCCTGGCCGTCCTCCCCCAGAGTGCCAAGAGATTTCCAAGACATCAAACCCGCAGATCTCTTAACATTCTTACCATTCTCGAGTCTTGGCTCATCCTTCTTTCATTAACCTGATCCATTCTTTGCTTACTACTTGCCTATTCTGATACTGTGTATCAAGTCACTCTCTTAACAAACAACCACCAAAAACAACCAACTCTGCCAAAATGGTTTCCTCGCTTCTCGTTCTCGGCGCCCTGGCGTCCGCCGCCATCGCCTCCCCTGTTCCCGAGGTTCAGGCCCGCGCCAGCTGCACCTTCACCGATGCCGCCTCCGCCATCAAGGGCAAGGCCAGCTGCACCAGCATCGTCCTGAACGGCATTGCCGTCCCCGCCGGTACCACCCTTGACATGACCGGCCTCAAGTCCGGCACCACCGTAAGTTTTACACTTCGTCCGAAAAACACCGGCCACAACGGAGCCGCTTCCCGGGACTTTTGCTGACCAACTCCGAAACAGGTCACCTTCCAGGGCAAGACCACCTTCGGCTACAAGGAGTGGGAGGGACCCCTCATCTCCTTCTCTGGCAGCAACATCCAGATCAACGGTGCCTCCGGACACTCCATCGACTGCCAGGGCTCCCGCTGGTGGGACAGCAAGGGCAGCAACGGCGGCAAGACCAAGCCCAAGTTCTTCTACGCCCACAGCCTCAAGAGCTCCAACATCAAGGGCCTGAACGTCCTGAACACCCCCGTCCAGGCTTTCTCCATCAACAGCGCCACCAACCTGGGCGTCTACGACATCACCCTCGATAACTCCGCCGGTGACTCTGCTGGAGGCCACAACACCGATGCTTTCGATGTCGGCTCCTCCACCGGTGTCTACATCTCTGGCGCCAACGTCAAGAACCAGGACGACTGCCTGGCTATCAACTCCGGTACCAACATCACCTTCACCGGCGGTACCTGCTCTGGTGGCCACGGTCTCTCTATCGGCTCCGTTGGTGGCCGTTCCGACAACACCGTCAAGACCGTCACCATCTCCAACTCCAAGATTGTTAACTCCGACAACGGTGTCCGTATTAAGACGGTCTCCGGCGCCACCGGCTCCGTCTCTGGCGTCACTTACTCTGGCATTACCCTCTCCAACATCGCCAAGTACGGTATCGTCATTGAGCAGGACTACGAGAACGGTTCCCCCACCGGCACCCCCACCTCCGGCGTCCCCATCACCGACCTCACCCTCAGCAACGTCAAGGGCTCCGTCGCCTCCTCCGGCACTGACGTCTACATCCTCTGCGCTTCTTGCAGCAGCTGGAAGTGGTCTGGCATCTCTGTCACCGGCGGCAAGTCCTCCACCAAGTGCAAGGGCATCCCCAGCGGCAGCGGCGCTGCTTGCTAAATGCCTTCTCCTCCTCCGCCACACAAGATTTGGGTCTCGTTGATGCGGGATGCTCTGGCTGCGGGATGGGTCGGCGACGGTCGGGGCTAGCCTCCGGCAGTCGCTGCGGTATTCAGCCGGAACTTTTCTTGTAATTATTTGGGGCTTTGGTTCCGAGCATCTGGGTTCGGTCAAGCTGCGCAAATTGTTCGTGTACATAATTCTTCTTCTGCCCATTGAGATGTCTTCGGGGCAGTACATAGTCAATCCAAATTTCCCTTTGGATGCAATCTCGGTCGTTCTCCTGCTTGATTCATTAGTGACTTGTTTCGCTAAGACACCCAGTGCATCCACATGGCTAAGACGTGCCAGAGATAAACGACGCCCAAGCTCCACTGCAGCGACAAGGTGTTTGCAGCGGTATCCCTGACCTCAAACAGGGGTCCTAGCACACAATTTCCCGAGGCGGAACCGGCACACAATCACGGAAAAGCGTTATTTGTCGAGGACCGCAAAAATGCAGGAAACAGCAAAAGAGAATCTCCTCGACGGGGAATTGAACCCCGGTCCCCGGCGAATCGTGTAATGACAAGCCGATATCCTCACCACTAGACTATCGAGGATTTAGATCATGTGATCATTGAAGACCTCCCTTGAAATGAGTCTTAAGACGGATGGGCACCCAACGCAAAAGCGCTCAGAGACTACGAAGCTAAGACTTGCCGCAATAATTTGTCGCTCTTGAAACATCATGCTATTGAATTTGGGGTTGACCACATCTCATGTTTTCTTGGCATTGCATTGGTCTTCTCCACCATATGTGAATGGCGCAGAAAAGGCTCATGACACAATGACCTCTGCCATGCACGAGACACTGAGCCCAATCAAGGTGGAATCAATCCAACGAGTTGTTATGAGTATATACTAAGCAGAATTGACTATTTACAAGAAGGAAAAAATTCGACACCCAAGCATCAGAACGGCAACTTCATCGTCGATCAGTGGTCGTCGATTTGTCTAGCAAGTGAAAACAGCAGGGCCAGGAATGGTGTAAGTCTGGGCTGCACAGAAGTTAGATGGTTCGAAAAACATGACACAGGATTTGGTTGACATACCCTTGTAGGCGTCGTAGGTGATACCAGGGTCAGTGGCCTTGTATGCACCCGGGAAGGCAACCAGCGAGGTAGGAGTCTTGGTTCCTGAGCCAGTAACCTGCAGTTGGTGGCATCCCGGGTAGAACTGGGCGCCGGGGTAAGAGTAAGCCGCGTGCAGGGCGATGATCTCGTGGCGAACGAGGTAGTATCCGGGCTTCAGGCAGGACGGGATGGTGTATTGATAGCCCGAGTTGGCGACCATGAGAGGAGTCTGTGTAACATCATCATCAGCCAAGTGATTCAACATCGTCTGGAGGCTTTCTTGAAAAGGTTCAACTCACGTCAGCCCATGTGTTGGACGTTCCATCGCGACCGCCCTCCTTGACCTTGAACCACACAGCGCTGGCGGCATCTCGTTAGCATTACGTCTCTTGTTGCAACTGATGATCCTCTTACGAAGTGCCCGGGAGCCAGCTAGTGCAGCCAGTATCAGGGCATCGGGCCATGTAGGTGATGACTGGGCCGACATGAGAGTCAGGCCACAGCGTCCATTTCAGGGTGACAGATGAGCCGGCAGCGGCAGTGGCGTGAAGAGGCGCGGGCTTAGAGCCACTGACTCCCCCAGCAGTGTATCCGTTGCATTGGATATCGATGGAAGTCACATCTTCAACTGGTCCGTTGCCTGGGATCGCGCGGGAAATTCTCTGAGGCTACACGGATTGAGAACTTGAGTCAGCTACTGTCACTCGGCTTTGACATGCACAGTCTGAGACTTACAGGAGTGGAGTAGTAAGGGTCAGAGTAAGGCTGGATTTGTGTGAGCTACGTTATCAACAAGTCTGAATAGAAGTTCTGTCTACCTGATAGAACTATGTGACTGTCAGTACACGTACGTGATGGAGAATGAAGTTGGGAGCAAGCAAACCTGATAGTATGTTCCTCCGATGGTCGCGTTGTCGACGTATCCGTGGCCGGCCACCAGAGCCGCACCAAGACCGAGAATGCAGGCAGTGATCTTCATCTTCCTGGAGACTTTCCCAAAATGCGACAATGCTGCGAGGATACTGTTGATCAGACCACTGAAGATCGCGGCTTGTGTGGGAGGCGTCTGGAGTACCAACGGCGGCTGAGCAAGTTAACAGAAAGAACCTGCTCAGACTCGGAGAACCAGATGATATTTATCACTAACACATATTCCTTTTCTTTCTAAAGGATCCATTGTTACAATTACTATCACACTCAACACCCTCAACCCCAGACGCCGAGATGGCAAACTACTTGCTTGGCACGGCTACGTTGCTCCCTTGCCGCCCACGGTATCCCATCACGGGAACCACAGTTTAAGCGTAAAAGGAAACATCGGAACCAGAAATGCGAATGCCACGGCTGCGATACTATCGATGGCGGCTTATCCCGGTTTTCATTGGCAATTGCCCCTCGTTGAAACACAAGTCTAGCAGGGATTCCACCAATGAAAGGGATATGCTGGGTTCCATCATGACTGTGACTGGATACGCCACAAGAAATTTAGATTAAAAGGATGCCAACGAGAATAAGAAAAATGCCACGCCAGAGCGGAGCGTGGCATGATTTGGAGGCCTTCCAATGGGATGCCGCGTGCCGTGGTTCTGGACTCGCAAGGTTGTGGGGGATCTGCAGTGTCACCATGCATGCTGCAGTGAGGCAAGTGCCAGAAGTACCGAACGCGGGGTGCTTTAGGCTGGCATGAGCCATCTTGAAGGACTGGGAAGGTCGGAGAAGAGGACAATTATGCATCAAAGATGTGGACTGATAAGTCAGGAGCGCCTCACGTTTTCAGGAATTGGAAAAGGCTGATCAAAGTCAAGTGCACGATATAAGACATATGCGCAGACTTGAAAAATAGGTTACGAGTCTCTTGGATGGGCAGAATGCATCGAACGATACCCCTACTGAGTTGAAGGGCTCAGAGCGCTGCCATTTAACATGTCATGCCGCAGGACCTGCCTCCGTCTTACAGCACATTCGTGGAATTCTGCAACAATTCGTATTGCAAGGGGTTGCCAATTTTCAGCTAGTAACTCTCCACCCTGGAGAAAACCTAATCGATTGGCTTAAGAGCTAGCAGCACTTGAGATTGCCGCCAATCCTCTCACCGCATACTTATTATGATTAAGTCATGTCTTGATTATTCGCAGAAGACATCAAGGTCCGTGTTGGTGGTGGTTTTGCTCGAGCACGGTATGCTTGGACAGCGCTGACTACAGCCTTTGCCACTCTGGAGTTATTACGGCCGGAACCGTAAAGTTCAATGGCAGATATGCACTCGTATGGCCGACTTTATCTACTGAGCCTGGCCAGATACCAGTGCATCTGCAGCTAGAGGAGATAACATAGTGTAAGCTTGTGGTAAGTCCGAGAACAGACCAATGGCATTTTGAACTGCCTGGCGTCGCTGAGTTTAGGTCATGCATGCCGGACAAAGACGGACTTAACGAGACGTCGATTACCAAGACACTTGCACAAAACCTAGTAGGCTTCTTAAAACTCCAACAGAAATAGATCAACGACTTTGTATCGGAGTTAACGGAAACAGCTCTTCTACATATATAGTCACGGAAGCTGACAACGTAAGAGAAGAATTATGCCAAGGCCACAGCACACTTAAACTTCTCTCTGCATACAAAACCTCTCTTTAAAAAGATCCTCAACATGAAGGTCTGGTTCGTTACTGGAGCTTCTCGCGGGTTGGGCCGTTCTCTTGTCGAGGCCATACTCGAAAATGGCGACTCAGTCGTCGCAACGGCAAGAGATCCGCAACAACTCAGTCATTTCGAGAAAACGTTCGAAAAAGCACGGGTTTTGCTAACAGCCTTGGATGTCACAAATTCAAGCAATGCTCTCAAGGTTGTAGAGCAAGCTTACGACAAATTTGGCCGAATCGACGTTGTTGTCAATAATGCCGGTTACGCGGACTGCGCTTCTATCGAAGACATGACCCTAGAATCATTCCGAGCGCAGATAGAGACGAACTTCTTTGGAGTTGTCAATGTCACCAAAGCTGTGCTACCACTCCTACGGAAGCAAGGTTTCGGTCACATCCTCCAAGTATCTTCAGTAGGGGGGAGGCTTGGATCACCTGGGCTTGGAGCTTACCAGAGCGCCAAATGGGCTGTTGGAGGATTCTCGACAGTCTTATCGAACGAGGTTGCACCACTGGGTATCAAAGTCACAGTCCTTGAGCCAGGTGGAATCAAGACAGATTGGGCGGGCTCATCGATGGGCCATGGGCATATAAGCGAGGCCTATAAGAAGACGGTCGGATTCATGAAACAAGCAAGGGAACGAGCTTTCGACGAGTGGTCTGAACCGTCAAGCATTGCCAAGGCTATAATACACATCGCTGCAGTTGAAGAGCCGCCGTTACGTTTGCTACTGGGGCCGGACACGATTCAACATGCCGCAGCAGCCGCTGAGACGCTGACGGCTTCAGATAAGAGGTGGTAACATGTCACAAGGCTGTCATTCTGAGCAGATTCTCTAGCTAGCTAAAGCTTCATGCTTTCCAAAATCTTTCCGTCACTTTCCTCCCATGGGTATGTTTGCTCCAGCGAACGGATCAGCCTCTCGTGATGCGCAGACCTAGGCTTGATAGACGTATCAAAGGGCTCCGGATGGCTCACGATACCCGGCGTCATTTTGACCGTAGGATCAACTTCCTTTCCATCAACGACAGGTTTTCTGATGTCAAAGACCGCCAGAGATTGAGCAACATTGATGAATAGTGCATTATCAGCAAGGATGCGTCCCGGGCAAATCCGCCGACCGAAGCCGAAGACAATTTTGTGAGGATCAAGTGCGGATTCCTGGTCTTGGCCAGAAAGAAAGCGTTCGGGTCTAAACTCATCTGGTTGGTCCCACACCTCCGGATCATGAGTGAAGTGCCTGCATTCAAGTCAGTTTCGCCCACCAAATCACGTCATAACATGCAGGTGCACCTACCAAATGTTCGGCAGAAGCAGTGCATCCTTCGGAATGAAGTATCCCTCGACTACATCGTCATCAGAACTTGCATGGGGTAGACCCATAGGAGCAATGGGTTGCCAGCGAAGGAGTTCCTTCACAAGAGCGTCTGTGTAGGGCAGATTCGGTCGGTCAGAAGCAAGGGGAAGACGGCTTGCGCCGATGACTCTGTCAATCTCTTCCTGTGCTTTTTGTTGAGGTCCGGGGAAGAGAGTCATGGCCAGGAAGAAGCAATCAATCGAAGAGACGGTCTAATATCTGTTAGTACAACGATCGGACTCGTGTTAATCGAGGATGTAAGATGATGCATCGTACCGTGTCGGCTCCGCCCGTGTACAAGGACGCGGCTGACCACTTCGTGACGAAATCCTCCTCAGGCGTTAGGCCACCGTCTCTAATAAGATGTGAGACGAAAGACGATGTATCCTTTCCTTGAGCCATTTGATGCTTAACAAAGGCGTAAGGTTTCTCTGCTACGCCTCTCAGCGTGGAATTCCAATCCTTTGCAGTTTGCTTGAATTTGGCCCCCGGAAACCAGTCTGGAGCATGACGTACTCCTATGTATTAGATGTAGATCTTAATGAGCTTTCATGGAACTTACAGAGAGGGAAGATGTCTACCAAGAAGGCTCCAGGAACAGCAGCTTGGGCGAACTGGTCCATGGCTTCTCCGGCCAAATCAATGAGATAGTCGTCCTTGAATGGTTCCGGGTTATACCCGTACGCAACTCTAAGAATAACCGAGCCAGCCTCCCTATAAATATCAAAGACATGTTAGTAACTTATTGCAATGTTGATCTTCCTCTCGGCTCATTCAGATGAATCTTACCGTCTGATGTGATCTCTGAGCTTTTCGGGATGATCAAGAACATGTAGCAAGAAATGACCGACTTCTGCTTCCTGGAGCGCATCGTATTGTGCCGCTGCCGTCTTTGAGCCGATGATGCGACTAATGTTCTTGCGGTAGTTGCGAAATCTGTCATTATGGTCCTGCATTGCGAGCGTATTCTCCCAGCCAATCCTGTGTGTTTTGTGAGCAACAGTAAGAAAGTACAGATGCTGCAGCCTGCAACCAAGCCATTGAAAGGAACTGGAAACGCACATTTCGCCGGCAAAGATTTGTCTTGGTCTTGAAGAATACTTCACGGATCGTTTCTCCAGCAGCTCGAGGGCTAGCTGCAGGTCGTTGATAATAACCAAGGTCTGACCCAGTACTGTGACTGAGCTGAGAGGACCTTACGTTGGCATTTGAGTCAACGATTTATGTCTAATTGGCGTGATCTGACGCAAGAAAGGAGAACCAACCATAGCGATCTTTGTGCTTAATCCAGTGATGAGCTTCGAAATCTCCAGGCTTCGGCAAGTCGTTCACATTTCCCACTACCGAGAGGCCTTTGGGACCGGGCGGCAAAGGAGGCCGGCCTGTATTTTTGGATGCACCCAAAAATTTGTTGATCACGTACACCGCTATCAAGGCCGCGCCGAGGCCAAGTTGAAGAAATAAAGTGCCCATCGCTACGAATGACGACGAGAAGAGGAAACCCGATCGAAAATTCGATATCGATTCCGTTCGCTGTGCCATTCTGTCTTAAATACTGGTGCTGGAGGAGCCCCCTGGTCGTCGAACCCCTGCCACGGGACCCCTCACTGCGGTTCCCTGGCCTGCGAATCCGACTGAACAAATCGCAATAGCCTATTTGTAATTCGTCCCACTGATCACCAATCGTGTAACCATCGCGCAATGCATTCAGCGTAGTATCACGACTTAAACTAGCAAGACTAGTTTTCTCTGAACGGGAGGATGCGGTTTAGCCCTAGCACTAATAAGGATCCGACGCTGCTGCGTACTCTGAAGACTTGCATGCCCCATCTTCGTCAGGCAACTTTGATCGAAACGGCACCCAATCAATCGACCCGATTTCTTATCCAACCTTGGAAAGGTAAGCTGACTGCAGGACTCCTTCGCTAGTACGTGAATTCTCCATTTGAACCCGAGGTTGCACGAGGGAACACGAGCGAGCCGAAGTTGATCTGACAGCTGTAGGAGTTGATTGACAGTGCAACTCTGACCTGCTTACGGGAGTTTAGATCCATAAGCGTCGCTATAACTACATCACAAATGGGCAATTCGGCCGGCACTCGATCATCTTTATGTTGGCTCTATCGTGCGGCTTAGCTGTTAGAAGTGACCTGATTACCTCTCTCGCCCTGGACCTCTGTAGTAATATGTCATCTCGGTAGCAAATCGGAACGTCCTATCATGGGCATAACCTTTTTCCAAAGCGATCATATTAGTGCATTTCCAACATATCACAATGTGGAGTCATGTAATGAGATGCATTCCTTAGGTATTTAGAGACTATTCCTAAAATTACGTTCCTGTCTATCATCTCACCAAGCAGTTCAAACTTCAAAGTGGTTATGCTAGTGAATGATGCTGTGTAATATTTATCAGCAGTCCGTACTGGATAGGCGTTTGTTTAATCCGACTGCGATGCTTCTGACCGAAATGACGAATATGGCACCAAGTATTCATACTTTCCGGCAAAGGCAGCACTAAACTTCACAGCACCATAGTTCACAGCATAATAATCACAAGAGGACATAGTATACTGATTTTCACAGTTCAAGGCTGACAAGGGCTGATTTTCAAAAGTGTACTTTTATGTTAGTAGCCTATGTAGCGCCGGACATAATTGTATAAACTAGATACATTGCTGATACCTCAGCATGAAGAAGAGAAAATCAATCAGGCAAATGCCTTATGAATGGTTCGTTACCGTCAAGGATACACGTTTGCTGGTAGGGAAGATTTGTGACGGTTCCTTGGCCTAATAATGCCGGGAAACCTGATAACGCTTCTCCTGGCCTAGACCTAAACGTCGTAGTTTAGACCTTCTGTTTTCTGAGTCAGCGATCATTCTTAGTATGAGGTGTGCTCTAAATTTGACTTACCTCGCAGACACCCCACTTGCCCAAGCCGGAGCATCCGCAGGAGGTGCTGTCCTGGCAAGGAGCGGCGTTCCAGGTACCCTTGGTGTCGCCGTTGCAAACACACCAGGAGCCTGCGATCACGGAGTTGCAGCCGCAAGATTGAGTAGCGGCGCAGGAGCAGAGAACATTGACGGGAGCTCTCTCGTCGAGGTCGGCCACAGGCGAGGCCATGGCCATGGTGGCGAGGGTGGCGACGATGACGGCAGTGAAACGCATTTTGGTTGTGGAATAGTTGTTGATGGAGAGATTTGACTTGATACAGGCAAATGAAGCTTGCAGACAATGGATGATGAAGTAGTTGAGAGTGTGGTTTGTCGATGAGTGAAAACCAGATGAGCAAGTCCGTTCCCGTGTGTACTTATAGTTCTTCAGATGTAGCTATCAGCCAAGCATCTACCTAACCCAGCCAGCCAAAGGAACTGCCACTGCCGCCATTCAAAACTGCATCTCCATAGAATTTGGACTTTTGGTATCATTCGTTGACAAAAGTACCAAGCATACGATAAGTAGAACGAGTGCTCGCGATTCGATTTGCAAAGGATGCAAATGCCAGAAGGGCCAGAACTTGTTGCCTGAACAGACAACGAAGTATCGTGGAACTCTAGATGCTGCTTGTCCACCTTATTTGGACCTTTGGTTAGAAATTCTGGACCTAGCCCTGTCGGTGGAGTTGACTACTGTTAAGAGGACCAACAACGTAGTGGTCGGTAGTCCCTTGAACGTGATCCACTTGACGAACATCATGCCACATTCTTCAGTCGGCTGATGTTGCGGTCTCTCGGAATGTAACAGTTTGTGACTTCAGATGAACGATGGGAGCAATGTGATGCTGCCGCGCGTACTACACAGCGGTGTCTGGATTTTGGTCCTTACGGCTGACAGTCTATGTCATAAAGGTGGAATATAAGTGCCGATCATCATTGGCGCCCTTGCCTTCCAGGGGATACCGCCTCGGTTGAGACAGGCAGAAGAATTCTGTCAATTGATTCGCACCGCCCCCACATTACGTCTCGTAGGTAGTCTCGGGATTTATTCCAATCGCACGAGAAGCATCGTTATACTGCTGGAGAACTCAACAAGTCAATCCAAGCTTGAATTTGTCTGGAAAGTTTCAAAGAAAGTCCGATGTGATACGTATCTAGAAACCAGAGATGAGCTCTTAATGTTGTCGAATACTTGATAAACCACGTGCTAGTTCGTAAGTATTCATTGGTCGCTCCTTGACGTTGTTGCCCGATTCAACTTTGACTATTCCCGGCAAAAACAATCGCTCTAACAGCCCGGGTACTCTAGAGTCCAAGCCACCACGTCTGCGCGTTGGGGACTTTGGGACAAATTATGGCGTGATTAGTTGAAAGTGTGACAACATCGATCAACTTAGAAAGGTATGTCGTTGCCTTGGGGGCCGTGGATATAAGATCAGTGGACATCATCTGGTAACTTTCATCAGATACTAAAGCCTCCCCGTTGCCAATTAACTTGTCGTCTTGACACTCAAGGACCAAAAGCACTTGGTTGCCTGAGGAAGTAAGAGCAAATCTCAGGGAAAGGCTTGTGCGCATAACGCGGCAACAACCATGAGCAAATCTTCGGAATTTCCGTAGGAGGGCAGCTGGAACTTCAAAATCAGAAGTTGAAATGACTGATCAATATTGGATTGAGACATTGTCACGCAATCCAGCAGTTATCCGATCAAGCTGTAAGACGTGGTATGATTCGCGTCGCTGAACCAAATTGGTCCTTGAATAGTTCGATAAATGAAAACAGCGCAGTGACTGCGTTAACATCCATTTTCACAGACTATTTTAGAGTTCTCGTGAGATGACGAAGGTGAACACGCTGGCATATACCGTCATGTGAAACGAAGAAGAGATATTTAGACAAGCCTAGGTCGATGACTTGCTGACGTCGTGTCGCGTCGTACCTCGCTTACTTTCTTTCTTATCTCTGTCATGTTACTAACGTGACCATGGAATTTGTGATCTTGGCTGTCACCCAAAAGCAAGTCCACAGGCCAAGACATGTCTTTTTAATCTATCTTAGGCACAGAACTAACAGAATGTGACGCAGAAAAATAGCTCGACAATAGATAAACACACCGCATGTGTTCTTTTTGCAAGTCCATGGCCCTGAGACCGCATGGATATTTTTGAACTGTCGACCACCATCAATTGTAACCCTGATCTGTTTCATTTCGCGCGGGTGCTGCACAATCACTCAGCACGTATGCCGGTGACCTGATGACGCAAATAAGCACATGAACCTCGCTACTCGTAGAACTAGGGCAGATGAAGGCATCCGACAAGCTGGATCGTTATCAAATGTGACGTCTTGGCGCATAGCCAGGCCTGACCTGCATCTGCTACACACTGCCGTTTGTCAGCCATAAGTCCTTCCTGTATCATTGTGGAAGTCGGCAGCCAAGACTAGATGCGGCTGTTGCAAAAATGGACGCCGTAAGAAGAACGGCTGGAAGCGCCAATGGAAGCATGACTTCACGAGGCACCCCAGCACGGCAGACGAGCCAGATGGGCAGGTCCTTTGCAAATTGATGCTACGCCGCACAGTTGTTGGTCCAAACACATCGCCCCGCGATATGAAATGTCTTGGCACCTGCCATTTGGGGTTACATCGTGGCGTGCGTATATTTGAGCCAAGATGTTGCGAGCCGCGCTTTCGCCGCGACCAGACAAACAAACCCGCAGCCAAAATGCGGTCTGTTCCTGCCTTTCCCCCTCACGTCTCCTCGACTTGATGTGGAAACTGGCCCCGTCGGTGCATGAGGTGACCTTGCGGCAGCACTTCTGGGCATATGCTTATCAGTGATTGAGTCCTCTGATTCGCGATGTCTTACGGTTCCCCGCTCTCAACCCATGGTCGCGGTCAGGGGTTTTGTGAACTTATGCTGCATGCCAAGCTTAACCTGAGCTCGAGCTTGGGATGAGCTTCCGCTGTTCGCCGCTCGGCGTCGCATTCAGAGTGAGAAAGCATGGCACTTTTGAGATGACAAAAGAAACGCAGCATGCGAGATGGGCTCGGCGGGCGATCAGTATAAGAAGCAGCCGTTTCCTCAGGGGTCGCGTGGTGTTTGTGAGAGCGCAACCGGCCCAGCTCTTCTCGCGGTCTCTTCTCCGGTTTCGCTGAGCTCACCAAGTTGTCTGTCACGATGAAGACCACTTACCTCTCCGCCGCCGCTCTGGTGCTGGCTTCCAGCTGCCTGGCCACCGATCCTCTTACGGCCGACAAGGTCGAGGCCGACGTTAAGACTGAGGAGTGAGTATTTACACGTACTGCTGAACCGAAAGCTCAATTGGCTAACGCGAAGCATGTTAGACTGGAGCGCGTCCTCTGGAACCTGAATAAGATCGGTCGCGACAATGGTGGCACCCGCGCCTTCGGCACACCGGGTTACAAGGCTTCGGTTGACTTCGTTCTGGAGCGCGCTCAAACCCGCTTCGCCAAGGAGATGGACACCTGGCTGCAGCCCTTCAACCACACTTTCGAGCAGACGAACGCCATTTCCGTGACCGGCCCCGATGGTGCGGACGTCATCGTCACCAGCGCCGAGTACAACACCGCGACCCCTCTTCCAGACGGCATTACTGCCCCTCTCATCGACACCCCAGTCGACGACGAGAACGGCTCCGGATGTCTCCCCGAGGCATTCGAGGGTATTGACGCCACCGGCAAGCTTGCTCTCATCAAGCGCGGCGTGTGTGCTATTTCCGACAAGATCAAGAACGCGAAAGCGGCGGGCGCTCTGGGCGTGATCTTGTACAACAACGTGCCCGGCGACGACATTGTCAAGCCGACGCTCGGTGCTGAGAACATTGGCCTCCTCGTCCCTCTCGGAATCATCACCGAGGAGACTGGTGAGGCTTGGTCGGCCTCCCTTGCTGCTGGCGAGGAGGTCGTCGTTACCCTCCTCGTTGACTCCATCTTCGAGGAGCGTGAGACCTGGAACGTCATTTCCGAGACCAAGGAGGGCGACCCGAACAGCGTTATCATGCTCGGCGCCCATCTCGACAGCGTTCTTGAGGGCCCTGGTATTAATGACGATGGAAGCGGCACTGCTGCCCTGCTCCAGCTGATGGGATCTGTCAAGAAGTACACCGGTTTCCCAAACAAGATCCGTTTCGCTTGGTGGGCCGCTGAAGAGGCCGGATTGGTCGGCTCCTACTACTACACCGAGAACCTCAGCTCAGAGGAAGCGGACAAGATCAAGTACTATTTCAACTATGATATGATCGCTTCTCCGAACCCGATCTACGAGCTGTCCAGCTACAACAACAGCGGCATCGGCCCCCAGCTTCTGTCGGACTACCTGGAGGCCAACGGCAAAAATGTGACGTGGTCTGAGTTCGACGATCGTTCGGACTACGCAGGCTTCATTGCCTTGGGAATCCCAACAGCTTCTATATTTACGGGCGAGGGGGTAAACGATCCTTGCTACCATTTGGCTTGCGATACTCTGGACAATATCAACTGGGATGCCATTACCGTAAACACAAAGGCGGCCGGGCGCGCGATGGCCACCCTCGCCCTTTCTCTCGAGGGTGTCCCGCCTCGTGCTGACACTACTCCTGTCCTTCGCGGACGCGCCGGTGTTCTCCAGCAGTTCCGCCGCTGGAAGTTGATGGCTGAGACATCCAGCCATGGCAAGATGTGCTCTCACCACGACGAGAAGAAGGTGTACTAAGGAGAATGAGCTCGGGCGTTGGTGATGACGTCAATTGAGGATGATGATGTACAATAGTCAAAATGAGTGAAGAGCCTGATGAGTAATGAAGAAGATGTGTTGATGATCTGATGGCCAAACTTGATCCGATGCCTTCCGCACCTGGGAGCATGTCCCAGAATGCATCAACTAGCTGCAGCCTACAGCCAATGACAGTGAAAGAAATCGCCATCAAGTGCTCAGGATGAGTTGAATCCTTGAGTCTTGGTGAATCCTCGGCGTGCATATTTGATGACTTGAATTGGTACTTTTGGCGACCGCTGCGCCGGGCCAGCAGCTTCCGGACCGCGTGATAATGGACGGGGCGGCAGCAACCCGAATACGACGGAAGAGTGGGGCCGGCACCGAGGAACCGCTCCCGCCGGGCGCCGCGAGCCACTCAGCTGTCGTTTAGCGACCCAGCAACGGGAAATTGGCAGGATGCACGGGCCAATCCCGCAAAATCTTCCTGTCTGCCCCAACGGATTAAGGGGTCAACCCGGACCCGTGAGGTAGCTCTGTCGCGTTCTCAACCGATCCGCCGAGTTGATATACGGTCGTTTCGACAAGCGCTTGATTTGAAAAAGTGTCAAAGTTGTTCTTTGGCCTCAATCGACGAGACTTGAGATCGAAACATGGCTGTCAAGAAGCACAAGTACGAGTTTGGAGGCCCGTAAGTCGCGTCCCACCACACGACGCGTTCTCACCGCTAACGTCACTCAGTCCGGGAGCCTTCGGCATTGTATTCGGACTCCCCGTTCTTCTGTGGACTTTCTTCTTTGTCTGCAATGACAAGTCTGGATGTCCTGCTCCTTCGACCCTCAGCCCTCGAACGCTGAGCTTGGAGAAGTTGAAGGCTGAAATTCCCTGGCCTGCTGATGGCATCTGGGGATTCTGCAGCTGGGAAGTCTTCGGCTGGACACTGGCCTACTACTTCCTGAGCTTGGTCCTTCATGTTGTTCTTCCCGCTCAGGAGGTTCTTGGAACCAAGCTGAGAGAGTCCGGTCGTCCTCTGAAGTACCGCTTCAATGGTAAGGCTTCCAAGCTCCGGGTGAGACGACCAAATACTAACTTGGCACACAGCTTTCAGCGCCACTGTCTTGCAGCTGGCAGCTCTTGCTGTCGGAACTTACATGAAGGGTGCCGACTTCGTTGTCTGGACTTACATCTCAGACAACTACCTCCAGCTCCTGACCGCCAACATCATCATTGGCTACCTGCTGTCTGTGTACTGCTACGTCTGCAGCTTCAGCGTGAAGCCCGGCAACACCGAAAACCGTGAGCTCGCCGTCGGCGGCAACACCGGCAGCCTCATCTACGACTTCTACATCGGCCGTGAGCTGAACCCCCGCGTCACCCTGCCCCTGTTCGGCGATATCGACATCAAGACCTGGTTCGAGTTCCGCCCTGGTCTGACCGGCTGGATCATCCTTAACCTCGCCTTCTGCGCCAAGCAGTACCGCAACTACGGGTACCTGTCCGACAGCATCATCTTCACGACCGCTGTGCAGGCTTACTACGTTCTCGAGGGCCAGTACTATGAGGCCGGCGTCCTTACCATGATGGATATCATCACTGACGGCATGGGCTTCATGTTGTCTTTCGGCGACATTGCCTGGGTTCCCTTCCTCTACTCCACTCAGACCCGCTACCTTTCCATCTACCCTGTGCACCTGGGCTGGACTGGTATCGCATCCGTCTTTGCCGTGTTCGCCACTGGCCTGTATATCTTCCGCTCTTCCAACACCCAGAAGAAGCTCTTCCGCACGCAGCCTGACCACCCCAGCGTCAAGGGCATGCCCTTCATCCAGACCAAGCGTGGCACGAAGCTGCTCACTGGAGGCTGGTGGGGTATGTCGCGCCACATCAACTACTTTGGTGACTGGCTCCAAGCCTCACCGTTCAGCGCACCCACGGCTATCGCTGGATACATCATTCTTCCCGCTGGCAGTGCTGTTTCTGGTGCGATCACTATGCTTGACGGACGCGAGGTGATTCAGGGTGCGGCTCGTGGCTGGGGCATGATCTTCACTTATTTCTATGTGTTGTATTTTGCTATCCTTCTCATTCATCGTGAGGGACGCGATGATGTGGCTTGCTCTGAAAAGTATGGCGAGGACTGGGAAAAGTACAAGAAGACTGTGAAGTGGAGGATTCTCCCCGGCGTTTACTGAGAGGACAATGATACTTACGGCGGGTGAAGATGTCCATCCTCGTGCCACGGAACTCCCGGTTTCGTGTCTCGCCAATAGCCGCGTTAGACGAGCATTTCTGAAGGTCAAACAGTGGTGCCCGATCACCAAACCGAGCCCGGCATGCTCTCTCATTCCTTACTTACATTTTGCGTAATTATAAGGAGACGTGTAAGCAACGAGGATCTCAGCTTAACAACAACTTTTGCGATGCGGTAGATAGGAAATCACATCCGCGACTTCGCGACTTGAATGTAAGCTTGCGTGTAAATCTTCCACAGTTGCCAGCCACTATGGCTTACGCAGAAACTGGTCAAAAGCAAGAAAAATAGTTATTGGGAAGCAAAATCAAAATCAATTTCTAGCTCCATACTCAAGCAACATGGCTTTAATAGATGATTGAATGGTCTTCCCCTCCTCCTCGTAGTCCGCTTCGGGTATTGACCAATTACGTAGGTCCTGGAACATTTCAGGGTCACAAATGTGTTCAGAAATTGCTAGAGGTCGCCAGCCGTTAAGACTGTTGAACTGCCACAGGAATGTTTCTTCTGGCCATGCCGACGCAGCAACGCATCCCTCCGCATTAGGATTTGCCCCTGCTTGCAGAAGAGCCAGGACGCCCTCGATATCGAAAGTTGCCACGGCGATTTGCAATGGGGTAATATAGCATCCGTCCGCATTAGGATCTGCCCCAAGACTCAAGAGCTTCTCTAATACACACCAATCACTGCAATGCTGGGTGTGTTCATGTAAAGCACCAAAAGGGATAAGAGCCCCCTGAGGATCGAAATCCTCGGCGCCGACCTCAATGAGTAATCTGAACACATCGATACCATCGGTCCGGAACGTGCCCATGGATGTGGCAGGAAATAAGGCCGCGAAACAGTCGGTTAAAGTTCCTTGAAAACGCCAAACTCGTTCCAGAGACAGACCTGCATCTCTGTAGTAGAGGACGTTATATCTGAAATCAAGATCAAGCCGGAAAGGTTTCGATGGCTCCATTCTTTTCAGCAGCGCCTTGGCCAAACGTAAACAACCAAAAACGAGAAGCCTTACCAGAACGCGGGTTTCCAGGTTCGGCACAGTCTCCCATTCGACATTTTCGACAAAGTCGAAGTTATCAATCTTCGCTATGTTATGATCCATCAAGGTCCTGGCTCTATTACTCCAGATAGAGAAAAGCGGAAAGAAGTAATCCTTCTCTGTATCTAGTACATCGAGTACTCGATATAAAAGGTCGTTGTGCTCCGAAAATACGCCGTCAAAGAAGATGATTATGTCAATGGAGGTATAGGCGCAATAGGTTCCAAAGTTAGGAAGGGTAAAGATATCGTGCCCTGCTTCAGTCCACGTCACAGCCTTGTACTCTTCGAATTCATCATCACTAAGGCAGATGGCTCTGGCAAATATCCGTTCGGCTTTGTCAAAGACCAGGCCTTCCTTTTCCAACGTGAAGAATGGGTCGGGATGGTTTCTTTTGTTGGAGGCCAAGTACTCCAAAACAGTGTAGTGCGCAAAGGACACGTAGAATCTCTGTTGTCCATTCTCCAGAGTCGTTGGTGTGACTGTGACAAGACATCCGCAAATTTCACGGAGACTTTCTGTGTCTTGGGAGAGTTCCTCAAGATTATCTCCGAAGATGTCTTCGTCAACGGCTTGAGCGAGCATTTGCATATCGACATATGCCTCTACGCCAGTATGCAACTTGGCCTCAAAACACAGCCACTTCCTGGCGGAGTTGACGTAAGGAAGATCTTCGTCTTCAATCTGCTCAAATATCCTGTCGTAAGCCTCATCTAGAGTCTTGGGCAGTCTAGACAAAGCTTCTCTGATGGCTTCTCTCCTTCTAATGCGCCGCAGCACATCGATTTGGCAGACAACCCATCGGAACCTTTTATTCATCAGCGACTGGATCAATCGTCACAGAGCTTGCGGGACGATTTACTTACATGCCCTGCGCGCCATGTGATAAGGCTTCCACAGTCTCTTGCCGAAGCTCTGCTGGCCAACTTTTGATGTGTTTCTCCGTCTGAAGGCGCGACTCCGTATACAGGCGGATGTCAGCGTCTAGAAACTCGTTTTTCATGGATACCGACGTGGAAAACTCGATCATCACTATCTCAATGTCGGCATACTCCCGACTTGTGAGTAGCAGCCGAATCTTGTTGAAGCGTTTTTCGGTTGCTAATTGTCGTACAACTTTGAGTAAATCTTCGCGGGGATTGCTTTCGTCAATGGCATCGATCGTGACGTAGACCTCATCAAAGCATTCAAGCTCCCGCTCGATCGCAGTAAGAAGATCTTTTAGAGACGGCGTCCCTCCATGCTTGAACAGTTTCCAAAGATGGTCAGAAACCTCATTTGCTTCGCGGCAAAGGCGACTTAAAATCCACCTCAGAAGAGAAATTGATTTGTCTCGATTATGCCCAAAGTAACAGTAATACCAAACGCTTATAAATCTTCCAGAATCTGCAGCTTCGCAGTGTTCCGCAATCTTATCAATGAGCTGTGAGGCGAGGATGGTTTTTCCGGCACCTGGAATGCCGTGGATCCAAAGACAGCGCTCTTTGCCGCTCAGAAATCCAAGCCATTCGGAAAGACGCGTTGCCCAATCACATGTACCAGGTTCATAGTTGGCTTGTGCTCGGTGATGCAGGGAAGAGGGATCAATGTCTTCCAACCATTTGAACACTTCACGCCGTTCGGACTCTGATAATGTCAACTGGAGCCGGTTTGTTCTCTGGACCAAATCTCACATTGAATGACTTGAACCACACATTAGTTGAGACTCCTAGTCCTATTGTTCCCTTGTGTCTGCCAACTTACGCGCTATCGGCGGTCAACGCCAGGACAAGCGTGCCCTTATATCTGGCGATGTCTTCCATGAGCTTCTTTGCTTTGCTTTCTTTCAACGGCCATGTTAGAGTTGCGAATGCGGTGCGTGCTCGGTCCTTCATGGAACTATTAGATCCCTGAGAAGGAGCATTTCCTGTAGAAAACAGAGCCTCAAGACTCTTCATAGCCTCGTAGCATCCTTCGATAGGACCTGATGTGCCGCCCAAGCTGTCGAAGATTGCTGATTGTCCATCGTCGTTTTCGATGAAAAACTCGACGTTCTCAAGAATTGTCTTTAGCGTCAAGGTCTCTACCAGAATCGTCCGCAGATCGCTCGGTGCATCCTTCACGCATTCAATGTAGTGTTTGCACAGGGAGATGACTCGGTCTGCGACCTGAACTACAGCAAAAACACTTGCTGCAAGACCCAACACCTCCGCCATTTCAACTAATCGCGCGAAGGATAGATTCGAGAGTGGACCAAAGCCCGACAGATGCCAGAAGCTCAAACGAGGGGTTTTGGGAGTTGGAGGTGTGCAAAACTGGCGGCAAGTCTGGATGTGAACTGCAGTCACAGCCTGATCAGGCTGTGCCGCACGCAGTCGCGTCAAACCAATCGTGTCGCTGGAAAATAGCATGCCCCATCTACTACGCGGGTCAAACTTGCAGAACTATCGTCCAATGAACATAAAGTGAGATATTGTCACTTTGCCATTTCCTAACCACGTGATGAAGGAGCATGTTGAAGTCTTGACATTCAAAAGCAATGCTGAAATTCATAGAAGTTTCATAAAACACACCGCTTACAAGTTGCTGGAAATTCTAGTGACAATCTTCATGAGCTCATCCTCCGTGGGTATCGTGCCCATCTTCTCCACACTCCTCTCATTCTGGAAGCCCTCATCGGGGCTGGCCCAGCTGTAACCCTTCCACTCACCCAGCGCAGGCCACATCTTCTGCTCCACCAACGCCTTCAACTTCTCGTACTTGTCTGCCGAACCAGTCTCGGTGCTGGCTCCCATTCCCTCGAGCACCTTCTTCCAGGCGTCGACTGTTTGCTCGAGCTCAGAAACGTTGGTCACACCCATGACACTGCCACCCACACGCAGATCCCCCTGGCCAGGGAGCTGGACGCCAAGACCGGCCAAGGCGCCAACGCGGGCATACTCCTCCATCGACCAATGAAGAGCGATCGTCTCCAACCGCTCCCCGGCCTCATTGGCAAACGTCGAGAGCTTTTTGCAGGCTGTGCGCAAATCGTCGGGGGCGGGGTGCCATTTCGCAATGACACCGGCCTTGCCCTCTGATTGCTCTGAGTTGGTGGGGATGCCGGTGTGCGTGAGCAGGCCCATGCCGAGCATGCTTGCGTTGAGAACGACTTGCACGCCGGCGTTGCGGAATCTTCTCAGAGGGCTCTGGTCGTTGGTGTGGTCGGCGCCGGCGACGACTTCATCGTAACCGAGAGTGGGGTTTTGGATGGTGAAGTGGCCGTAGCTGAGAATGGCATCCAGAGGCTCGCCGGTCTCGGCGAGGATCATCTCAGCGAGACTGCAGAGGACGTGGACGGGGAAACCGCTGATTCCGACGAAGCGGATCTTGCCCTCATCGCGAAGCTGTCTTAATGTCTGAACAGCGGCGAGGACTTCTGAGGGGGAAACGAATTCGACATCGTGCATGTACACGAGATCGAGGTAGCTGGTGTTGAGGCGGTTGAGAGAGCGGAGGACTGAGTAGCGCACGTATGCGGGCGAGTAGTCGAACTCGTTGCCAGCGATACGGCCGGCCTTGGTGACGAGGACATATGATTCTCTGGGGATGTTGGTGGCTGCGGTGTGAGCGGCCAGCGCGTCACCCAGCAGAACTTCTGAAGGACCGTAGTATGGTGATGTGTCGAAACCGTTCACACCAAGCTCCAATGCCCTTGAGACGATTTGTCTGTAGGGCATCTGAAGAGGGTCCTTGACATGTTGTGTGTTGAAGGTCGCAGTGCCCAGGAAGAGAGGAGGAAGAATAGAGGCAACGCTAGGCCTAGTAGCCGGGTTGAGGCTTGTAGTGGTAGCGGCCATGATTTGAAGTGGATGATAGTGAATGAGACGAGAAACGGGGAGAGATGGTTCGATGATAGAGGTGAGATGGCACGGAGAGGTTGGATGGGGTCTTGCTCAGGCGGCGTCTAGACTTAAGTCGGACGGCGGAAGAGGTCGAGGTGTTTGCGGGTTGATATGAGAGGATCACGATAGGGTCGGTGAGCGAGTCTGGTCTAGAAAGATTGACTGGGTCTTCCAAGCTCCTGAGCTAGGAACAATGTGTTATTAACCATAATCGGTGTGTGGGCTTCTTTTTTGGGCTTGCCGGCGCGCCGGTAGTTCTAGCGTACCCAGAACCCGTCCGCCCGGTTTGCCCAGGCCAAGCCGCGTACGAAGTATACGTTTTACTCGGGTCAAACTTGGGACTCTCGTCAATTCTTACGAAGCCGGTGGCGGTGGAGTTCATGCAGAGCTTTGGGAGCCAAGAATCGTCGACTTTCGCTGCCAGATTGCACGTGTCAGCTCGTCTCAACCTGCCACAAAAACCGATAAACATGGGTGTCATGGACCCCTAACGAGAGAAAAAGAAAAAAAAGCGACCCTTGCTCTGTGCGGCCTTTCAATCTGCCTCCTACCGGCCCTCGCCGGCCGGCATAAGTGGCGGTCGGGGAACATGATATATCCATGTTCATCTGAGACGAGCCACCTCAAGCCACGGCCCTTGACTCGTCATCCACACCGGATCCGATCCCTGCGAATCGAACCAGAATCCATTCCTTCCCCATAACGGACGCTAAACTAGGATTGTAATATAACCCGTCGTTAGCCTCAATTTCGAACAACGCACCAGTTTTTTTCCCTCACATCCTTCACCGACAAGGAGCCATACAAACAGCCTCCATCTTTGGTTTTGAGGAGCTGTTTCTTCTCCAATTGTCGTGATCTTCCTCTCTTGTCTTGCAGCTTTAATCATTTGTCAAGCATGATGGCTGCAATTGCGTCTCTCGAGCCGCACATCCAGGGCATCATCGAGGATGCGGCCGCCGACGGCGTGCCCTTCCGGGCCCGCGCAGCCCACTTTCATACGACATGGGCGCGGACTTTCGCCTCGCTGCCCGAGCTGTACATCCAGCCGCAGTCGCAACAGGAAGTCGAGAAGGCGATCAAGCTTGCTCGCAAGTGCAGGCGGCGCATCACCACAGTCGGCTGCGGCCACTCGCCGTCAGACCTGACGTGCACGAGTAACTGGCTTGTGAACTTGGATGACTTCAGGAAGGTGTTGTCTGTCGACAGTAAGCATATCTGTTTCGCAGTCCAACCCGGCTCCGGCGCTAACCTTACACAGAGGAGACGGGATTGGTCGTCATGCAGGCCGGAATCCGGCTTTGGCAATTGACCGAGGAGCTGAACAAGCACGGTCTGTCATTCCCTGTCTTGGGAAGTGTGAACGAGCAGAGCATCGCTGGTGTTATCAGCACCGGCACCCGTGGCAGCACCTTGAAATACGGACTGCTGTCGGAGGCCATCTCCTCCCTGAAGATCACCCTGGCCAGCGGCGAGACGGTAACGTGCTCGCCGGATGAGAACCCGGATCTGTTCCGCGGCGCCCTCCTGTCCCTCGGGGCTTTGGGTATCATCACAGAAGTCAGCTTCCGAGCTGTCCCTGCTTTCAGTCTGAGGTGGAACCAGACCATCCAGGCTGATACCACCATGCTGGATGCCTGGAAGCAAAACAACAAATTGTGGACTTCGTCGGACTTTGTGCGGGTGTGGTGGCTGCCTTATACCAGGAGGGCGGTCGTATGGAAGGCCGACATCGTCACCAAGGAGGACCTCGAGTCCGGTAGAGAGAAGAACCGCGACCCTCCCGTCGGTTACTACGATGGAGCGCTCGGTTATCACATCTACCACAATCTCCTCTACCTGTCGCGTTACATCCCCAAGATTACTCCATGGATCGAGTGGTAAGTCCAACACACACACCCCCACGGCCCAATGACTAGCGAGTACGCGGATGCTGACGGCTTTCCAAGGTTTGTCTTTGGCATGCAATATGGCTTCAAGAACGGTTACACCACCGGAGCTGTCCAGCCCATGGACAAAGCTCTGTGGATGAACTGCCTGTACAGCCAGTACGTGAACGAGTGGGCCATCCCGCTTCACAGAGGCCCGGAGGCGCTCATGCGTCTCGGATCCTGGATCAACAGGCTGCAGCCGGGTGACCCCTACTACGTCGACCACGGCATCCCGTACTCCGCGGAGGGTCTCTACATCCACTCTCCCGTCGAGGTCCGCGTGTGCGACGCCACCGTGCACACCAGTGCCGAGCAGCGCAACCGCCCGTGGCTCGACAGCACCATCAAGGATGGCCCGACGCTCAACCTCAACGCCACCATGTACCGTCCCTACGACCTGGATCCTCCCGGCTTGAAGCGCTGGTTCCAGGGTTTCGAATGGCTCATGCGCGACCTCGGTGGCAAGCCTCACTGGGCCAAGAACTTCACCGTCAAGAACACGGAGCTCGAGGAGTGGTACGGAGACGACCTGGTCCAGTGGCGACGGGTCCGCGACGAGGCCGACCCCGATGGTTTGTTTATTGGGCCGTGGCACCGTCAACACGTCCTTGCTCCTAACTCGGCTCCCTTGGAATTCGAGGAGGTCGAGAGGACGAGGCATGATGCCGGCAAGGGCGTCACGGTGTACGGTCTCCGCCCACAAGCCGAGAAGGAGAAGCTCTAAGCTACCTTACTGCGTAGGGATGTGAACATGATAATGATGTACCTTCCGCTTCCGGTGCGGTGCGTCATTTGAGCGCAAGGGCGGTCTAGACATAGATTTGATAGATAGCACTTGCATGTTTGTCATGAAAAGCGGTGAAATTGAACAAACTTGAACAACTTCCTCTTTTCGGGTCTTCGTCCGTGCTTCACATGCCATGTCCAACAGTGAGAGGGTTTTCTTCTAGGCAAGCTCCAGCATGCCCCTGAGCACATGCATCTTGCCAAATCTAGCTGCCAACAACAAAAACACGACGACCCGTCTTTTTCATCATTCATGATCTTCACTTGGCACTTTGTCAACTAGATTGATATCTGGGGGTCTGCAGCTTGCTTCTCGTTCGGGAAGTCGACTTTCCTGATTATGGACTTGGCCTCGGTGGTTTTGCGGCGCCCCTTTACAAGGGTTGAGGCGAAATCTCACAGACTAGGAGATAAAGACGTTTTGCGTTGTACGCACCTGCAGCTCTAGTACTATGTAGGGGCCCCCACCCCAGTTAGATCGTCGGATCGTCGCCCTTTAATCTGGCATGGGTTATCCAGCACTCTAGACCGTTCTCTCTCTTCTGATAGCCACTTTTTAATCCTCTCGGTCTCAAAAACAAAGTTGGGAATACTGGACCTTTACGCACGTCAGTAAGCGAAGACGTCGAACCCTTCAGAGTATGCAGCCCAGCGGCTGGACGGCATTCTCGAAACTTGATCTTCACCGAGTGCAATGCTGGTCGTATGTTGTTCGGCCATGTCGTGCTCAGCCCTGATTCGCATGGTATGGCAGTCTCACTAGTGATGTTGGGATGAATAGTTGGTCGAGAATCCACCAGTATGGAAGCTTTCTGCTTCCGTAGGGCTGTCAGACAGAATGCAGCATGTCATCTCGACTTTTGACCGAGGACACCATCAGCCTGACTAGTGTGAACTGTCTGCAACAGGCTGATGCACAGATGTCTGCGGCAGTTTCTCACATCGGACGAGCAGAGCGTCTATTTTTACACTATCTTCTTTGAGTGAAGTCGGCAAGTGAATTCGATGCGAATATCGATATCGGCTTCTTGGTGAGCCTCAACTAACATAACAAGCGTGATAAAGCCTGATGGCAGAGGTTTGCATGAAGATCCGGCAGGCGGCTGCCGAAGTCGAGTTTGTCCTGCGAGGGGCTCGTTTAGCGATAACCAAGGGCATGTCGCATAGCCTTGTTTGTCCCGTCCAAACGGGCCCAACGGGATATCCGCTGTCGTTGACGTGAGCCTCAGGGAGGCTTTGGCGATATTACGATTCTACCTGGACAATAGCAAGCCACCCGATTGATCGGGTTGATACGCGGCGCGGCGACGGCGCCCTCCCGTTGCCCTGCACAGCGCGCGGCAAGCTCGAGCCTGCGCCATCCCGCGATGGCCTGACGGGTCCGACAAGTGGGAATTCACAACCCGTTTTCCATGCCAAAGAGGACGCTGTTGGCGCCATCTTGTGGGCCTAGAGAATGAAACTGGCAGTTGAGCCGCCTCTCCCGTTTATGCATTGTCGCGCGGTGGAAGGATTTTCCATCGGTAGACCCCCACATCCCGTTTCACCGGTTTGACCGAGGCGAAATGCAGCCTGGAAAAGTCTGCCAGCGTAGCATCGAGCCGCGTCAATACCGTGAAAAATAAGCTTTCGAATATGATAGCCACGTCAGATGAACCACATACGTCAATTGCCGCAGCCAGTGGCGGACGTTGACGTGGTTGCTGAGGATGACTCTGCGATAATTCTTCTTTTCGTTCTTTTGCCCAATTTTTCTTATGCCGAAAAGGGGCTACCGCCAATGTCACATTGGCCGCCCACCGGCCGGAAAGCACGTCTTTCAATCACAGGCATTCGCAATTAAACTCATCAGGGTTGGCAAGAAGCTCTGACAGCTCCGTCGAACTAGGCCGTAAAAGCCTGTGCCCCAGATCCGGTCAATACGGGGGACGGAGCCGTCTGGGAGAGACACCTTGGAGTCGTGGACGGAACCGACCCGTCGCCCCGGAATTAAGAGACAATGGACTCGGTCCACCCACCCAAGTCGGCAGTTGAAGAACGGTCAAACCCAACGTGGGAAAGATCAGGGAAGAAAAAGCAATGGGCCGTTACCATGGTGCGGCGAGGTAGCCTTGTTGGAAATGCTGACATTGGTGGAGCGTTGCAGCTTCAATGGTGGGGGGCCGGGTCCATCTGGCGACGAGGGCGCGTATTGCTGTGCCCAATGGCCGCTGCACATGCTTGGGTCTCACAAAGGGGGGTTGCTCATTTCTCCAATTTTCTGAACCCGTTTGAAGGCTTATCTCCTCGGTGGACTCAATCCAACAGTGAACAAACAGACGGACTCGGAGGCCGACTTCCTCCTGGCCGCCGTTTTGAGACTCTGAAGTCGTCAGCGAGGAGCACGCAGGATCACACAGCATGTTAGAGACGGACATCCCGCGGGGGCCGTCCGAACCGTATCACCATGTCAGTGTCAGTGTCATCTCTTTCTCCTCGCGTGTTACGAGAGCTGCGACAATGGTTTGGGACGGCACTTTCCAAAAGTGCGGCCCAGATATTGTTAGCTCCCTCTGCAGGTCCGTGACTGTCGCAGGATCGCGCGGGAGCACCGATTCAGATGAGGTGGTTGAGTGAGGGTGGGCGAGCGAGTGCAGGTTGACAAGCAACCAGTTTGGGGCACTTTGGGGGAGCAGGAAAAACCCGGGCAGCTCGTACTGCGTCAACAAAGCCATGATTTACCAACTTTGTCGCTGATCTGCGACCGAAAGACCGGACGAAGAGCATGTAAATCGATGCCAAGCCCAAGAAATCGAGAACTTCAGATAAACGGCCCCCCAAGCAACTAAAAACAGCGCACAATTAGGTTGATGCCCCAGCCAAGCTGCCAAGCTACCAGCTACAGGAAAGCCTCACGCAGCACATTATTTGATGTTTACTCGAGGGTTGCAGCTCTCATGGAGTATTCCTCGGCACAACCTCTTGGCAGAGGCAGAGTTGTGCAATCTCTGTGCTTCTCGAGGGAATCAGGGATGTCCTACCCTTGGATCTTGCTGCACAGACGGCCCCTCCCGACCAGAGGGTCGGGTCCAGCCACACCCTGCCTACCCCTGCACCCATGGCGGTAAGGATGGGCCTGACCAAGCACTAGACCGGGACATGAAACTGACTCTTGTTCGCCTTCCTTCTCCCTCCCTCCTCGGTGTGGCTGATGGACATGGGATCTTGCAGAAGTCAGATTGTGGCTCAGCGTTGACGGTTTTCTAGGCCTTCTGGGCGCCATCTATCGGTTAAAGCTGCCCAGCTGCGAAAATTCTTCCTAGCGTTGCTACGCAGACGCCAAAGCATATTGTTGTCCCTCTTAGTTGCCTCCACCGTTAAACTTTCCGTCATCCACTTCCCGTACAATTAAGAAGGCCCAAATTCAATATTGCGGCTCCTTTTCAACAACATATGCCCGCCCGGGGCGAACGGCACACGCAATTAGCGCGCGCCCAGGACCACTTGTTGCTCGAAGATGCCGTTTTCATTGATAATCGCCTAGTCATCGATAAGTGGATGACGTGACCCCATATCTCCCGTGTTGTCCACCGTTAGTGCGGCTGAGACCTGTTGCAACGCCCGTTAGCTCTGGAGATTGAGACAGGAACGGTCTCAGACGGCCGACATTTTTTCTTCTAGAAGAAGGTAAAAGGAAAATGTCGAACAGACACCGTCATCTGAAAGAAATCGGACGAGCTGCAGTGCAAAGCCAGAGTCAGGGGACTGTAACAGGGCAAAGTTGCTGCTCATGATGGCTACTCGTGGACACCACGTGCAAATTCCCCAGAGTTCCAGACAGCCAGCCAGCCAAGCGTGTGTTTCTATGTCCAACAGGCGGCTATCTTGGCGCGACCATGGCGTCGTCGAATGACAGAACGAGGCGAGCGTTTAGAAACTGCAAAAGCAATTTACGGAAGCATGCATTTAGCGCGGATTGATAACCATTAAAGTTCAGTCTAGGTGAGGAGTAGAGACTGCAAACCTGATAGAGATCTAGAGTAGCTCCTTGTCGGACGGAGATGAGTACAGTTTGGGGAAGATGGCCAAGCCTGTACGCGCCGCCTGTCATCCCCTTGGCCGCGCATGCAGGGACGCAGCAAGACGTTGGCCCAGAACGGGATCTACCCCCTTCGTCGGTGTGGCTTGACGTCTACCTCGCACAAATCGAGCCATACGCCCGTGGTGGAACCTGATAACAAGTTCACAACCGCGGAAGTGAGGTGGCTGCGATTATGCTGGGCCAGGCATATGCCTGTCAATCGAGCGCACAAGCCCTCGCGTCAGGTTGCCATTGGATAAATGGCTGCAGTCTTGGCCCGTTGTTTATTGTGGGCTATTTCGAGACGCAACTTCGTCAGCTCCTCTTGCCGGGCCAAACGTGCATGTCCTGAGTAAATGAAGGCTCTCGTTTGCTCCCCGACGGTGAGCATGGGTTCACCTGGGCCACACCGTTGCTTTCATCCGAAGACGACCGCCACTGTCATGAACTTGACGGCAGATCGCCCATGATAGGCCCAAGCTGGGTACCTCCCTGTGCATGGACATGAGTATCCGCTTTACGCCTAACGACCAACTCCTCTTGCCAGAACTGGAGATATCAATATGGCAGGACTAGTAAAGCGAGCTCCCTTTTGATCAGTATTAAAGAGCGGATCTCCTCTCATCACCATCGAGTCCATCATCATCATCACCTTTGAGATCATCAAGCAATCCACTTGCCAACCATTTTCCTCTTTTTTCCAACATCAACAGGGTTGATTCAACAGCTTGAGCGGGACTCTCTTGTCTACTTCACATTTCGCAAAAAAACAATAACACCAGCGACTCGTTTCTTCTTGCCTTCTTCACTCACACTTTTTTTCAAAATGGTCCCTCCTCGCTCTGGATCTGCTATGGGCATGCGCAGCCGCGGCCCCGTTGAGTTGAACGTCAACCTCGCCAAATCTTACGAGATCCGTGGCCCCAAGTCACCCATGCCCAGATCTCCCCTCAGGGACACCACCGTCGAAGATCGCACTAGCCGCTCTTCGTACGAAGATCGCCTCGAAGGTGCCATCCACGTTCTCCGCACTGAGGCCAACGCACTTCAGGCCCTGACGCAGCTCTACTCGTCCGAGCGCGTCTGCCGTGATGGCTTCTTCCGCTCCATCGAGGTCCTCACCCGCCACCGCGATCACCGCGGCAAGGTCGTCTTCATCGGTGTTGGCAAGTCCGGCTGGATCGCCAAGAAGCTTACCGCCACCTTCAGCAGCTTGGGCATTCCAGCTGTCTTCCTCCACCCTACCGAGGCCCTTCACGGCGACCTTGGCATCATCGGCGACTATGACACCCTCATCATGATCACCTTCTCCGGCAAGACACCCGAGCTCATGCTCCTGCTCCCGCATCTCAACAAAAACTGCCCTCTCATCCTCCTCACCTCGCCCACCCGCATGGAGACCTGCGAGATCGCCAAGGCACGACCAGATCTCATTCTCCTTCCCGCTCCTATCCCAGAGTCCGAGAAGGAGACCTTTGGCGTCTCTGCTCCCACCACCTCCACCACCATGGCCATCGCCGTCGGTGACGCTCTCGCATATGTCGCCTCCAAGGAGATGTACTCCTCGGTGTCAAATGTGTTCGCGAAGAACCACCCCGGCGGCGCTATTGGCCAGGCCTTCAAGACAAAATAAGCGACTTGGGTTGCTTTTTGAGATTTGTGCAGTTTATTCTTGATTGGCGGGGCGTTTTAGGGTAAAGGGTTTACTTCTTGCAGCGGACAGAGTTACATAAAGGCTCTCATGGTGTCCACATTCTTGTACATTTACATTACATCTTCTGATGGGTTCATTTGTTCAAATTTGATGGCCTGCTGGATGTTCATAGACTTTTCTTCAGATATTTGGATACCACAAAATTCGATGATCGCAAATTCTTTCAAGACAATTTCGCCTATCCCTGCTAATTTGTGATGCGAACAATAAAATTGAATCATGACTCTAAAACGCATTTCTCGCTATTATTTGTGCTTCAATTTGGGCATCTTCTTGATCAATCGTATTCGGTACGAAGATGTCGTTGTTTCGATCTCGGCAAAAGTATCCAAATCGGAAGTCAATTTATTTGAGTTCGACTCAGACCCCCAAACTTGTTCAGCCGACTACCGACATGCAGACAATGATCTTGGCAAACCTTCGTATTAACATTCGCCAAATTCCCTTGCGTCTCATCATTTCTTCTTCAACGACATGCCTTCATGTTGCCATCATTGACGACATTGACAATAAAATCATCACTTCCGAGTTCGCTCTAGAACATGCCGCGTTTGCGTGCCGGTTAGCCAACATGAAGCACAATGACGTGCCGTGATACCGATAAAAACATGCATTCAACCCCAGAAGTCCCAAACGATGAGTTTCTTTTGCGGAGCTTGCCACAGATTGCCACAGATTGGTGGGTGAAGCGCTTGCTTCTGTGCAACAGATCTGGCTGATAACTCACCAGCGTCTCACAAGCTCTCCGTGAGTCTGTTTTGGCTTGCCTGCAGCAGCCCAAGATGGTCCCCACACTGATATGAACTCACTGCAATCTCTCTCCAACAGGCTCCAAACACGGCACCTGGGATGCTGTTTGCTTGTTTTCATTCCCTATCAGCAGCGGTTACTGTGAACAATGCTGCATATCCTGCCACCGTTACCCCTGCAGGAGGATCGCCCGTGCAGAACCAGGAAAATTTAGGGGGCGCGGACCATCGACCGACAGGGGGTTCCTAGTGCTCTTCGAGAAACCTGCCCTGAGTCGCATTGATTCGATCAACGGGACCCACGGCATATCCGATCACAGTCCTTAAAACAGTGTGTTATAACGCCAGCTGTCACGGCACGTGGGGTTGTCGGGCTTGACGCGTAGTCCCAGGGATAGGCTGAGCTGCGGACGACTGCTGGTGGAGCCCCGAGGTCTAGTTGATTCAGGAGCTCTCAGAGAAATTAATCATGCCCGGGGGACCGCTGCGGTGGTGTCGATCCGCACAAAGGAGGCCCCCGTTGATCCTCGGAGCCGGGGTCCCCAAGGAGAGTGCTCATCAGCCACGCCGAGTTCGCGGCTACATTGACGACATTTGACGTACCCCCATGTGGGGAGGACTGCGTATTAGCCGCCATCGTTGGGTTGTCCAAGACATGCATTGCACAAGCAACGAGCCGAAATGGGCGCTTCTCGCCCCTTGGGAACCGGCCGTCTCTTCCTGATAGGGTGAGACCGGGCCTTTGGCGGGTTCCCGTCCCTAGTGTCTGCAGTTATCACTCATTGAGGCCCATCGTTGACTGAGCTCTCCTCCTTCTCTCACCCCAGGAGCATACAATCATGTCGCTGCAAGTGCCTGACCCGGACAGGCTGAACTTCTTCCCACCGAACCAGGCAAAGCAGACCAGATTCGCGCCTCTGCCGCCTAGACCGCCTCCAGCGCGGCATTCCTTCATCAATGCTCGAAGCTCATGGATGAGGAGAAGCCAACGCTTCCCCATGGCAGAGAGCTACGAACGCTTACCACGCCTAAGCCGACTGTCATACTTCCCCGTCGCCAACGAGTACATCGATGGAGTGTTCAACGAGAAGACGAACCTCCCACCTCGGTGGTCGTTCTACGTCCCCGACTTCGACTTTGACGTGAAGGATTTCGAGAAGTACGAGCAGCAGCAGCAGCAACAACAAGAAAAGGGCGAGGACGATGACGTCCCCAAGGCCCTTAAGGCATTCCGTGTCGACTTCTATCCTGGTGACCCTGACGACCCAAAGTGCTGGTCCGTAGCCTACAGGATACTCGTCATCGGCATGTTCGCCTTCACCACCCTGGCCACCGGTATCTATTCCACCGCCTACTCCAGTGGCATCAACTCAATGGTCCCTGAGCTCGGCGTCACCAACCAGTCACTACCATTGCTGGGTATCTCACTCTACCTCGTCGGCCTGGCGTTGGGTGCCCTCATCATGGCGCCGCTAAGTGAGACATTTGGTCGAAGACCTATGTACATCGGTGGCCTCAGTGTCTTCCTGGCTTTGATCCCGATGGCAGCTCTCGCGACGAACTTCACCATGGTCATCGTCGCCCGTTTCTTAGGGTATGTGATCCCAAGCCCCCATTGTTCGTGACAACATACTGACGTCACATCAGAGCTGTCGCCGGAAGTGTCATGCTCTCCAACGTTGCTGGATCGATTATGGACATCACCGACCCCAAGTATCTTCCTCTCGCCATCTCAGTTTACTCCTTTGGTCCACTCAACGGCCCGGTGCTGGGACCTCTCATCGTAAGTACATACACCATCTCACTTTGGTCCCAACAATGAGCTAACACATCCTTAGGGCGGTTTCATGGTTGAAGCCTGGGGCTGGAGGTCTCTGAACTGGATGTCGCTCATCTCAACGGCTGTGGGCGCCTTTTTCATCATGACCGTCCCTGAAACATACCGCCCAACGCTTCTGAGGAAGAAGGCGATGACGAGGAGAATGCAGGAAGGCGACCACCGTTACTGGTCTGACTTCGATGACTCCGTCCCCCTCTTCCGCAGAATTCGCACTTCGATCTCTCGACCTTTCATTTTGTCCTTCACTGAGCCTGTTTTGATGTTCTGGAACATCTACATCTCAGTCATCTATGCCATTGTGCAATTGGCATACGTCGCTTTCCCTATCATCTTCCAAGACGAACGAGGCTGGTCCACATCAATCTCGGGACTTGCTTTCCTCGGAGTGTTCGTTGGCATCGCCCTCGTCCTCGCTACCGAGCCCTTGCTACGAAAACTCGTTCAACGCCAACCCAAAAACCCGGAGACAGGCAAGCCTGAGCCGGAAGCCACCGTTCTTCTCATCTGTATCGGCGCTGTGCTCGAACCAGTCGGCCAGCTGGCGTTCGCACTCACATCCCTTCCCATCGAAATTCCCTTTTACTGGAGCATTCTGTCAGGCGTTCCCTTTGGATACGGCTTCGGCCTTGTTTTCATCTATGGCACCGGATACATCTCCAATGTATTCGGCATGTATGCCACCTCCGCCTCTGCAGGCAATCTCGTTTTCAGATCAATCTTGGGCGCGGTGCTCGTCATCGTGGGCAAGAGCATGTATCACGCGCTCACCCCGCGCATCGCGGGTATCACTATTGGTGTCGCCGAAGTGGTGCTCATGCCCATTCCTTTCATCTTTCTTAAGTGGGGCAAGAACATTCGGCAAAAGAGCAAACTTATTCGGACACTGGAGGAGCAGGCGAAAAAGGTTGCAAAGTGAATCATTTGTACTAAACGGAAACCGGCGAGATACCCCTTTCCTTCCTGTCTATATTTATGTGTGCCAGTCACATTTTCCCTGTCCAAAATTATTCAAAGCGTGTACATGTAGATAGATAATTAGAATCAAAATAGCAATATTGATATCAATAACTCGTACTCCTTGACGCTTCCCACCCTGTCCCATCAAGCCCTTTCATCAAAACTACCCATATCACAACCTAATACTACGCCGCACATAACTCTAGCTTTTCCGCCCAACAGTACCTGACCCAATCACTTTGCGAATATGAACGAGTCCCTTCTGGCGGTGGGGCTTTCTCATCTAATTTGAATCCTTGCTGAACGCCGTCAATTTTCCATATCCTGTTCCTGAGCAATTCGAGAGCAACCGAAATATTGAGAAGTCCGTTCTTCTCAAGCATTTTTTCAAGTCGAAGTTCGACTTGGTGTCGCCGTGAGCTAACCGGCATGGTCTCACAACCAAGTACAAACATTGGCCAGATCATCATCGTGGACGCAAATGTGTCGACGGGGACCGCTAGTACTGCCTCAGATAGTTGCTCAACCAGAGCTAGCGACTGCTTCAATGGTTGCTCTGTCCAAGTTGTACTGGAGTCGCCATCGTCGGCACGAAGGAGGAAGATCTGCGTTGCAAGCCCGAAGGAGAGAGCCGCCGCGATACAGGCGTTTCCTGTTCTTATCCTGTGGCTCTCCAGTGTGTCGGAATCGGCCCCTTCACAGAAGGGTTGTTGTACTGCTGCAGGCAACTCTCTGCAGCAAGTGTTCAGCTCCTGCAATAAACAATACCGAGATAGTACGAATGCCTCGGGTGTTATCGCCCCGGTGAGGAAATCCTCAACCAACGCGCCGGAGTCTCCCATTAGCGGTAGTATGTCGGTTGTGTACCCGAATACGATGTCTGGGTACCTCTTCGCAGATGTACTGCAATGGGGTAAGATCATGCTGTGCCAAAATTGACGGTCGAACACGGGCTTCCTTGCGCAGGGAACGCAGCACACCGCGTCCATGTAAGCCAGCATCTTGATGTTAACAGACATCATGGGGGTGGGCTTCTCAAGTTGAGAACCATCGCTCATCGCTTGTAACAAGAGAATTCGTTCTTCAAGCTGGGCCCTTGTGCCCCTGATCAGAGGACGAATGATGCAGGTGTCTGATCCTTGCATGATCTCCAAGCCGATCAATGCTAGAGACGCGGCGATGGCTTCCTCGCTTACGTACAACGGCAATTTGTGCTGAGTCTCGGTTGGCGGCAATCTTTTCTGTTGCTGTACGCAAGCCACCATTTGGCCCAGAGCTCGTTGTTTTCTTTCTAGAACCTCTTCTTGTGTAACGACCCCGAGAGCGAACAAATGTGACGCGCCGGCAGCAAGAACTGCCGGTAATAGGATGGAATCTTGCTGCCAAACGAAAGCCAGATATGGCTCTCGTACACTCACATATTCCTCTGGATTTGGATACACCAGGTCGGGCAACGACTTTGACCAATGCGTGAAGATGAACACATCCGACGAAGAGTGGAGACGAGGTCCTGTTGTTGGATTTCGGATTAAGGCGGTCGAGCTATTCGCGAGCTTTTTGTATTGAATAGCCTTTGCCGTCTTGGATGAAGGGCATATCGCCAGCGAGCTCCTGGGCTTGACAACACTCTTGGCCGAGGCCTGGCTATCCGGGCTGACATCGCTAGCCTCAACCCACTTCAGCTTGACTTTGTAACCGCCACATGCTACGCCGCGGCGTTCGCACTGCTTACAGAGCGGGTGCGCCTCGTCGCATTTGATACGAGCGGCTCTGCAAGTCACGCACCCTATGCGAATAAGGTTAGCGAGGCCCTCGCAAAGCACGTCGTGTCACTCATGCGACTGACCGTTTCTCGAACGGCGATAGAACTGAGTAGGCATGGAGCTAGCTGCCAGCTGCGGTGTGCCGAGAGTCGTCGTGCGTTGCGGCTTAAAATAACATAGTCATAGAAGACTTGGTATGGCCCCGGTGGGATGAGACAATGTTGGTTCGGATCTGATTGTGGCCAAGGAGAGCAATAATTGTATCTTGGCCAGATTGGGAAAAAGTCATGAGATGCAGGCCGGGCTTCCGGGTCGGTGGATTACGGAGAGCGGCCTTAGTCATAGTTATATGGATTTCCTCTTTTGCTTTCACGGGGCAGGTGGGGGTGTAGCGAAATCCCCGCCAATAGCATTATGAAACGAGTCATTCTCGTCTCCTTTTGTGACGGCAGCTGGGCCCATGTTGGGGTAGGAGACAACAAGGATGATACCACCGGCCGTTTCAGCCGGAAAATAGCACGGTGCCGGTTCGCAACTTGGCAGTCAATTTATATGAAGAACGAGGTTCTCGTACAGTGTTTGACAAAACCGAAATCGCACCGACAGGGCTGAAAGCGACGTAGATCTAGGCCCTACGAGGTTTCATTAAGGTCGAATTCTTGATTCTATGACATATCGCACTAAAAAAACGTGGATGTCAGAAACGAATGAGAGGTAACATTGTGTCCTGAGGAGGAAATGCTCGGAACTGAGGTTGATTCCGAGAGCGATTCCGACCCCAAACACCAACATGCGCACACAGACAAAAGCAATAAAACTGGACCATAGAACATCGTGGAGGGAGGTGTGTCATGTTACGGACGAAGTAGTTCACCGAAATCGAAACCGAAACTGTGATTTCAGCTTACGGTGATAGATCTTAACGACACAAAAAACATGGATCAGACTTTTTAACTAAAATCCTTGTTGCGTTGTTCAAATTATTTCCCCTTTGCATCAACACCCAGAACGGGCTGGTTTGGCAAGTCAACTTTGTGACGCGAAACCACCTTGCTTTGGTCAGATATATGCTCTGCAGTTACGAACTGATCAATTCCACTCAGTCTTCTGACGGCCGCGGTGAGACTTTAAACCATCGCTGCACCCGCAAGCCGCGCTGTAGCTTTCAACTGACAGCAAAGCAGTGTAATGACACTCAGATCCAACATGCTCCGTTCACATTGATCCGTCCCGTCCACCTTGGAGTTTAGACTGCATGTAATATTAGATAGAAATGAGTAAAATGAACAGCACTATTTACGTGAAATCAACAGCAGTTCCATCCAGCGTTATGAAGTCATGTATCGAAAGTCAGAATGCTGCTTATAAGTCAGCACTGTCGAAGAATATTGCTCTGATCAGGGAAGCTTTGCGTTGATCGGACAGAAAAGAAGCGCAAACTCAGGCCCCTTGTGAAAGAAGATCACAAAGCAATGAGATCCGACTACAAAGGAGCATCGAGTCGTGCGATGAACATTAGGTGACAGTTCTTTCCAGAGACATCCTCAATCAAAGTGAGTCATCCTCTAAATGGGACATTGTTATAGAAGGAAGATGCCGAACTGCTCACTTCTAGCAAGAACTTCCACGGCACATATATCATTAGACCCAGCGCGGTACTTCTAAATTAAAAGAGAAAAACGGAGAAATGGGAGAAATGGGATACGCCTCGTGCTGGAATAAGTCTAGAACTTGCGACTAACTCTGAAGTGCAAATTCATGTACAAGTTGACTCCCAGGCGGAGTTTGGTTCCCAGGGAGACAGGTTTCCCTGAGCCAGTTACGGGATGAATGAGCTACCCTGGGGTGAGATAAATGAGTTCAGCAGTATAGCAGAGTTTTCACATGAGACCGCCTATTTTTCCTGTGCTATACTGACTACTGTTCCTGTGGCTATACTCTGCCTCAACCGTCGTCACTTCTATCATTATTGCTTCTATTTTCGTCGTCGTTTCTATTATCATCGTCGTCATCATCGTCGTCGTCATGTCTATTATCATCGTTATCATCATCGCCGTCGCTATCATCGTCTCCAACAGGAGTAGTTAACTATACAGGAAATATAGCCGCACAGACACAGGAAAATTAGGCGGTCTCTCTCACATTTCCATTAGAGCGCTAACGACCTAGAAGTAGTAGTGTTTAAGTGAGCTATCGTAGTACAGGAGAAAGAAAATAACGGCCAGTCAGCCAGTAGTAAGTAGCTTTTAAGTTAAGCAAAAAAATCAAATCGCCTCATTCTTATAATAGATCAAAAAGAGCAAAAGTCAAAATAGAATCTCCTCGACGGGGAATTGAACCCCGGTCCCCGGCGAATCGTGGTATGACAAGCCGATATCCTCACCACTAGACTATCGAGGATGTGATTGATGATCGTGGCAGCCACTAGTCTGACTAAGATCTCCACAGCAGCCCTACGTCCCCCTTCTAACCGAGCGCTGTGCAGTCAATCGTGATGATGCGGCCTTCCATTATACGCATTTGTGTTGGTCTTGAACTGATCGTGCATAACGGCGGTCGTCTTGTGACTGTGGTTGTTTGCTATGCTTAAGAGGTTCCTATGGGAAATACCTTAGGTGAGTTTACAACGGACTCTAAGGTTATCTGTCGGGGTAGGGAAGGTTAGAACCTTAGAGAACCGTTTTTTGTGTTGAGACTGGCGCTGCTAAACAGCACGCGGTTACTCAGATCTGAGCTCGGTTGCGACCGCCGGAAAAAAAATCAGAGCTTACACTTGACGGGAGGTGCAGATAAGACGATGAAAAATGCGTTCAAGACGTCTGTCATGGTGTGTCGAGAGAGTCGCCGTTCAGGATTGCACTGATTCATAGCTACCAGCTTCGTGCTGAGAACCTCCAGTGCAGCTGCTGAGCGTTGACGTCACTGACCGCTGTCGAAAGTACCAGAAATCGGTCTGGAGAGGTGCAGCTCCCAACAGAGTAACCCAGAACAGCTTTCAGACTCAACCATCAGGTGTTAACATAGAAGGAAATGATCTGGTTTCAGTTCCTATGCATGCAGTATCCATATCGCACGATGTTCCATAGCAATTTGGAAGCGCTTCGTGGAAAACATACGCCAGTTGTTTTCAAGCACATTGCCTGACAGGTGACGGTGTGCCAATCCCACTACTTCTCCGGCGACGCGCCCTGTAAACCATGTAAATTGAGGGGAATGCGGGGAGACGTGGCTAAACTTTACAGGAGGATGCAGCGATTGGGGATTCGAGCCATAGCCTGGGCATACTGTCAACCGTTCAATTGGAACTCTCACCCAGTCGCCATGTCCAAATTATCGGGGTAGACTTCCTCATCATCTGTCTAATTATTTCACATGCTCCAGCGGAATGTAGACAGTAGGCATGGCAGAGTCCAATCCATGCCAGCCCTCACATAGTTGCGGTCAAGAGCCTTGGCCGAAGCCACCTGAAAGCAGCATGACCCCCGATTCCCTCCAGATTGCGTTGCCATTGCTGGCAAGCAAGCACCTGATCCGAAAGGATTCCCGGGCATCTTGGCTGGCTGTGATGCCTGTGTCCCCTACGCCGCCAACTTACAGCACATGGTTTGCCAGGGTCATCAAAGGCTACCATCACACGACGGCCGCACTGCCATTGCCAAGTAAGTCAGTAAAGCCCTACATGGTAGCACGAGGTGCCTCCCGAATACTTTGGCTTTCGAACTCAGTCCACAACATTCTCATAAGATTCTCGCTGAACTCTTGGCCTGAGCACGCCAAGGTCTCCGATCCCTCGCTCCCAAGCCCCCTGGCGCCAACCCAAAGACGGTCTACAATGCAATCCTCACCTTCGGGTGCAATCCGCTAGTCAATTGCCAAGCCGCTTGTCTATCTCGTCTTGAGGTGTTCAGCCACCACGGCATCCTCTGAAGGCGGAAAAGGTCTGGGTTTTGATCTGACAACATGCAGCAATTGCTCACCCAACATTTCTGCAGCCCAGAGGCCAAGATGTCTTGGGTAACTTTACTCTCTGGGGAGGAATACCGCGGGGTTGTCTTAAATTTGTTCATGCCGCCCGGCAGGCCGCCCTTCAATTGACAGAAGAGTCTCTCGTTCGACTCGCCTCGCAGTTGCGATACCAGCACGATTGAATGAGCCCTTCAGCATCCAGAATCTCAAGACCTACAGACCTCAAACCGAGACCGTCAATAGCCCAGCTCCTCCTATCGCGACCGTCGCCATGTCGACATTGACAGTGGTGACGACTTCGCCTACGCCCACGCCTACGGGCGACAGGGCTCCTTCACAAGGCGGCATCTTCGAGGGCATGAATCCGTCGGTTTACAACCCTGCCGACCCGATCATCATGTTCATCATCCAAGCAACCATTGTCATTACGTTGACTAGATTGCTCTATTGGCCGCTGTCCAAGATCCGCGAGCCGAGGGTCATTGCCGAAGTCATCGCTGTGAGCCTAGTCGCGTTGCGCCCCGCCGTGATTTCACGAGAACTAACACGGGAACACAGGGCATTCTTCTCGGTCCCTCAGTTCTCGGTCGCATCCCCGGCTTCACCGCAGCCATATTCCCTTCGAACTCCATGCCGCCCTTCCGACTGGCAGCCAACATCGGGCTCGTTCTCTTCCTGTTTCTTGTCGGCCTCGAGATCAACCTGTCGTATCTCCTCAGCAATTGGCGAACCGCTATCAGTGTCGCGACTCTGGATATGGCTATCCCCTTTGGTTTGGGCGTCGCAGTTGCGTGGGGATTGTACAACGAATTCCACAACGAGCCGGGAATCGCACCCATCTCGTTCGGAGTGTTTGCGCTCTTCATTGGTGTCGCAATGGCAATCACCGCGTTCCCGGTCCTGTGCCGCATCTTGACATCCTTGAAACTGCTCAACACCACGGTTGGTGTGATTGTCCTTACGTCCGGCATCGCCAACGACGTTGTCGGTTGGGTTCTTCTCGCTCTATGCGTCACCCTCGTCAACTCCGGAGCTGGTGTTACTGCAGTGTACATTCTTCTAGTCTCCATAGGGTTCGCCCTGTTCCTTGGGTTTGCCGTTCGGCCGGCCTTCATCTGGGTGCTTCGAAGGACCAAGAGTCTGGAAAATGGCCCGACCCAAGGAGTCGTCGCCCTGACGCTTCTTCTTGTCTTGGCCTCTGCGTTCTTCACCAGCATCATTGGCGTTCATTCCATCTTTGGCGCCTTCATGGTCGGCCTCATGTGTCCCCACGAAGGAGGTTTCGCCATAAAGCTGACTGAGAAGATCGAGGATCTGATCTCAACTCTATTCGTTCCGCTGTTCTTTGCGCTATCTGGAATCAACACCAATCTCGGTCTGCTAGACAGCGGTCGAACGTGGGGTTATGTGGTTGCCATCATCTTCGTCGCTTTCTTCAGCAAGGTCATTGGAGGTACCGCTGGCGCCCGCATGAACGGTCTTGTGTGGCGTGAATCTTTCACCATCGGCACTCTCATGTCATGCAAGGGACTCGTTGAGCTCATCGTCCTGAACATCGGCCTGCAGGCCAAAATCCTCAGCACGAGAACCTTCACCATGTTCGTCGTTATGGCTCTTGTCACAACCTTCGCTACGTCCCCTCTAGTCATGTGGTTGTATCCTCCGTCTTACCAGCAGAAGCTTGACTTGTGGAAGAGAGGAAAGATCAACTGGGATGGAACGCCGATCGTTCATCATGGTGCAGATGGTGAGGACGAAGATGATCAAAAGGAGGTCGCAAGCAAGCTTTTGGTCTACCTGCGAACCGACGGTCTCTCAAGCCTCCTGTCTACGATCTCGATGTTTACCAGTGGCCAGTCTAGCGCCAGCTCAAAGAGCTCCTCTGCCGATATTCACGGACATCGCTCTGGTGAGAAGGGGCTTGTCGATCACGCAGCCCTCGCTCCCGGAGAAGATACACCTCATCAGGAACTGCTTCGGATCCGTGGCTGCCGCCTCGTTGGCCTTAGTGAGCGCAACTCGTCGGTCATGAAAGTCTCAGAGATTGAGGACTATGCCGGACATGACCCCATCATCAAAGCTTTCGGTACCTCCGCCAACAACACCACGAGAGATGTTGTCATCTCCGGCCAGATTGCGGTGGTTCCTGAGGATTCTTTCGCGGACACTCTCGCTACCCAGGCGAATAAACTCAGCAGTGACCTCATTCTCGTCCCATGGAGCGAGACTGGCACTATTTCTGAGCTACCTTCCTTCTACAGTGCAACTACTAGAGGTGATCCGATCACCAGCGGCGATTTCCTCAACCTCATGTCCAACATCTTCAACGAAGCTCGGCATATTTCAGCTGTCGTGACTTTTATCGACTCGACACTGTTCGACAAGTCAGAGCCCGGCACCAGGAAGCCTAGACAACTGCAACGACATGTCTCCGGCGTCAGCTTGTCTGAGCTTCAAGACCCGTCCGCGGCGAGGTTCTTCTCCGCAGAGCGGCGCGGCAAGAAGACAGTACGCGTGTTGTACACCGGGGCCGAAGACGACCTTTTCGCTGTCAAGCTCGGCATTCAATTGGCCCAGAACGAGAATCTCGAAGTCACCATCGTTGAGGCTGCCGACCCTGATGCTTCCATCAACATGAAGTACGCGCGGATCAAAGCGAATGTCCACAACACCATCGCCAATCGAATCACGTATCGTCAGATCGACATTACCAAAGATGCGACTACCCCAGCTATTGTCTCCGAGTTTCTGGCCTTGCAAAATGGCGATGACAGGGCAACAACATTCATAATTGGTCGCGCCGCCTCTGTTACACAACCCACGTCTATTGAGTTGGACGGCTCATCGAGCGTTATTGACCCACGCAAAACATTGGGATCCACAGCTAGTGAAGTCATCTCAGAGATCAAAAAGAGGACCATATCAAACGCCAGCCTTATGATTGTCCAAGGCAAACATCAAACGAGGGACAATCGCGCGCTCCAAAGGAAGCCGAGTGTATATTCACACAATTTCACACACGAGTAAGGACTGAGGGCCGCTGACTATAGGCACGTACACGGATGATTAGGACGCATATGATATCCAGTTGAATTTCAAATTGGGCCATGGCTCTTTAGCATACTCCACTTCATGACTCCATCACCGTCCGCCATTATTTAGCGTCTAAATGAGGGTATCGTGACCCATGTTGTCAACATCAAGTTGCAATTTAAGCCAGCCCTAATGTTCCGCAATGATCCACATCCACAACCACACATCATAGGCTCCAAACACACCGCCCCGAACATCAAATCATCAAGATTCAAACAGCGCCGATGGTTTAGTGGTAAAATTCTCCGTTGCCATCAAGCAGCGTCGGGGAGCCGGGGGTTCGATTCCCCCTCGGCGCATATTTTTGCCCATTGTGCCTAAGAGTTGTGTTGCCTACCTGTCATGAGCTCCATGAACTTCTTTTTGCCTTGCCTTTTATATTCTGGACACCGGTTCGAAGTTTTTGTTCACAGCTTGAGAGTGTAAGAGTGTCGAAAACTACATTTTCTCTATGTTTCTACATAACACGCAATCTTGATCGTTGAGATTCACTTCTGCCGGTCAGCATGGACGACCTTGTCAGCGACGGTCGCTGCGGCAAGACATTCTTCATCTCTCAGCTTCAAGGTCACAACTTGAATGCCACAGGGGGCTCCGTCAACCGCACTCGGATCATCTAACAGTGCCCCAAATGTCAGCTTGTCTCCAACGGCAATCGGAAAGCATTTGTCTCTCACAGTCTGGCAAGAAGGGGTCCTGCGCCTTGACAGGTTCCGGATCTAAAGTCTTTGATGCGTGCCCAGTTGGTATCAGACAGGAAGGGTACTTGTCCAATTCATCAGCCATCATAACCCATTACGAGAGACTGGCGCAACTTACGTCAAGGAGATTGAACACCACCGTGTATGGCATCAGGCCATACGTGTCATGGGGCACGGCGGTCTTGTCAGCCCCTGGTGCCACAATTGCATCCAGCTTGTGATCGAACCACGTGCGGTGCCACGTCTCGGCGAACTTGGCGCGCGCAGCATCCAGGTCATCCAGATGATGCCATGGCTCTGCCAAGTCCTTAGGGACAGGCCGTGGCTTGGCTGTAAATGGGTGCATTCTCGCTGCAGCAGCCTTGACCAATGGCTCACCAAGGACGGCTGCAAGGTCTTCCTCTGGAGGATGCGCCAGCTCGAAGAACTGGTACGAGAGCCTGAGCCCAAGGTCAACGCTACGCTCGTAGTCATACGGGAGCCGCACGACTTCGTGACCAGCAACGGATAAAGCGTTGACGGCATCTTCGAAGGCTCGGCGAACTGGCGGATGAAGTGGCCAGGCAGGATCTTCTTCCAACACCCCGAGTCGCAGGCACTGTCCGACTGCTGGCTTTCGCCAAGGCAGATCAAGAGCGGTGGCATCGTATGCTCCTGGGCGCTGATTGATGACCGCACTCATGAATAGTTGAAGATCTTCCATGGTGCTAGCGATTGGACCATCAGATGGGAAGGGACCAGGAAGACTCAAGATAGCCCCTTCAGACTGGTTTCCATATGGCACCCGATGGTTCGTCGGTTTGAACCCGTAGTTTCCACAGCACATTGCCGGGATTCTAATGGAGCCGGCGATGTCGGTACCAACTCCGATCGGTGAACCTCTAAAGGCTACCAAGGCGCCCTCGCCTCCACTCGACCCGCCAGCGTTGAGACTGAGACTGTGAGGATTCAATGTGCGGCCATAGATATGGTTTTCCGAGTCTGCAGTCTTCACAGCTGGTTAGTAGGATGATAGATGTGTTTCAGCGATGTCTAACCATGAGAGTCTGCGGCACGTTCGTCTTGACGTAGAGAACCGCACCTGCATCCAGCAAGACGCTGACCAAACACGAGTTTGTGGTTGCAGGCCCCAACTTCAGGCCGTTGACGTAGCCCGCCGTTGCGTCGAAACCCACTACTTTGAAGGTGTCCTGGTGAACGGTCAGCTGAAGGTGCCAGCGATTCTGAACTGTAAACAGGGGAGGCGTACTTTCAGACTAACCGGTAAGCCGTGAAGTGGGCCTATAGTCTTCCCATTTTCGCGGTAATAATCATCTAGAGACTTGGCTCGCGCGATGGCCTCGTCATAGAATGACTCCGTGAGACACGATGTCTGCAACCTGAATCAGTTGCGTCTCCTAAGGGTGCATGGACTGTATCTCGGGCTCAAAATTGGAAGGACTCACAAGCTGCTGAGCAACAGCGGCTCTTTTGCAGAAGGCCGTTACCACTTGAGTTGCCGTTAGACGGCCAAGTGCCATCTTGTTGACGAGTTCCACGGCAGAGTTGCTCTCAGTGATGTCGAGCTCAACATCATCTAGAACCCCTGATCTTCTTGCAGGATCGAGTTCAAGAAGTCGGCCTCCATTCGCCTCTGTCAATTTTCTGACTAGAGAGACGTCAAGCTTCCACTTTTCTGGGATCGCACCAGCAAGTTGTTGCTTCTTTTTATCAACCAGCTCCTGCCATGGTATGGCGTCCAGGTGCTTCTGCTCATGCGCAGGCTTCACGTCGACTTTGGTGATAGGCATTCTTGAAGTTGTAGTGCGGCTGATGATCTTGGCGCTCCAAGTGAGGGGAAGATGTGCGTGTGAAGATGATTTCATATCATGAGGTTACCGAGTTGACCTCTTAAATGCCGGTGTCTCGGTTCACTGCAGCATGATTAAAACAATAGGACGCACAATCCGATCGGTGTCTGGGTGGTGTTCTGATTGGCTCTTAGACTTGCCATTTTCGGACTAGTGTCCCCGACGGATAGGAGGACCCTCTCGAGCGGAGAGATGAGTACTGGACATGGGGTTTCAAAGGCAACAGCAAATCCTTGGAAATGTTTTCGTTCCCGCATGATAAGAGCTAATACCTTTCAATTAGCAGATGTGTATGTGTAAGAACCGAGAAGGAGTAGGCTCTGTGATCGGCTTCCTCGACCTCGAGTAGATGGGGAGTATTTCGTGACTGTCCTTACGTGTACTGTTGGAAGTGGATACGTCGACGTGAACGCATGTGAATTGTTTATTCCTACGTTATAGCCAGTTTTGTAGCAAATGGTCGTTCAATGAAAGAAGGCGGAAAGCTCAATTCCGTCGGCTAATCGAGTATGGACATTAAATCGGATTGGGAATAACTCGAAGGAAACAAAAAGTATAGGCCCTTCTCAGAGGACACGATGAATTCAAATTAGTATCTAACTACGCAGGTAAAACAAACCCGACCTATCAAGTCCTCTCTGATCCTCCAACATCTTGGATTTCCGCCACGAGTCTGTCATATCTGGCATGCAACGCGACTCGAATGTCCCGCCCCCAGATCATGGAATGAACAAGAAGCAGATAGAGGTGGTCACACATCCGCAAATGATTGAGATGTTTGTAAGACTCATGGAGTCAAGCCATGGTACCACTGCAAACGGTACTCCAATAGTCGCTGCGTTGCGGATGAATGTGATGAACACGAAGGACTCTGCTGTGGTCTATAATGAAAGGCAACCTTGTCAGTACTGAAGCGATACATGTGTCATTAAGAGCTAAGTGCTTACGGCTTTGTAGGTGTCAATTACAATGGTAAAACTAACATCCATCATTGAGCTCATGCCAAATGCGAAAAGGGCACCTCCAATACTTGGGTACACCCAGTGCATCCCCTAAGGCACGTATGTTAGCCATGAGACTTTAGAGATTACCCCCATGTAGAACGATGACTTACTCTGTCTTCTGTGATCCCAAAGATAACAACACCGACTCCCATGAGGAGTGCCGGTACGAAGAGGACATATAGTCTCATCTCCGGCTCGAAAATGCCACGATTCTTCCGTGCAAGTCTGACAACGATCCAGTCTCCAAAGATTCCACCATATACACTGCCGATCATATTGCCAATGAAAGGACTGATGAGCATGAGGCCGACTCCCGCTGTGCTGAAGTCGTACGGCGGGGCAGCAAATACGATAGAGTTTATGCTCGTTAAGAGGACCAAGAAGGCCACGGCGTTGGCGCATTGTATGGCTGAGCAGACAACGTGCGGGAAGACAGCCATCTTGAAAGGGGCGATATAGGTGGAGAGCAACGATTCCTCCTTAGGAGTGGAGAACCGCATTCGTTGTCGGTACTTGTTGGGCGGCGGGACTGGGGGCATGATCTGCTCAACGTCCTGGTCGCCACGCTTCTCGAAGAGTTGTTTGTCGTTGGCGGGGGGCGAAGCTGTTGCGTTGCTCTTTGCCTTTCGCAGCTTGTTCTGTGTTTCCTGCAAGTCTGGGTCTCCGACGGTCGAAACCCCAACAGACACGGGTACGTATTTCGTCTCTTCAAAGAAGAAAAGAAATAAGAGAAACAAGATTGTGAGAATGATGCCGACGGTGTAGTATGCCCATCGCCAGCCCATGGAGGCTGCTTGGATACCCGCGAGAGTGGGGGCCAGGAAGTTGCCGATCATGACGCTGGTGATGTAGAAACCGTTCGCCAGACCGCGTTGGTGGACGAAAAAGAGGTCCGCAATCTGCCAGCACAAAATCTGTTAACAATATCGTTCTCAAACAAGTGCGAAATATGACCGATGTATGGAACGTACAGTCATTTCAGCTATGGTCTCGTTCGTTGACCCGGCCAAGCCAAAGAGAAAATTCGTGATATACATCTCGGGAACCGTACGCATGCGGCTGCTCCACCAGGAGGTTGCAGCCATGACAGCGGTCGAGAATATGTAGGTGGATCGTCGACCGTACTTCTTCGTGAAGGGGATGAAACAAAGGCAACCCAGGGCGAGCCCGACGACGTTGAAGGAGACGCCGGCGTTGAGTTCGTCGTAGGTCATGCCCAATTCGACCGTCATTGGCTGCCAAAAGACCATCTGCATGGTCATGCTGGCAAATGAGTGTCAGTCAATCGAATTTCTGAGCCGTCAAAGTCGAGATACTAGACTTGGAAGGGTGCTCACGATGCGAAGACTGCCACGGTGACAGCAAGGACGAAGAGTGTGTTGACATATTTGCGAGCCAAGGTCCAATTCTAATAAGAGCCAATTTGTCAGACGACTAAGTCGAGGACTTCCTGGATGCGCACGTAGGAACTCACCAAGGGGTCATTAGGGTCCGCAGTAGGCTCAGGAATCAATACCAAGACGGATTCTTCTGCAAAAGCCAAGGTCAACATCGCACGCTCGGGGCGCCTTCAGGGAAGCAACCTACCCGACAAAAGTCTGGCACTACCAGGGGGTAGGTAAGTATCTTCCTCAAGCATCTCCATAGTTATATGTATCGAGGGACCTCTGAGCACTTGGGATGTTGTTGACGACGACTTTAGTTCGGGCAACCAAAAGACAAACAGCCTCTTGATTGAGGGTATCTAGATCCTGGGATCGCACCTTCTTATTAGATTTGGACCATACTAATGTCTTCGCCTTTGAGACCACCACATCATCGCCCAACCAAGGCTTCCGTCTGATAAGCACAAACTCCACTTAAACTTGAATCTGGGGTAACAACCAGAACTGAAGCACACCTGGGGCGATTAGGAGCAGAGACATGATTGGCTCTTGGACCTACCTAATGTGGTTTGGCTTATCCGACGACCCCTGCGAAGCCTCAAACCGACCTTGTCAATGATATCGCTAGACTGGACGAGTGGTATCACTTCATCTTGATTTATTTGTTTGTGCATAGTGATGTAGATAGGGTGATGGGCTGGGATATTCTGACACTGGACGGCACATTTCCAGTGCACGTCGCTGGATAACTCGAACCCGTCTAGTCCTTAGCTTCGGAGACCATCACTCAAAAGAGAGCTATCTCCACGTTCCTCCGTCTGGCATGCTCGTCGATGTCGTAATCATCATCGCCAGCCTTCCACGCTTCATCTAACATCTCTGCAATATTGCACGCATTCGCACTTCTGCCGTAAGGTTGGCAAATGTCGACAGCACGGCGCAGCACCTCCATCCATGAAGGCCGTCGTTGCAAGGTGGCAACCTCCAGCCGTGCCGCAACATACGGATAGAGCAGCGAGTTTGTCGTGAGCAGGTGATCGTATTCGGGCCGCGTCCGTGTGTCGCAGAGGGCATCGATAGCGGCCACAAGACGACCGACCAGGAGTTCCGTTGACGGAGCTAACGACGAGAGACCTAGACCCCTTCTTAAGCGCCGACCAGTGAGAGCTCCAGCGAAGCGATACGCTTCCCACAAGTGGATCTGTGGTATCTCTCCGAGCTCTCCTGGCCACGAGAGTAGTGCGTCCTCCGAAGACTCGTCTTGGATCGAAGAGAAAATGTCGAGGAGTGACCGTGGTAGACTAGTGATTACCTCTATTCCACCCTCGGCCTTCTCGTGACGAGACTCCTGGGCCTGGCGTAATCTATGCCAGATGCCTAATGTCATGGTGGAACGTCCCCGGACAAAGGTCGGCATGTCCATCACTGCCATAAGTTCCAAGGGAAAACAGGCGTCGGGGTTATCTAGAATAGCAGAACCGTGCAGACTACCTCCCAGGCCATAAACAGTGGTCATGAGCTCCAGATGAACGGACCATGGTGCGCTTTGGAAAAGCTTCATTAACGGGTTGGGGCTATCAGCGGCCAAACGAGAAGATATCCAAGGTTACGTGGGGTTCACTCACATTAAGGGTGCAAATAAAAAGGCCCGCGTACATTACCCCCACGTTGACGGTACCATCATAGGACTCCAGCTGCTTGCGGAAGAGATGAAGCCCGCGGAGATAGTACTCTTCAAACAGCGACGAGGGGTTGGCTGGGCTCGACACATATAGGTGAGTGGCTATAAGAATGGAGCAAAGGGCTTCCGACCTATTTGCGAGTTGACAAAGATCTCGTCGGAAGAGGTCATCGCGATGGGTAGAATACAGCAGAAAGATGGTAGAGTTATCGACTGGTATTGGTTGTTAGTCCGTGATCCTTCTTTCGTGTAAAGATCATTTATCTATGATTCAGAAACATTGATGGTAAATACTCACACTGTTCGTAAAGATGCCGGTCCTCTTCCGTCTGACCGGGCCAAGGGGACCCGGCTTGAGACGGTTCGGAGTGCTGCGGGGACGGCTCGGGATTTGGCGGGAGAGCCAATGGAATCTGCCGTGGAAACAATTCTCTGCTCCGGCCTTTTTCTCGTCCTGGAGGAGCAGCCGGCTTGGGATCCGAATCCTTCTCACTGGGGTGCTCTCCCGACGAGCTCCTCGACGAAAGTGTCGTCCTTCGGCGTTTGGCAGGCGGCGCGTCCGCAGGTGTCGGCGCGCCCGTGAGACGCCCGCGTGAAGCAATGCCGGTGTCCCAGCGTAAGACGACGTTGTAACCCTCGCATTGAATTCCCTGGCCGAGACATTGCAGACAATCCGGTCGGGTTTCGTCGCACTTACGATGGCGTCGTTTGCACGTCAAACATCCGCTCCGGGAACGCGACATGTTTACAGGAAGCTGAGCTGCGGGCCATCGATGAACAAGATTGACAGCCGGAGTGGAGGATGAAGGTGTTCAGTGGTTGATAAGTTGCCATCGATATTTGAGGAGCTGCTTGACTTGATGAACTGGATCCTGTGGCCCTGGGGCAATTCACTTGGAATTGTTTTGATTGCGAATCTGAAGATTTCAGCGATAGCGGCAAACCACCTCAGGCTCTAGTGGAGAAGTTCGGGAAGCCGCAGGGGCCGGGCTGCTTAGTAAGACATCCGGAGGGGGATCGCGGCCTGGCATAGTGCGGCTTTCAGGGGTTTGACATCTGAGGTACACCTGAAGGCCCTGTATCTTGGAGTTTGTCAGGCGTGTTTACTCTTGAGGTCACCAATTACTCAAGTCACTTGCTTCAGAGATAAAATGATGAGAAAACGAGAAAGATTTGTTCCATTGCCAGATAGTGTAAAATAAATAAATAAATCTTTATCAAAATACAGACCCATAACCTCTTTTTCCAACCAAGGTCTAATGCGATCCTAGTCTCTTTCCCGGGCGTTCACCACGACGCCTCCACCAAATTGATGACTATTGACGTATATTTACTTGCCAGCGTCCGTCATCTTTAATCCGTTAATTTTTTTCTATCCTCAAACCAGAAGCTTCTGTATTTGTCTATCCAGATGCTTCTTGTGCGCATCAGTTACTGGACTTGGGACCTCCGCCAAAATATCCTTAATCTGACCCATGAGGAAGGCGCGGGGGTTGCACTCAGAGTGGTCAACGCCCCCCTTCTCTCCTGGCCGTCCAATATCATGGATAACCAAATTCATCAACGTCGAGTACAGCATCACCACGCTGTCATCGACATCTGACGTTTCAGGGATCGGCCAAAGCCCAGCCCTGGTTAGACAGAACGTCATGCTGCCCAAAATCATGCTCTCGCACCGGTGCGGACCCATGTAAGACGCATGCAGGCACCACCGCGGGCCTTCGTCGACGGTGACGAGCTTCTCGTACAAGTCGCGGAAAACATCCATGATGGATTGTATTGTCTGGCTGCGGATGGCGTTGATGCGTTCTGATGCGAAGAGTTAGTGAAAGTGCCATGTTGGCGGGCAAGGAAACGAACCGATAATGTCTGGCGGCATGCTCAGCTCCTCCAGGCCGGCATCTTCCCCAATCATGCTCCCCTGGCACTCCATAACCATCCTCCTTGCGGTACTCTCGAAAAGCTGCTTGTGCCCCAGCTCCCATGAGATCCACAGCAATTTGGGCATGAGCAACCCCTCAGAGCCGACGTCGGGAACCTCTCCGATCCCAGAGATCCAACCCTGCAACCACGGCGTCAACATGGGCGTGGCGTCATAATAGTGCGTCAGCACCGTCAGATCGTAGAACTTGTCGATAGTCAGGCTCCTTGGCACGCAGCGGTACTGTGCGTGAGCGATGCTGGCGAAGAGAGCGAACGCATCGGGCTTGTCGTCGCGGAGCTGTACCACCCAATCGGCTGCGGCATCACCGGAGCCGGATGCCGCCGGCTTGGCCTCGGTAAACTTGCCGTTCAGCATGCGGTCGAAGACGGGGGATACGCGGGCCATGGTCCGGGAGCAGGCGCGGAAGCTGCGGGCAGGGGTGTCTTCACCCGCCGCCGATCCTACGACGAAGACGACGTCGCCGCGGGGGTCCAGTTCCGTCAGCTCCGGAGAACCGGTCTCTTTGAGCGGAGACATTTGGAAAAGTTTTATTGTGAGACTGAAAGAAAGACTGGAAACGTTCAACGAATGTGATTTGCTTGCCTTGGCTGCAAGTGTGCTGGAGGGCTTCAACAGTTGGAGATGTTTCGATCTCCCTTTAACAGAAGTGATGATACCCTAAGGGAAGGCTCGGCGAGCATAATTTTTGAGGCTCGTAGGGCTGTTGCAACGTTCGGGCTGAGTCTCGTATCCTACCCCCTTTCAGCCTTATGCTATAAAAAGATACACAGATCGGGCTTCGGTGCACTGAACAGAATTTGATCTCATCCGTGGCGCAGGGGAGCTGCTAGAGCTCTTGCGCCACTCTTGGCCAAAACCATAGAGTCATAGACTGGAACAAGGGGCTGGTCTGCTCACTTTGATGCTGTGGGCCATCGTCCCAAGTCGGCTCGGTCGCCGGAGTGGAGTGTTGGCTGGGCGGGAGGCCGTTCGGAGGGCGCGGGCACCGAGAGCACACCATGGTCGGACAGTCGTTCTTAAAGGCCCGAGCCCGATATTTCGGCACCACAGCCACAGAAGACGAACCTATCGGACCCGATAAGTCCGTCTCCAGTTAACCTGCTCCCAGCCTTTGGGTTTCTCTGTATGTCATTTTCAACCTCTACCAACCTCTTTACAGCTAAGGAAACCCAACCCCCTTTCAGCAGCAGGCTAGCAGTAATTGGATTAACCCAAGGTTTTGTCAGTCCGTTAACACAGAAATAGAACGACCCACGCGGATGAGTCTCCCCTGGAAAGTGATCCAGAGCATAGCACACGACAGACAGTATCTGGCTGCGACGTTGGAATAGACGTTTCAAGCTTGTGTGCCTTCAAAATCACTCATACATGCACTGCAATTCTATGGCTCAACTCACGTGAAGTCGAGCAATGGATCATTATGTGCAGCGATAGCGTCAGAGGTCCAAATCAGGATATGACTACGAGCCTGGAATGTTTTGAGATCTCAAGTAAAATCTTCTACCAGAATATAGAGGGTCTCGACTGACGTTGAATTCGTACGTCATTTTGATCCAAAAGTGAGTTTCAGTCACTCTGATTTGTACATTCACCCCGAAGAAAGTATGGGTCTTAGGGCGGAGTGCTCATGCTGAGCCCTTGATGAGGTAGCAATAAACAACAAGGCTAAATGTTGTTCTGATGCACCTACCACCAGAAAGTTTAGGTTCCTCGAAATGATTCAGACGTCGATCTGTCAGGTGGTGGTTTTTGATTTACTAAAGCTGCTATGGCTTGGGAGAGAGATGTGACTTTACCTGATCAGGAGATATGATGTCTTGACTACTTATTTACTCATTCCACCACACAGTTGATACAATTTTTCAGCATGGAAAAATTTTCACAGATTGATGTCGAAGATGCCGTGTCTTTTATCTGGACCAAAGTTCTCTGTACTCTCGCACCGGGACTAAGCGTTCAGGAATGGCTATGCCATCAACAGTAGACCAGTCATCAGGCAGATCTCAGATCGAAGACTGACCATGTTATTGAAGTAAACTGTGATTTTGACTGTCTTTGAAACAATTGAATTGCATTTAGGTATAAGGCTGTGACTGTCTTGTACAAAGGAATGCTAATCTAATCCTCTGGTCACAGAAACTACGTTTGCAATATCCTCAACTGTTTTAAGACATGTCTGACGCCATTTGTATTCGATCCAAGTGAAGTAATTGGTCGCGCAATTAGTGGAAGACTCAGCCTCATGGAAGGCAGACTGCATCCCTAGGTGATGGTTTCTTTCATTTATTTCGCCCCCTCCCCAACTGCTAGCCTGCTACATCAATAATTACTCGTCGCCATCATTTCAGTTCTGTCAGCGATCAGACCAGCGTCTCACAATGTCACCTCTAAATAACACGGATTCTGTCAGTACGATTAGTGCTTTCTCAGTTGATCACGATGTGAACACTTCTCATCCCGACGCCCTCCAGAGTGCGGCGGGTTCCGGCGTGGATGAGGATGAGAGCCGTGCTTTCGGCCAACAGACTGGAAATGGAAGTGAAGACGAGGAGAGAGTAGAAACGCCTCAATCTTCTCCGATGTTTGCCGCAAATACAACAACTCCCAACGACAATCTTGATGGGGAAAGTGGAAGGAGCACCCGCCCACTATTAGGAAAATCATCCACGACAAAATCTTGGGCCTTGGAACTTTTGGCCCTCTTCGCCTCAATATCCTCTTTCGCGGCAATCTTGGTAATCCTGATAACTTACCATGAGAAACCGCAACCGAACTTTGCATACAGCGTTATCAATATTAACACGCTTGTTGCGATCGCGTGTACTATATTAAGAGCGACGATGGTGTTCATTGGCTCTGAAGGTATGGTTGTTTTCTTTGACATCACCACAAAGCTCCTCCTAACAGTTTGCAGTCATTGGGCAAAGTAAGTGGCTGTGGATGGAAAAGCCGCGACCTTTGCGCGACATGGAACGGTTCGATAATGCTGCAAGAGGCGCGTGGGGCTCACTGAAGCTCTTCTTCTACAGCTGGAAACCGTGAGTACGCCCTAAAACTTTTAATCTGCTGTTTCAGCGAACTTCACTGATAATCTGGCTAGGACAATGACTCTTATCGGCGCTTTCATCGTCATCACGTCCTACGCAATTGGTCCATTTGCTCAGCAAGCTACAACGTCATACTCCTGCAACATCACCGGCGAAGGTATTGCTAGAATATCCATCGCAAAATACGTGTCAAATGACAAAGAAGAGGGCGGCAGATTCGACGAGGTCTCCAGATTAACCCCAGAGATGCAGGCTATGGCGATTAATGGGTTAATTTACGGCGAAGCTGGCATCAGCCTCCTCAGTTCAAACCCATTCGAGTGCGGGTCTGGGAATTGCACTTTCGATTCACACTTAGGAATTACGCATAGCTCCGTGGGGATGTGCAGCAGGTGTGTGGATGTGGCCGACGAGCTCCAACAGTTCGATAAAGGTCCCAAAAACGGGACCAAGATCGGCTTCGCCGATTGGGTTAACGACCCATTTTCGCTTTATTGGCCAATACGCCAGAAGGGCCTTACCATGTTCTCCGAAAATGGTACGACGACTGTTTTGGCATTCACAGCGGCAGACTGTACTCGAGACCCGGAGATCAACAGTTCCACAGAAAGGGATTGCAACCAGCCATACGGGCGTTTGGAGCAACCCCCTCGGATTTCCCCAAGCCGAGAGATTGGTATTATAGCCACCAATTGTACGTTATATCCTTGCCTCCGGCATTACAACGCCAGCGTAACCAACAATGTCCTCGACGAGAGACTAGTCTCACAAGAGCCGATGATATCGACAATTATGAGGGTGTACAGCGAGAAGTTGAATTCGTGGACTGAGACTGAAGTTCTAAATGGCTACTATATTAAACTGGCAGAACCGTGCTTTCTCAACGGCCAGTGGTACGACTCTTCAAACATCAGCACTGCGGACCGAAAAGATGTCTGGACATCTTGGAGGTCCGAGGATGGTATTCTCGAATATCCCACGGAGTGCTTGACCGTCGTCACTCCCAAGATGATCGACAGTATCCGGGGTTTTCTAACGTATCAAGCTTCTGGAGACTGTGAACCTGACGATACTAAACTAGTAGGGGGCGAAAGGCCATCATCGCCCTTAGACGAATTACTTGTAATGGAATGCGGACCAAAGTGGTGGGTTGGATCCCTATTTCAAGGAGGAAATGCAACTTTTGGAACAATATCGATCGCTTTTGATGGCATGGCCACGGCAATGACCGACTATCTGCGCACGAAGGGGCTGCGTTACTCTGGGGACTATAGTGACCTACCCTCCCAGACCTTCGTCACCGGGTCAGAGAGGCTGACCGCGATATGCATTCGAGCGAACTGGGCATGGTTGGCCTATCCCGGAGGCCTGCTTACAATCACGACATCCCTCTTGATATTGGCGTACGTGCAAAGCTATCAATACAGAAACCGATGGCCGGTCTGGAAGCCGGCGACTTTACCGCTGCTTTTCTACGACATCAAGGATGGAAGAGATCGGGACGCGGCGTTGCCGCTCTTGCAAATTTCGGAACTGCGATCTTTGGCAGATAATACTGTAGTCACATTTCGCGGGGACACATACGGACCGGGATTTGTGATTGAGCAAAACGAGCAGACAGCGGCTCGGAAATGAAGATGGAGGGGGAGCACCCGATTCGGCGGTGGCGTTTGTTACAGTCATTTGTGTTATCGTAGGTCTACCAGATAGTAATGATGCGTGCATTTTGGTATCTGAACATCTCAAACATTGCATACACGCTGGTACAGAACTACCTGTCTAGCAGTTGTTCCATAGACCGTGGGAGTTACGAACATTGAATCCACATGGACCGTCTTAAATTCCCAGCAGCAAAATAGCACTACGATGCAAGGGCAGCATCTTGGGAGTCTATCATAGTTCACAACGCTAATTGAGAGATTCTCTCTCCAAAATGAAATACCTTAACTGTACGAAGAGCACACGGGGAAATGTGCTGTGTCACCGCGGAAAATAGAGAAAACGAATACGCAGGCAGATCGCTTTGAATTGACATGCAGAAATGCAAGAACATTTCATCTATTGAACCTCATATCTCCCAGAGCTAAACAACCTTGGGTCTTCAGCTCTTCTCCCCGGACGGCCGATCTAGAAGTATCCCATCTTCGTAGTGATCATGATCGCGTTCTCGCCCTTGGGGAAGGAAACGGAGTTGCAGGTCTCGCCGACCTTGACCTTGTACGAGTAGATCACGGCCTTGCTCTCGTTGTCTGTGATGATGAACTCGGCGTTCTGGTCGGCCTTGTTGCTGCAGTCGACCTGGACGTTTGTCAAATCTAGCGACTTGATGGTGAGCTTGGCACCCTTGTAGAACTCGATATCCATAGGCGTGGCGGTCGCAGGCCAGGAGTAGATGCTGCTTCCGGCCATCGGGGTCGCTCTCGCCTCGATGGCGGCGGCGCCGTTGCCCTCGGGGGTGGCCGGCAGGGCGGCAGCCAGGGAAAAGAGTCCGAATGCAGCAGCGAAACGCATTTTGAAGAAAAAAGAGAGTAGTTGGTATTGAAAGAAAGTTGAGTTGATTTGAAGAAACGCTGAGTGAATGACTGATGCGGGATGAGGAACAAAAAGAACGGCGTAAGAGAAGCGACGGGTTGTTGGCTTTAATACAAAATCATTCTTCACCCAACAAGAGAACACCAACTAGAGTTTAAAGTTCTCATAATACATCTCAGCCTTATTGCGCAGTGCCGTTACAGAGGTCTACTGACGTGCGATAATATAATTAACGTTTCAGACGTTAAGGCAGGGCTGTGCAGAACGGGGGATAGTGACTACACGTTCGGCGTTACCGAAGCTTTTGCTTTTTAGGTTTTGATACAGTTAGCCCCTGACCTGCTCGCATTCGCAACAGACGGGAGGCCTGGATATCGAAGGAGAGCGCACGCAGCGCGCCGGCAGTTCACTTTCATTGAACTCTTAGTCGAAACCACTGCCATGTCCGTAGTCTTGGTCGACAACGACGCCATTTACCCTACAGAGGAGCGTACTGAGCATGATTACCGGTCGCACCGGCCATAAAGCGATTCTACCACTACTACTGTAATGAGAACGGAGACTTTTGGGAAATGCTCCGGTTCCCCAAGAGGGTCCACATGGAGGCTTTACACATCAATAAAGATCAAACCTTTGACAGCAATGATAGTTGTATCTTCAGCCCTTTTTGTGTTATTATTATGATCGACCCAGTGGCTTGGTTTATACTTTCTCCCGACTCAAGGCCAATCAACTCAGACGACGCCAAGTAAGGCCGCTCGCGGACTACTCCATAACTGGGGCACTTCTCATTTCCCCTGAATAATGATCTATATATACACCTAACTCTAAACCTACGTAGTGGTAACTCCCATTGCCGTTCATCTCAAGTGTATCAGTGGGCGCAAATAAAGACAACATCATTTCATAATCAATCATGCACCATCATTCCGACTTCTATTTCTGCTCTACGTCACCAAAACATGCCATCCGCAACGCAATGCCACTCATACCGGTACTTGGGATGGTCAAATAATAAGGCTCCTCGTCCTCGCTCAGCGCCGATAGTGTCCGGATCTGGCGGAAAGGAATTCGACCGCGTCCCAGGAGCATGTGCTTTTTGACATACGTGGAAACTGGAACAGCGGCAACGTGCAGAACACAACACCAGAGACGACCATCAAAACTTCTCTCTTCGACGACACGAGGTATCCGATCTAAATCAAGAGTTGGAGGGTTGCAATCAGGGGCACACGCGGTAACACAGGGGCTTCTTCAAGCGTCTGCGAAAAAAAGTCAAGAATGACTCGGTGAACCCTCATCAATACGTATGGTAGGCACAAAAGTACGGTTTCAGCTGATGAACTTCCCATCTTCCATAGCCAAACGATCTCAGTCCTCGGTTCAGTCTCATTACGCCCTCATAAAGAGCAACATACAACTCCCTAGAGCCCTCTTACAAACACTGCGAGTACCAATCGTTCGCCTTCGTGCACACATACGGCGACACACACTGCGTCGGGCCCGTCCATCCCTGCCCGCCGCACTGCTCATACTGCTTCGCCACATTCGTCGCCGTGGCCGCGGGCGCAGAGCTAGTCCTCGTGGAAGTCGCCAATGTCGATGTCGTCGTCGCCCTCACAGAAGATGTCGAAGAGGTCACGCGGACCGTCGAGCTGCTGCTTGTCGCCCTGTTAGTCGATGTCGAAGCTGCAGAGGTCGACCCACCACCGGAGGAAGCGATCGCGCCGGACGCGTAGAAGACGCCGCGGCCGTTGGTGCCGACGTAGACGAGGTTCTCCTCGTTGGCGGAGCCGGCGAGCTTGGCGCCGTCGACGGCCCCGAAGCTCTGGGTGCCCTGGAGATCGACCCAGGAGGCGCCGAGGTCCGCGCTGCCGTAGAGGCGGCGCCCGGCGGGCCCGGTGCCGAAGGCGTAGAGGTTCCAGTTGCTGCCGGAGCCCTTACCGAGGGCGACCTTGTTCGTGTTGGTGAGGGCGCTTGAGACAAGGGAGAAGGTGGAGCCGTAGTCGGTGCTGTGGAAGATGCCGGCGTTGGTGGAGACCCAGACGTCGCCGGCCTTGGCAGGGTGGGCCTCGACGTGCCGGATCTCGGTGGCGCCGGAGAGGGTACCGGAGGTGGAGAAGGTGGCGCCGGTGTCGGTGGACCGGTAGAAGCTGGAGCCGGAGGCGCCGTAGAAGACAGTGTTGTTACGCTTGTCACTGGCGATGATGGCGCCGGCGGGGATGCTGGAGATCGTCGTCAGCGAGCCTTGGTTCTGGGAGCGCTGGACACCGAGGGTGGCGGTGGACCAGATGATGGTGTCGGCGTCGGCGGAGTAGGCGACCGACCCGCCGTACTGGGTCGTGCCGGCGGCGTAGTTGATGTTCCAGGTTGCGCCGCCGTCGGAGCTAACTGCCAGTTGCTGGGTGCCCGCGGTGTTTCCTACGCGGACGACGTTAGCTACCTTGTTGCCGGCGTAGTCGACTCCAACGCTCGAGGCCCACATCGGGTTCGCCCAGGTTGTTTGGGGGGATGTGTCAAGGACGCTCTTGGTCTTGAAGGTAAAGCCGTTGTTGTCGTAGGCGGCGACGAGAAGCTCGGAGCCGCCGGGAGCACTGGCGAGCTCTTGGATGGCCATCTCTTCGATGCCGTCTGCGAGGGCTTGGATGGTGACCTTGGCGCCGGTGTCCCAGTTAGTGAGATCGTGTCCTCCGAAGATTGTGAGTCCAGTTCCGTATAGCCAGTGGTTGGAGTCCGTGGGGTCGATTTCCAGGGACTCAATCATCCACCCGAGATCCTTGGTATCGGTGTCCAGGAAGTTGGTCTTGATCCACGGGGCCTAAAGCAGGTCAGCGAATGTCGAGGGGTTTGAGTATCGTGAGTCTCTGATTTCGAATCTTCGGAACTAGAGATCTACCTTCGGGGTGCTCTGGGTGTAACCAAGAGTCATGTCGGGATAGTTTGCCCACTCCCAGATCTTCTTCCAAGTGGTGCCCGAATCAGTAGACCTGAAGAGTTGGGCGTCCGGCCACCAGCTGTTCAGGGTGGCGACGATCAGTGTGCCAGGCTTCTTCATGTCGACGCTCAAACCACCTGGGCAAGGTGTCAGCACAAAGGAAAAAACGCAGCGCGGCACCGGGAAACAGGCGTTGCCGGACGAGAGTGCTTACCAAAGCCAAAGTACAGATCAGAGCCCACGGGGACAGGAGTGATGTCTTTCCATGTACCAGCGGCGATGTCGTAGCGCCAAACGGAGCCAGAGGTACCGTCGTAAGGACCAGTACCATCGGAGTAGCTGATGTAGAGAGCCTTTCATGGCATTAGTAAGTCAAACATCAGGTCCGATGTTGATGACTGACCTTCTCAGTGGGCTGGATTCTGCCCTTGTGGGGGAAGTATCGGCCCGGCTGGCCAGTGACGGCACTCCAGGTTGCGCCGGCATCGTTGGATACATAGACGGAGGCAGTCGTGTTGTCGGCAGTTCCGACAAAGATTCGAGAAGTAGCGCCGTTCAAGGTCGAAGATGTCTCGTCAAAGGTGACGAAGGTAAGTCCCTGCGACGAGTCAGCTTGAAGTCATATGTGTATATGATGATAGCATGCGTACCTGAATGTCGCCGTTGTACTCATCGGTGGAAGGGCCGGGACGGTAGGTACCCACGGCAGTGAATGACGAGACCTTGGAGAAGCTGGCACCTGTGATTTGTCAGTTAGAGGTGGTCTCACCCCTGAGAACATGGAGTACCATACCTCCGTCGGTACTCTTCCACAGTCCATTACCGCTGCGGGCTCCAAAATATAGAATGTTGGAGTTCTTGGGGTCGACGGCAAGACGCTCTCCGGTGCCTCTTGTGGGCATGTTACCACCAACCTGGTAGAATGTGAGCACGATGTTGACATCTCTAACTTGCTCACTCTCACCTTGAATGAAAGGTTGGTGAAGGTCCAGGTGGCGCCCTTGTCAGAACTGCGAGCAATCTGACCATTGTTCGGGTCCCTGCATCGTCGTGTAAGTAACGATTTCCTTCAGATGACCTAACTTGTGTCGGCTCACCAGCTGTTGGTATACATGCCCACGGCAATGTACACCTTATTGGGATCCTGAGGATCCAGTGCCAGGGCATCGACACCCCACCGGTTCCAGTGCGAGTCGTCCGCAAAGTTATTGGCATCCGTGACCGCGGTCCACGAGTCGTCGGCGTTCAAGCGGTAGAGACCTCCAATATCAGTCCTCGCATAGGCGACGCCGCTGGTCTTGGGGTGGAAGACGATGGAAGGGACGAACCCGCCGCCGCCACCGATGCGGACGTTCTTCCAGGTGAATGCAGCCTGGATCGGGGCCGCGAGGGCCGCGAGAAGGGCATTGGCGTACTTCATCTTTGCTACCCGCGAGCTTCCTGACGTCTCACAGAGGAGGGAAAGTCAAGACGGAGACGGGGGGTGATATAAAGCAGCCTGGAGGGTCTATATCTAGAAGCTGATATAGGACCATGCGGGGTGGGAAAGAAGGGGAGCAAGATCGACGGGTATTCGTTTCCATGCGAGCAATATAAAGGCCCGCGCCGTGCCCGTCTTTGGTTCTCTGCCTTGTGATTCCGAAGGGCACTACTCCATGGCAATGGTGAGGAGGGTAAGGCGGATGTTCGGGTGTCTTGGTGTGGAGATGCCAGAGAAGGTCGTGGTAGCTTCATGGCTCCGCCCTCCGGAAATGAGTCGAGTCAAGACCTGTCTTCCCCAAATTTCCGTCAATCAATCAAAGCCTGCGCTATCTAGTCGGATGAGGTTGCGCGCCCAAGATCCCGACGGGCCGGACGCACTACTCCCGTTTGCCTGTGGTGGAAGCAAAGCTTCCGCCTGGAGAGGGGGCACTTTATTCATCAAATTATACCACGCAGGTCCCAGGAACCGTTCCGCCATCCGAGTGCTCCCCTCATCCACCGTCTCCAAGATCGTGATTTCCTAAAAAGGAAAGCGAAGACCTACATCCGGGGTCATCACATGACGCCACCAGCCAGCCCCAAGAGCAGGCCAAGAAGCGGGTGTCATCGGTTGGGTGGCGTGATGCAAGGGACCTGTTTCCCTGGAGCATGGGGCTGTCAGCTTTCCCCCCTTTGACGCGAGAACATCTGGCACGAGCTTCCCGCATTCCCGTGGGTATGGGGTTCTTCAGCCGACGCGAATCGGCAGCTGTGCCAGCACCAAGCAGCGAGGACGGCTCTGCAAGGACGGGCGTAGGCGATGCCGCTCTACAGATTGGATCCTGGCAGGATCAGCTCTTCCCCACGAAGTTTGCCCACGGGACCCCTAAGCCAGGCTGTTTTGGGGACCGCGGTAGATGGCTGAATGGGGAACACATGAATCGGGACAAGGCGGGCGGGAATGAGATGCTTCAATTGGCGGACCCTGTCGGGATTGCCTTTTGGCGGGGGTCGTATCGTCCGGTGTGACATTAACGCCAAGGTCATCCGCGTGGCATCCGGCTTTGACAAACATCTTTCAAATTGCGGAGGATGGTACATGTTGTGAGGGGAATCAAATTCGTATTAATCGTATATAATTATTCGTTTGTGGCCACGCCAATCAGTTCACACGCTACTCTTGGCGGTTTGCATGTAAACCCAGGCTCACGCATTATTTAGATGCCCGAGGTGGTCTCGCCGACGTTGATGACGTTTCCTGCCTCGTCGACGGAGACCTTGGTCTTCTTAGTCGACTCTTTTCTAGGGTTGGGGGCCTCGAAGATGGACTTTAGCTCCTCGAGGGTCTTGCCCGCCGTCTCGACGAAGAAGAAGTAGATGATGGCGAGTTCGATGCACTAATTACGCCAGTTAGCATATCTGGTGCGAAATTCTCCACGTAAGTGTGGTTGGTTCAAGACTTACAATCCAGCCAATGTACACAAGGTACAGCTTCCAGCCGATCCTCTCCATGGCGACGGAGATGCCGTACGTGTTGATCATGATGGCGACGTTGAGGAACATGAAGGACGCGGCGGAGCCCTTGGCGCGGGTGCGATTCTCGAGACACTCGACCGAGTACAGCGTCTGCAGGGGCGTGAAGCCCCAGGCGAAGCAGATGCCGAAGACGTAGATGGAGACGATGACGCCGTAGGACAGGTTCTTGTTGGTCTCGGAGCCGGCGGTGAAGCCGGTGAGCATGATGTAGGCGGCCAAGGAGCCGAGGAGACCGGCGATCATCATGAAGCGGCGGCCGAGGCGGTCGAGCAGGCTGGCGCCGTAGATGGCGCCGATCATGGAGAAGATGGGGTTAATGGCGTTGAGGAGGAGCTGGGTCTTGTCGTCGGTGATGCCGGCTTGCTTGAACATCTCAGGCATAAAGTAAGAAACGACGTTGTTACCCGACCATTGGCCAATGAAAGCCCTGTGATTTTGATTAGCTTGCGGTAGCAAGAGAAAACGGATTTTGAGATGTCGCAACTTACATGGCGATAACCATGAACAGACGGTAGCGGGCAGCGCGGGTGTTTCCGAGCTCGCGCATGTCCCACCAGGGGTTCTCGTCCTTGGTCAGGCGGTTGTCCTCCATGATCTCGTGGTACTGCAGCTGAACGATGGGCGAGTTGACGTCGCCGTCGCCGTGGTACTTGGCCAAGATGGCGAGGGCCTCCTCGGCGCGGTCGTGGGAGATGAGCCAACGCGGCGACTCGGGGAAGAACATGATGAAGAGCATGGCAACGCCGGGCATGCCGCACTGAACAACTGTGGGGATTCGCCAAGCCCATGAGTTATCTACGTGAAGGTTAGATCCGTAGGTAGTCCACCCTGAAAACAAGTTAGCATGCGGCGTGTCTAAGGTGGGTTGAGACGGCTGTTCTCACCTGCGAGAATGTTGCCGAGCCACCAGAAGTTGTCTGTGAGTTTTACGTCAGCAATCGTCATTTGAGCCCGGAATGAGGCAGAATGTATTGATTCGGATTCGTGCAGAAGGAATCGACGGGAGGCTACTCACTGTACATGCCGGCCATAAAGCCTCGGTACGCGGGGTGAGCGAGTTCGACGGTGTAGGCGGGGCCAGCGGCAGAGGCGACTGCGGCTGAATTATTAGCTTCCCTTCACGGCCTGAATTCGGCAGCATGAGAGCAACTCACGAGAAGCGCCGAAGCCGAGCACGAAGCGACCAGCTACGAACTGGCCGAGGTTGTTGGCGGGCGTCTGGATGGCGGTGCCGATGAGGACGATGAAGCAGCCGACGGCGATGCAGACGCGGCGGCCGTACCCGTCAGCGAGCCAACCGCAGAAGGGGAAACTGCAAATCTGGCCGACGTTGTAGATCATGAAGACGATACCCGTGGTCGATCCGGCGCCAGAAAGGCCAAAGGTCTGCTGGTAGTGCGGCATGGCGTTGATGGCGCCCATCAAGGAACTGTCTGAGGGCGGTGTTAGCTCATTCTCACGCGCAGGTTTGATGTTGGGACTTGGACAACTCACCGAAACCGTTCATGGTCGAGACGAGATATCCGACGGCCATGATGAAGTATAGACGCAGCATGTTGGGCGACCAGATGTTGGGCTTCGCCTCGGCCATGGCCGCAGCCAATGCGACGGAGGCGGCGTTCACCTCCTTGACGTCGCCGACCGCATTCGCGGCCTTCTCGTCCATCGGCGCATTGTCGTGCTCGACCTCGGTGCGAGATTTCGTTTCTTCGAGAGGCGCCATTGTGACTGGAACCAGTATGCGAACTGCGGCGCAAAACTTGGGGAATTGGCGATGGAGTCAAGGGACAGACAGGAAGCAGCCCACGCGCGTCGCATACGCAGGGGAAGATGGCCTCTTTAAAGGGATCGAGAAAGAGCCCACCCGGCCGGCAAGCCAACGCGACCTCAATGCCGATCGAATGGGCAGACACATGAGCGAAAGGCCGCCCGGTGAACAACGGCCCAACCACCGGGTCGGGACTGCGACTGCGCGACTACCGTTACATGGCATCTCCATCCTGCTTGCTTGCCTGCTTGCTTGCACCACACCCCGGTCCCCAGGATATGGGGATTCCACTGGCATCCCCACACGCTCGGAGGATTCAGGCAATGGGCTGGTTCGCACGGGGGAGACGGAGCCGCAGCACGTGGAGGTTTTTGTAGTGAAATTGCTAGTATTATGGAGAACGAGATGAGACTAGAATGGCACGATGAGCCGTCAGTCGTGTTGGTCCCGACTAGTGGCCTGAACTTGCAAAGACAGACAAACTCGAAACCCAGCCAGCGGTACGGATACGGCACACTCGCGATGAACCTGACGGATCTCCGCACACGCCAACCCTTGGTCTTTTGCCTCCTCAATGTTTACCCCAAAAAGCATGGGGTGCCATCCGGACCCCAGCATCGAGAAGCATCGGCTCGAGCTGTGATTCGCGAGGGTAGTGGACATTCAGATCAGATGCACAAAAGGGCCGGCGGGGTTGCTTCACGGTAGACTAGTGTCGATGAGGGGGAATCAGGCGAAGCTGTTTTGGGAGGAGGATGAGAATGGCTGGCAGGTTTGAGCCCGAGCCGGTTGCCGGTTTTGACGGCCGGGTGGCATCAGCCAAGCTTCGGATCATGCCAACAGAGGCGTTGGCGTGCCGATCTGGAGCCCGGGACGATGGCCGGCGACGCCCGCAGCGGTTCAGATTCTTAGTTTGGGAATCACGCTTTGCAGGCGGGAAACAAGTCGTTGTGCGTGCGGCGCAGCAAGTTCGTCAATCGGGGTAAGTCTTGTCCCGTACACATGTTGTGCCTTGGCGGTGAGCATTGCCTGTCTGTCTGTCAGGAGCAATTACCGAGGCGATTCGGAGCCAACGCGCCAACCCATGCAAAATCACACGATGTGAAAAATAAAAGAAAAAAAATCCATTCGAAAAAAAGGAGGAATGGGGTCCGGTGCGGAGAGTCCCGATCCCCAGACGGGGGCGAAAGCCGAGGTGCGGTCTAGACGCTAGGCTCGTCTGGGGAATTGTGGTTCCTGGGGTTTCCCCTGCGGTACGTACCGCCACGAGGAGGAGACGGGGAGGGCAGGTGATTGGGCCGTGGAATGGAGAAATTCTCGGACGGTGGCCGAACTGACTCGGGATCTGGTCTAGAACTGATGCGCGCGGTTCGTGTGGGAGGTGGGAGCGAAGGACGGGTTGGGGTTTTTCGGGGTCTTGTGGAGGAGGGAGAGGGAGAAGAAGAAGAGTGGTCCCAGAGGATTCAAAAGAGAGGCGAGCTGCCCATACTGGATGCGTTTTATCACGAACATGGAATATGTGAAGGGGGAGACGTCTTCGTGGCACAGCTTCCAGAACACTGCACAGAATGCACGATGGATGGCCGACAGTATCCGAGCTCCCGTCAAACGAACGCCTGAGCATGCTGAGCACTGCAAGTATCTCCCAGTCTGACACTCGGCACTGACCGTTGGTTGGTGCTGTTTTCCTGTTTGTTTCTGTCCTTGTTTCCTCTGTGAGTAGCTGCTGCTGGTGTTGGTACTAGGTATGAAAGGTACGTACCTCATGCCTCAGGCCCAAAGCTTAAGCTCCAACTCTGAAGCATTAGCTAAGCACCCCCGACCTTCCTTGGCCAATCATCAGCTACCCCGCTTCCCCCAAACCAGGCCCCTGCGCCTTCCGTCGGCGCATCCAAGGGACGTACTGCAGTAAGGGAAGGCACCTCGTGATTGAGATTCCCCCGCACTCCCTGACGCTGCGCCGTCTCAGGTGACGTTCCTGATTCCTGGCACCAGCTCGTTCGAGCTCCAAATCGAACCGTTCGACTGTTTGCCAGCTCCAGCTCCAACTCCAACCTCATCTCCAACTTCCACGCTCCTGCTATCCATCCATCCACCACTGCAAGGGGCCATCGTGATCTATCCACCAAACACCATCACACCAGCCCACCACCTCCCCTCCCATCATCGTGAGATCCCCGTACGTTGCGCCAACTGCATGTCCGTCACTAAACCACCTCCGTTAATTGCTTCTCCACCGCCCCGTTCTTGCTGTCCCATCCCTCGCCGAACACTGAACCCACAATCCCACTCTTGCTAGCCCTCCCGTCTCCGTCTCCGCCTCGGCACATCGGCCACCTTTGTATCAACCATGTCCGACATCTCCGATGACTATGTCAACATCTCGCCTACCACCGACCTCCATCTGAGTGTCTACATGGAAAAGCTAGCCCACCGCCGCCGTCTGGGAAGCTCCTCAAGTGAGGGCTCATCCAGCGGCGGTCCGTCCGAGGAAGAAAGCAACAATAACACCACCACCACCACGGTGGTTAGTGGCTCGCCCACTCATGTCTATCCAGAGCATACTCCAGACTGGAGCAACCTGAAGGTCCTCCATCGCAACACTCTGCCCCCGCGAAGTTACTTCTTTCTGTACAACAATGAGGAGGACGCCCTGACCAGGGACATCACCAAGTCCAAGTCCAAGCTGCTCTCCGGAAAGTGGAAGTTCCACTTGACAACCTCGCCCTTTGCTGGACCCCGGGACTTCTACAAGCCCGATTTTGACACCTCGGAATGGGGCGACATCGTCGTTCCCGGCATGTGGCAATGCCAGGGCTACGGAAAGGGCCCGCAGTACACCAACCTCAACTTCCCCTGGCCCGTGGACGCCCCCAACATCCCGTACGATGATAACGAGTGCGGCCGCCACGTGACCACATTCCACGTCGACAAGGACTTTGCCGAGGACAACCAGCTCAGGCTGCGCTTCGAGGGCGTTGACTCTGGCTTCACCGTCTGGGTCAACGGCCATGAGGTCGGCTACTCCCAGGGAGCCCGCAACCCCAGCGAGTGGGATGTGACAGATTTCATCAAGGTTGATGCTGAGAATACCCTCGCCGTCGAGGTCTACCAGCGTTGTGACGGCACCTACCTCGAGGACCAAGATCAGTGGTGGCTGAGTGGCATCTTCCGCGACGTCTACCTCCACGCCTTTCCCAAGTTCCATCCGGAGGACTACCACGTCCACACGTTCCTCGACAAGGACTACAAGGATGCCACCCTCCGCGTGGACATCACCATGAACCGGGGTGCCTACGTTGACATGAAGCTCCTCGACGCCGACGGCAAGCTCATCGCCAAGGGCATGGAGATCTTTGACCGCACCAACCGCTTCGAGGTGCGCGTCAAGAACCCCCACAAGTGGACCGCCGAGACGCCGTACCTGTACACGCTCGTCCTCAACTTCCAAAAGTGCAGCTTGGTCCAGCGAGTCGGCTTCCGCCAGACCGAGCTCATCAAGGGCGTCTTCTGCATCAACGGAGAGCCCGTCAAGTTCCGCGGCGTCAACCGCCACGAGCACCACCCTGATTCCGGGCGCGCGGTGCCTTATGATTTCCTCAAGCGTGACCTGCTTATTATGAAGCATTTTAATGTCAATGGTATTCGCACTTCTCACTACATCAACGATCCCAGGCTGTACGACCTCGCTGATGAGCTTGGTATCTGGATCCTTGATGAGGCTGATCTCGAATGCCACGGCTTTGGCGTTGTCGGCATCGACGGCCACAAGTTCGCCTCCGATAACCCGGAGTGGAGAGAGGCATATGAGGACAGAGCCAGGCAGATGGTCATGCGTGACAAGAACCACGCCTCCGTGGTCCTGTGGTCCCTGGGCAACGAGTCCTTCTACGGGCAAAACCACCAGCACATGTACGACGTCATCAAGAGCATCGACCAGTCTCGCCTCGTCCACTACGAGGGTGATGGCAGTGCTCAAACCGCAGACATCTACAGCCGGATGTACGCTTCCGTCGACGACATCGTCTACCAGGCGTCCGAGAAGGACTGGAGGAAGCCGCTGGTCTTGTGCGAGTACATCCACGCCATGGGCAACGGACCCGGCGGCGTCAAGGAGTACATTGACGCTTTCTACGAGCACCCTCGTCTGATGGGAGGTTTCGTTTGGGAATGGGCCAACCATGTAAGTCATCGCACTTCCCTCGTATGACCACATACTAACATCCGCAGGGCCTCCGCACCAAGAACGAGGAAGGTGAAGAGTACATGGGCTACGGAGGCGACTTCGGCGACGACCCCAACGACAAGAACTTCGTCTTCGACGGCCTCTGCTTCGCCAACCACACCCCGACCCCGGGCCTGCGCGAGTACGGCAAGGCCATCGAGCCCGTCCAGACGCTCGGCATAAAGGGCAACGAGGTCACTATCATCAACCGCTACGACTTCGTCGACCTCGACCACCTCACCGCAACCTGGCACATCGTCGGCGACGGCCTCGTCATCGGCAGCGACCAGGAAGTCGAGATCCCCAAGGGTGTCCGGCCACACACCAAGGCGCACCTCAAGATCAAGGGCCTCCCCAAGGACCTCACCGCCGAGGCCTACCTCCACATCGACTTCATCCTCACCGAGGACACTAACTGGGCCAAGGCCGGCCACCGCGTCGCCTTCGGCCAGCTCCCGCTCTCCAAGCCCCCCTCCATGGCCCGCATCCTCTCCACCCTCTTCCAGCCCTTCGTCGACCCCGTCCCGACCATCCGCCAAACCGACCCCTCCACCCTCAGCATCACCTCCTCCACGGGCCAGTCCACCTGGGGCCTCGACCTCACACTCGGCACTCTCACCAGCTGGAAGAAGGCCGCCCGCCCGCATCTCGACCTCCTCACGGAGCCCTTCGTCATGGACTTCTACCGCGCGCTGACCGACAACGACCGCGGCGGCCGCTTCGGCCAGAACTGGGCGGACCGCCGCCTCGACCAGACGCGCCACCACGTCAAGCGCGTCGAGTGGCGCAAGGAGAAGCACGGCCTCGTCGTCAACGTCCACTCCCGCATCGCGCCCCCCGTCCTCGCCTGGGCCGTCGACACCTGGACCACCTTCACCTTCCACGGCGAGGCCGTCTACATCAAGATTAAGGGCAAGCCCAACGGGCCGCTCCTCCCGGACACCTTTGCCCGCATCGGCCTCACGGGCGGCGTCAAGGGCGTCGAGACCGTCGCGTGGTGGGGCCGCGGGCCCGGCGAGAGCTACTCGGACAAGAAGCGCGCGCAGGCGTTTGGCAATTGGGAAGAGACGGTCGACGATCTCTTCGTTGATTATGAGTACCCCCAGGACGGCGGCAATAGGACCGATGTCCGTTGGGTCGAGCTCCGCGGTCGTCTGCCGGACGAGAACGGCGTCGTGGACCAGAGCGCGCCGCGCGAGAAGCTGTTGCGCGCGAGATTTGGCGACCTAGACGGCGCGTCTTTCTCGGCGATGCATTACACCACCAAGGATCTGGACGAGTGCGAGCATCCCTACGAGCTGTACAAGCGCAAGAGGGAGGACACGGTCGTCAGGCTGGACTGGAAGCACCACGGTCTGGGCACAGGGTCTTGCGGCCCGGCGACGCTGCCTGCGTACGAGCTCCATGCTAAGGAGTTCGACGTCGAGCTTGTGTTGGATTAAGTGTGTTGAGAGAGAACATGTGTATTGTATTGTAACTGAAAACGGCCCGTTGGTGCTAAACATCAAATTGAGAAAAGTGTGTACTGTTCGACCAATGTTGGTCCTTTGCGGCCAGACCAAAATTACCAAAATTGTGAGGAGTGTGCCGTAGTCCGAAATTCGTCACCACTACAGCGAAGCCGACGCTATGAAGCTTGATCGCAAGCTTCTTCACGTATACTGCCACGCTCCAAGCTTGATCTCACTCTCGTGCAACTCCAGCCCCTCGAGCCGTTCACAATCACCCCGCCGCGCCCTCGCCCGGGCACTGCCCGCGACGAGCACCCACGTCCCCGCGATGTCGGGGTAAGGACAAGCGTACACACCCTCGCTGGTGGCGTTCTTAGGGTCGCAGAAGTCGAGGAGGTCCGTCGGCGGCTCGGCCTCGCACGGAGACGAGGGCTTGGCGGTGGTTTTGTAGAAGCCTTCCTGCAAGGTGGAGTTGGGAGGGTAGCCGGCCGAGTGTGCCTGGGTGAAGTCGACGAACCCCTCAGGATCGACGTAGATGTCCTGTCCGCCTGGGACCATGACCTGCCGTGTGAATAGTCAGTGAGCAGTCCAAGTAGGCTTATCGGGAGACAGGGGGATCAAAGTGAGGTCTTGGTGCCCGGAGAGAGGGCAAGAGAACGTACCATCATTCCCGTGAGAAGTCCGCTGACGGTGGTGATGTTTCCGGGTGGGCAGGAATCACGTGGCACAACGTCGGGGCAGTAAGTCATCGGGGCGTCGAGGCCGATGATGAAGCGGCGGCCGCTGGCGTTGATGGGTTTGCCGTGGATCGCGCGGGTTGCGGGTGCGTAGGCGGTTAGCGTGTATGACTCGGCTGCTGCGAGGGTGATGATGCAGCTGAGAGAGAGCATGAGAGAGAGGATGCTCGATATGAGGCCCATTTTGGTCGGCTTCCGGCGAGTATGGAGTGGCAGAAGGAGGGTTCAGAGTGGAGGGACGTGGGTTTGGGTTGGCGATGGATGGAAATGGTGTTTTGGCTGGGTGAGTGAGTTTTATCATCGAATATCGGGAAGCTTTGATGAAGGAGACACAGAGGTGTCCCTTCCCGTCCAAAGGGGTTGCACCAACATCGTGAGGTGTACGAAGGAAGGGGCGGGGGACGCGAAAGGTCATGAGTGTCTGCGATTCCAGGGAGGAAAGACCGGCCAGAGACAGAATCATCCATCATCGGTCCTTCCGTCGAGAGTCCTCTGCCCCTTCCTTCATAATCGGATCTAGACCCAATGATATGTTGCATGAGGGATCACGCGCGAGGAAGCGTCGAACCGGCTATCTCTGGGAAGAAAGCACTCTCAGCTCAGCCAGTATGTGATACCTTCCTGTTCGGATGGTCTTCACGGAAATTGAAACCGGCTTCACAAACGACTGTGAGAATGGCTTTCTTCATGACCTATCTGTGCTGACTTCAACACTAGATCTAGATCCTACAGGTGCTCCACGAAAGGACCAAGTCAACTAGACGTACCACGGTAGAAGGGGATGCTGAGCCGGCTGCTTGGATTCATGAGAGGTAATCTAAACCGTGCAACATGAGAAGGCCTCGAACGGTTTGGTGTGCCCATGCACCGCAAGATTTGAAAATGACTTTCCCGCGCTCAACGTACGTCCTGAAATAGTCATCCCCAACAGAGACATCAGGCACGCCTAGATTGAAACGGTCCAAGACATCTGCAACGTTCGCAGTGCGCGTATTCTTTCCGCTTCAGATGCTGCTATCTTTCAATAATCAAGCGGTGTGTAGCTGGAATGTGGAACACGGATGGCCCGGAGCTCGTTTTCGGGATTTTCTGCAGGCCAGAGGGTCTACACCAAGCACCCAGCTTAGTTTGCATATCGTGCAGTCAATCAGTGCTTCATGTGAATACTTTTGAATTAGAAACTGTCGTAAAATGAATTGTATGTCGCTCCGTCTACCCGCTCTGCCACCCCGAAACGCCCAGAACGCCTGCGGAATCCATCTATCCCCTATACCCAGTAACCCCCATCCCAATCACAGCGACTCCTCCTTGTGAATCTCAATACCAGCCGGCGCCCCAACCAACGTCTTGCACTGCGCGTAAATCACAAACTGCCCAGCGACCAGGCCGCACGTCATGACAATACGCGGGCCCAGCCCCGTTAACAGTAGCCTCTTGGGCCCGAATTCCCTCGCGAGCTGAAACATCCTGCTCGTGGCCCCCTGCTTCGGGTCGCCCGCGCCCTTGTTAATGGCCGACAGCAGCGTGTCTGCTGGGTGCGAGAGCACCGCCGCCGCGACACCCGCAACCACGCCCGACGCCAGTTCCACGCCCGTCGACTGCAGCTGCGTCATCTTGGCCTTCCTTTCGGGCCCCATGGTGCGGTAGATCACCTCCACTGCCGCCTCGTGCACCGAGAACTGGCCCACGGCGTACGGCACCTGCTTAAACAGCAGCGGCACGAAGCCCGAGTAGAACCCCTTGAACCCCTCCTCGCGCGCGAGGCGCATGAATCCCGACGTCAGCCCGTTCGCAAATCCGCGCTGCGAGACGAGACGGATGCGCGTCGCCTCGAGCGGGCACAGAAGGATATCCGCAAAGAACTCGGCAGTCGCGCTGGCGCCGAGGTAGATGGCGGTGCGCTTGTCGACGGCCTTGTCGGGCCCGCCGGCGAGGGTGATGAACTGCTTCTTGAAGAACTCGTAGCCGGCGAACTTGCCGCCGCCCTGGACGAGGTACCCGACCGCCGTGGGGCCGAAGCCGGTGAGCAGGGCCGAGGCGCCCTCCTTGGCGACGATGGTGCGGCCGGCGCTGACCATGTTCAGGCCCTTCATGGCGTCGTCGACCTGGATGCGCGTCTTGACGACGTCGATGGGTGTCGCAGCGCCGTGGGTGAGCGTCGCGGCGAGCGCGCCGGCGCCGAAGAACTTGGCATAGTCGAGGGGTGAGAAGGTCGGAACCTCTGTTTGTGGTGTTGTTTTTGATGCCATCTTGGTGAGAGTGGAGATGTGTCTGCTACTGAGAATCAGAGAATTGGTATGTACGAGCAAAGCAGTATCAAAAGAAAGCGGCTGGTCGAGAGTATTAAAAGGTCTCTCCCGTCATGTTAAAGAGAAGAGAGCTTGCCTTGGCAGGGTAGTGTGTGCTGTGGTGCGTGGTGGACCCCTAGTCGCTGTGCTTGAGCACGCTATGACGTCGTTGTTCCGTCGTGACGGAATCGCCGCCGGAGTGTTCGGGGACGCATGCAAACGCTAGCCCCAATTGCCCAATCAGATTGGCCCTGTTTCATTCGACGGGACTGGGAGAAAACTCGGCGGGATTGACGACATTTTTGGATCACTAAGGACCGCCCACTTTATCGCGGTCTGATAAGCTTTTGGGTGCCGTTCGTCCCGACTCGCGGAGTCGCGCCCCGACGCAGCGGATGCTCCCGCGCCGCGAGATGGACCTGGTGGCTCCGATGCCGCGCACGACGTCACCCTGGATCCGCCGGGATTATCTTTTCACCCCGTCTGCCGCGGTCTTCTCCGATTTATTGATGCTATTCCCAACCGGCGATAGGTATGTTTTGGTTTTTGGCCCCCCTTTCATCTTTCAGTATTCTAGAAGGAGACAATTTTCGCTAGCGACATAAAGCCACGGTATCAACAGCATTTTTCAAGGTTGCAGAGTAACTGAGAAAAGGCACGCCTGGTCTAGCGTGCCGACATACTTAGGGCATGCAGCCCCGTTCATGAGCCTCGGGACTGTTGCGAGTGCGTCTCAGAAGCACCAATCTGTCGATGGCTGAAGTAAGAAACATTAACGAGTTCATTAGAGATTATCAATTCCATAATCGTAAATGGAGGGCCTTTAATAGATTTAGACAAGTAAAATATCTCTTGCGATCTCTTTTCTCTTCGTTCAAGTGTTGTGGGTTCCGAGAACCCCACAGCCCCGGTTGAATGAGCAGGCTTGGTCGCAGAGGAACAATTGAAGCCCTCCGAACTAACCGACGGAACCATCATCGACCTCAGTCAAACCATGGCAAAGGTACAATACACGGAGGAAAAAAGAAGAAGGAAAAAAACCTGATGTGGTGGGGTCTTTCAGCACAGTTCTCAGACAAGAACAATCACTCGTTCCATCTCGTAGTCTTCGACATCTCGGCGTCGAGCTCTTGTGTCATATTCGTTTTTGTTCGATGCCATGGATTCAATCTCAGCTTTCTTGGCAATGCCAACACGACGAAAGACTGTGGCATTTCTAAAGTCCTCATCATCATCGACAGGCATTACCAAGAGGCTAACATTATGTTTCTCGGGGAACCTGTAAAACGGTTGGATGCCAGTAGATGGAGGCCTCGGGGGTGTTTTCCCAGATTCCAACATCTCGAAATGATAGGCCTTTGCTCGATATTCTGAAGCATAATCAAACCATTCTGTTATGCCGGGCTCCCTAGGTTCACGGGCACTGAGAACCCCTCTGAGCGTGATGGAACCTGATGTGTTGCTGTGAGATCTATCAGTGTTGATGTCGACCGAAACAATGGATGACTTTGGCATCATTTTTCCCGGATGTCGCAGTAACTGGTAAGATACCTCGCCAGAGCGAGTCCCCCATGTCCATGACGGGCCCCCCATGTCCGGCTCGTCAGCCCTCTCGAGTCTCCAACACATACTGGGAATCAGCTGTCTACTAGTCCATAACCCACCGGCGAATTCGTCCCCGCCAGCTTTGCAAAGCACCTTGGAGATTGCCAGAAAGGCGGGGATTCTATCAGAGTGCTTCGTTAACTTCCTCCGAGTGAATTCCTCGACTTGCAATTGCCACACTTCAATGGGGGGTGCATTGGTCTGATGAGACAATTCTTGTCGCTGAAGGGTCTTGACAGCTGCTTTCAGTCTCCGCCTTTCGTTCAGCTCCGAGTGAGCAAACTCGATACACAATGCATCAGGATCCGTTTCGAGGCGATACGAACAAAGACACTCCCAGTGCAAGATACCGGGGCCAAAATAGACCACGCGTGTGCTCATGAGGTGTTCTTGTAATGTCCAAGCCCGTTGATGCACTGGACCTTTGACTACGCACTCTGGATACTTATGGTAGTCGGAATAAGCCGCAAACTCGAATATCCTCTCGTTAAAGGGATGTCGATACTTTTTCGGAAGAATGATGTTCAATGGTATAGGCCTAGCAGTTCTCCTTAGACGTGGCTCGAAGAGGCTGTCCATGGAATCTGCTGCAACAAGACTCGTGATTGTCAAGTCGGCCTGGGAGTAACGGTCGTGCATTACTGCCGCCTCACGGGCCCAGTTATCCGGATCATCTTGTACGATACAAAGTGCGTCGATCCATATGTACTCGTAACCCAAGGTTCTCGTAGCTGTCACAGCCTGACGAAGGAGCGTCGGGAGCGTTGCCAGAGGGATGCTTTGGGTGCGTTGTGCGAAATTCTCTCTGGTGGTTATGGAGTTTCCCGCGTGACCCCAACAATATGAAAGGATACAGTAAGGCTCCTTGAGGCCATTGCCTTCGAATAGGAGTGGCTCTCTGTCTTCAGAACCCACACATAATACTCTGGTCGGTTAACTACTGCATGTTCCAGATGGGCCGTATGTGTCTCGGCAGAAAGAATGCTTCGGTGAGGTCTTGCATATCTGGAGCCATTGCTTTGCGACGCTCAATGCTTTTGGCGAGCCGGTGCTCGTATCATCACAGCGGCTGAGAGGATCTTCCTGGTGAGTCTCGAATCCTGTGTCGTAGGGTCGCAAGTCGAAATTCGCCCGTAAAGATTTTGAATCCCCAACCTGTGCGGTGAACAAGTTTATTCGGCGTGGATCGAGTGCCTCCTCAATAAGGTATTCAGGCTGTGGGAGAAGATTCAGAGCAATTGGTGAAAGCTCATGATTTTGGCCATTTTCGCCCTTCTCATCAAGCTCGCGAAACTTGTCAGAAATAGTCAGACAAACGGGACACCCAGAAAGCGCACAATTGTCCAGTTCCTGCTTGTTCGTATGGAAACCGGCCACTTTGCCATAAGCCTCATACTTCGCAGCGGCTTTATCCCGGGAGAACCTTTCGATAAATTTCTGAATTTCCAAGCATTCCGGGCAGAAGCTCTCGCCAAGAGCCAATCGTGGGATTTGGGAGACGCCGTGAAGACTGCCCATTATGTTGTCGACGAGGTCATTGACGGCGTCCACGTCCCACCTCTGATTTCGAGAAATGTTCAATCTAGAACATAGGTGTTGATATGTCTCGTACAAGGCCTTTTCCGGAAGGACTTGATTGCTTGAAACGACAGCAAGAATTCGCTTAGCCAAGATGGCCATATCCTGAGACATTGGACGTGAAGATGCTCCGACGGATCGCATCAACGGCGTAGGTAGTTGTCTGTACTCATCTGACAGAAGCCTCTGCAGAATGGACTTTTCCGAGGCCAGCAAAGCCAGGTCTGTGATTGACCATTCGTAATACGCGGCAGCCTCCAAAATGGCACCTTCCTCGAGCAGGACGAAAAATGTTTCTTCGTCTCCTTCGTAAAGAGCTGCGTGAAGAGGCACCAGGCCGTCTTGCGACGCTCTGTTAGGGTCTGCACCATGACGAATGAGGAAACGAATACCCTCTAGGCTCTGACGCTTAATGGCCTCATGAATAGCAGTGCGTCCTTCCCCGTTGTAGATATTGGGATCTCCACCGTGATGCAGGATGACTCTAGCCGACTCATAATCAAAGCAAAGGAGCGCGAGGTGAAGAGGCGTGTTCCACCGTTGCCAAGTGTATGCGTACTGATTAGGCGCAGTTGTTGGATTTGGGTCGATGATATCCTCAAAGGTCCAAAGCGTGTCAGGATCGAGACCGTTTTGGAACGGTTTTTGAACAAGTCCCGATGCAGAGCTTCTTCCCTCAGCGTGGAACCTATCCCTGAAATGCAATTTTGGAGGGTATTGAGACCTATTGAGAGTAGTCAGATTGGACCGTAAAACAAATTCTGTGAGCACGTCTCGTTCAATGTACCTGTGACGATCTTCCTGTTCCAGTCTTTCTTGTTGTTCATGGTATAGTTTGCGCTGTTGTCGTCCAGCTTTCAAAGCCGCCATCTGTGCAGCGGTTGCCAGCATGACCGCTGAAAGTATTTTGAAAATACTGAGATTCTATCGAAGGCAGATTGCTGAAGGACGGTAGCAGAGTAGGATCTGCGACGTTTCCTTACATTTGACGCTCGCAAGATAGCGCCTCTGAAGCTTTGAAAAGGGGTGGGCTTGGCTTTCGAAAGATGGCTGCTTTATATGGGACGAAAGTCAGGTGACTGTCATTTAACCATTGTTTTCAGTGAGGCAACCAGTGTCTCGCTGATCTGGTCGTAGTTTGTCTTACCATCAGCTTGGCTGCTGAGAACTTGCCCGATTCAGAGAAACGAAGTCAATCAGGCTACCAACCATCAAATCACACCACACCTAATGATATTCTATCACTAGGCAGCCGTTGTCTCAACTAGCTGAATGGTTTCTCACAAACGACCTGGCCGCTAACAGTCTGCTCCAATATAGAAAGCACGATGTTGTAAGGATGCGCGCCACGAAAACGGGCGCATGAGGTGCAGAGCGCAAATAGACATATCGTTCGTGATAAATTGCAATGATGTTTTCATTCATATTGAACATAAAGGTGGCAAATAATTTGTCATGTGGTCTCGTTTTGGATTTCATCGACGTGAAGAGCATCACGTAGACTCCAGGAGACAATAGCTATAGAATTCCACTGTTATGAGAGAGGACCTCTTAGCAAACCATCCCAGTATAGCTTGCCGACGGCGAGGGTGGTCATGTTCTTAACCGAATTGAAGACCACTCGAACAAGCCTCAAGGCACTTGTCATTCTCTTGCATCCTGGTATCCCGCCCTTCGTTGAATCAGCAGTCAGAAACTCGTTATCCTTTGGCTTACATTGTGTTAATGGGAAGCACATACGCAACGGCCTGGCGCGTCTTCAACACCATCAGATGGGACCTCACCATGGTACCGGTCCAAGCACTCGAGCAAACCTCTTTGGCCTTCGTCGGCCATGCATGGGGGGCTTAGAGACGTGACATAGGTGTCGAAGACCTCCAAACAAGGGCAAAGAAGACGAACATTCTCGCCATCAACCGTCCAGCTCTTCTCTCTCTCATTATTGCAATCGTGATTGAGGTCCCGATGTGCCTCTTCCTGACATACTTCGGAGCCGATCCCTTCGCCAGACACCTCACCAGCTCAGACGAGGTTGCGGACGTGACGGCGATGATGTGGCGGACCATAGATTGGTGCTGCATCTTCTATGCTATGCCTACGATGCTAGCGACGGTTTTGCTTGCGACGCGTCCGTGCTGGTACCTCTGGCAGATTCTAGCTGGCGACTTTCTTCTTGTGTTACTCTGGGCAATTGTGTGTCGGACGGCGAGCCTGTCCGCTAACCAGGCTTGACTTTGATGACAGGGAGGATGAAGCTTGACGAGTTTAGGGGCTAGCTATGAGTTTACTTCCGCTCGAGTTCTCACCGGAAATTACTCGCGTGTTTCGTTTCAATTTTCGAGCTCGTTGCAACTTTTGAGGCTGAACATCCGTACGCCCTGATTAATGCCTAATTTGCCAACATTGCCATGAGCATCGTGTTCGCAGCTATTACGAGCACGTCGCAAACCTCGCTATTTGGCATGGACCGCCGGATGATCGGCCGACAAAATGTTCTAGCCTCTCTTAAATAGATTGAAAGGACCACCTGATGGGGCCGTCTCCTTAAATCCAGGCAACGACGCGTGGGATGTTTCTGATGTTGCTGCTGCTGTTGGTGAGATTTTTGAAAGGTGCATAATTTCAACTAAAATTCGAACGGTAAAGTCGGAAGACGTAGAATGACAGGTACGAAGTGGAATTAAAATGAAGGGGAGGCACTAATCGTTCAAAAGAGCTTCATTGCCCTGTGTTCTAACCATCTTCCTTGGCAGCAGCATACCCATCTGATAGAAACCTGTTTTGTTCATTCTTTTGGCCTGCACTTTCGTTCATCCGATCATTCGCTCTGTCACCGTTGCACTATTTCATTCATCCTGTCGCCAACTTGAGCGAGATTAACAACCTCTGAAAATCACCTTCATAATGATTGCTGGCCAAATCTACCACTTCGCCATTGCTCTTCTGGCAACTCTCTTCGCTGTTGCGGAGGGTAAGGAGGCCAAGGCCTGCAAGGCACATAGCGTCAAGACTCACCATCACCATACCAAGCATGCCCATAACTCGACCGCTTTTGGTTTCAGCTTGCCTCCCAAGACTTCCACTGTTCTTCTCACAACGACTCTGGCCATTCTCGTCCAGCCCACCATCCAATCTTCTCAGGTTAAGGATGCCGAGGCCAAGACTTCTCTGGGCAACCCTATCACTGCGCAAGAAGCGAAGTCCGGGGCTGTTTCCACGACCGCTTCTACTGCTGCGGCTGCTGTTCAGACGACCTCGTCAGAGGTTGTCTATGGTCAGGGCACCCGTTACGGCCTCTCTGACGACTGCACCGAGGAAAACTGCTGGCAGAATGGTGCTTGCTCCTTCGTGGACTACGAGCTGCCCGCCGGCCTCGATGGATCAACCTGCGTGTCGGATTCCATCTTCGGCAACGGCGAGAACTGCGGCGGCTGCATCTCTGTGACTTACAAGGGTAAGACCCTCAAGATCATGGTAAGTGCAATCGAGACGAAACACTCCCCCACGCGAGATTTCCACTTATTGACTGACACGACAAGGTCACCAACCGAACCGGCGGTAACGCAACCCACCTGGACATGACCCCCGATACTTGGTCCAAGCTGACCAACGGATACTCTGGCGGTGGTGTTGACGGCATCGAGTGGGAGTGGATCGCCTGCCCTCTCCCCGAGTCTTCTCCCCTCCAGGTTCACATGCACAAGGGCGCCTCTCAGTACTGGTTCGCGGCCACGATCGAGAACGCTACACTCCGAACCAAGAAGGTTGAGGTCAGCAGCGACGAGGGCGCAACTTGGCAGGCTGCTACTCTCCGAGACCCCAACATGTGGGAGCTTACTGGCACTCTCCCCAGCGCTACGGCCTGGGTCCGTGTCACTAGCATCAACGGCGATGAGGTTATCGTCAAAGATGTGGCTCTTGCGTCTGGAAAGGTTACCAAGGCCACCGAGAACTACTAAAGATGGTCGCGCGGCGTGGCTGTCACGTGTGTGAGTGGGTTTGATACTCTGGGGGTTCTTACAGTTCCTTTCGTGGCCATAGGATGGCTGTTTCCCTTTCATTTTCTTGTATATTGTTAAAGAATCACCGAGAATATTTTAGATTTGAGCAATGATATTCAAGCTTTTGCCAAGAGAGGGTCGGCCTCTCGTTCCCTTGGCGAAAGCACATGTTGGTTGATACAAGGCGGTGCCGCTGATCAAAGGGTAAGCTACATCAAATCATATCTTCTTGAGATTTGATACAAGATAGTGTCTGATCTCCATGTTAAATGTCTGACTTTTTAATGTTTGAGGTTCTTATTGCACACCATAGCCTGCATCAATTGAGACGATGGTGTTGTTGGCTATCGCTGAGAAGAGCCAGCCGACAGCCGGCCGGGCCTAGATTCTCATCGTGACACTGCCGCAGGGGGCACATGACGTTGGAAGTTAGCGGGGAGACCCCCGGACTGACCCCGCTGCCGGGATGGAGCACGCTAAAACAGGCAACATTTGGCGGTCCCTATCCTCCTCGTTCGATTTCTCCTGTTTCAACAATCTCCAACTCACCTTATCGCAAACGATTTTCAAGTTGACCGCCGACCAGACCTAGTCTGCGAACGGACGCGACAGACATCTCGTGTTGCTATGTCTGAACGTGTCATACGCAGACGTAATGTTACTTCGAGAGACCGCACCGGCTGTGTTACCTGTCGCGCCCGCAGGTTGAAGTGCGACGAGAAGAAGCCAAGCTGTAATAATGTACGCTCTCCACTTGTCGCGGCAATACTAGCCCGTTTACTGACAGACCATTTGCATGTAGTGCACGCGTCTGAATCTCGAGTGCGGTGGTTACGTTACTCCCATTAAGTTCAAGGACCAAACGGATCTGTGGGAGCGAAAGCAGAGGAAGAAACGCGAAGCCAAGAAGGCCGCGAGTGCGAATCGCCAGAGCCCCTCATCACCTGCGCCGTCGCGAAGTGACCCGCCACCAGCACCAGCACCACAATCATCACAAACCATCATCAATCTCGACGATGTTCATGATGATACGTTCTTCTCTGTTGACGACACGCAAGATTTCCTTGCAGGCTCACAGGAGCAATCGCTCTACGAAGCCGCAACATCGCTGGCACTGATTTCAGAGGGAATCTCGCGTGAGACTGGTGGTCACGCAGGTACAGAGGTTAGCGAGAGCTCACTGCCCCATTATGTTGTCAACTCTGTGACTAGAGCATCAGTCAACGTCGACTCTTCATCAATACATGCTGCTGGCAATGAGATGTCACCAGTATTTCGTGGAAATGAGCACCTTCCAAGTTGCACTCCGATATATCAGCCCCAGGACTCTCCCAGAGTCTGGGACCCGCATCTCGACGAGTCAAATCGGCAGCTGACTTCACTGCCGACGATATTACCTGGAATTATTGAGAGCAGCAAGTTTCCAGAAGACATGATCTACTACCACCACCTCAGAGACAGCTCACCTTATGGCATCTTGTCAATCCTGTCCCTCAGCGATATTCTACAGGAGGATCAACTCGACAGCGCCTTCTTCCATGCTGCGCTGGCTTTGTCGGCCCTCGACATTTCTCAGTCCAGACCTTCAGAGACTCTTGCCAGCAAAGCTGCGTTGCAAGCACTGGATCACTTCGTTGCTGCCCTTGGCACCGTGCGAATGGCGCAGCTGGATGACGAAGGCGTCGCCACAGGATGTCCATCGAACCAAGATAACGCCATATCATGGCTAGCTACTGTCTTGTTACTTGCAAACTTCGAGTTGCAACGGGGGCAGATGAAGCTCTGGTACATTCACAGCAGAGCCGCAGTCACATTCCTTTCGCAACATCTCAACCGCGTACGAGAATCACCCGTGGGGGAGTCTCTCATCCGGTCCTTCTCCCGCATCGCCGCTCTCCTAGATATTTTCGACCGAGCCTACTCCGTCAGATACAGCATTGCATCACCAGACGTCTCAGACTCACTGACCTTGTCGCTTGTCAATTCGCCCCAGTCAGCAGACAGGTTGTTGTACATCTTGCCCCGAGTGATCAAACTTGAGGAAGAATGGAGGAGTAACCCACAGCATGACCTACACTGGCGTAACCAAGCAGAAGATCTAATCCAAGAATTGAAGGCGTGGAGGAACACATTGGACGATTATGATGTGCCGGCCTTGCACGAACACACAGCAAATCCTTTCGATGAGACCGCCGAAGGCCCTGGCATTGCGATTAAGCCTCTCAGTATCCCTCGCGCGCGAGAGCCCGTCAAAGCAGCGACGACGTTCATGCACTACTTGATCTCTCTACTACGGCTAGAGACACGATACCTCCCGGGTGCAGGACGAGAACTGCCGCCCAACGCGAAGAAGATCATCCTTCTCGTATGCAGGTTAGCAGCCGGTGTCCCTTATGCATCCTGCGCCGCGGTCAACGCATACGGGCATGGCATGCTTCCGGCAATGATGAATGCGTATTACATGGCAGAAGACTTAGACCTGAAGACATGGATCAAGGACTGGATCGCCGGGTTTCCGAGGGATCGGGAGGGCATCTGGAACGTCCGCCACGCCCACCGGGTGCTGCGATACGTGGACGAGGAGTACACTCGCCGCGGCTCACGACACAATTGGGAAATTATCAAAGTGCGCATGGTTGACCTAGAGGATGACGCCACTCCTGAAGACGACGAGGAAAGGGACCCCGATCGGTTCTCGGTCGAGGTGTATTCGAGGTGTAAGCGGGGGTGGAGCATCGACTTTGTAGAAATACCATAAGAGGCAATTTTGACGCATTTTGGCAGAGTGGGTTCGCTGATAGCTTGCGATAGCGTAATGAGATGAAGAGATGGGTCAAATTCCCTCGGCAACCCCGTCGATGACCGATTTTTCTGCAAAATTCGACACCGAAAGGACCCGGCGCCGGCCGAGGCAGACTCCACTATTTCCACTTGTCGCGCTACGTCCGGTGACGGCCCATTCGTTGTGGATTTTGTTAGCGCCCTCGTTCTCCTTTGCCCGTTTGGGTAAATTCATCCCGGCGGGCAGCCCACGATGGCCTCGGGATCATGCCAATCACGAAATTTTGGACGCTTGCGCTTGCAATTGCGAACGTTCCGCCTCTGACATGGGCTTTCTACTTTCGGACTCACTTCCGACGAGACTAATTTTTGCATATTGTGTTGGTGAAGGTTGCTTTATCATCATCGCCAGCACACATCTTTAACATCACCTATACCCACCGCTGTCCCAAGTTTTGTCGGTCAATCTTCCAGATTTTCGGCATCACCATCACCATGAGCCCCAGCGCGACAACCACAACACCCGGCGCAACCGCGCCGGCGGCGAGCGAAGTTGCCCAGAAGCAACAATGGGGAGAACTCGACGCCTCAGCAATGGTGAAGACTCTCGTCCCCGAGACGGATCAGCGTCCCGTCCCCGCCGTCGATGACCCCGTTCGTATCGGTCAGAACTGCACAGCAGCGCATATGGTTCAAGTGCCTTGGTCGATGGAGACAGGTTGGGGGACACCAGTCATGAGCCCGTATGGCAAGATCGCGCTAGAGCCGACGGCCAGTGTCTTGCACTATGCGACAGAATCTTTCGTAAGTCAATCTTGTGGCTAGACTTGGGGTATGTTATCCAAAGACTTCGAATACTAATAATTGAGGGTACAGGAGGGCATGAAAGCCTACCGCGGCTACGACGACAAACTCCGCCTCTTCCGGCCCCAACTCAACTGTGCCCGCATGGTCAAGTCCAACGCAAGAGTCGGTCTCCCCTCCTTCGACCCCCAGGGCCTCCTCGATATCATTACCGCATACATCTCTGTCGAATGCCGCCGCTGGCTCCCCGACCAGGGCTCAAATATCTACCTCCGCCCCGCCATGATCGGCAGCGGTTCCGCTCTGGGCATCAACCAGCCGCCCGAAGCCCTGTTCTTCCTCTTTGCAGTTCTGTTCCCGCAGGCATCGCGTCTGCCGCACCCTGTCATCAAGCTTCTCGCGAGCAGCCCGGAGCACATCCGTGCGTGGCCCGGTGGTTTTGGATCTGCAAAGGTGGGCGCCAGCTATGGACCGTCGATGGTGTTGCACGCTGCCGCGAAGGCTAAAGGCTGCTCGCAGACGCTGTGGCTTTTTGGGGAGGACAGGTTGGTCACGGAGGCTGGCGCAAGCAACTTCTTCGTCGTTTGGAAGAAGAAGGATGGCCAGGGCATCGAACTTGTGACCAGTTCACTTGACACGGGAGTCATTCTGGACGGTATCACGAGAAGGAGTGCGCTGGAGATTGCGAGAGAGCGCTTGACGCAGGAGGCTTCAGGGAAACACACGAGCTTGGATCCCTTGGAGGTCGTCGAGAGGCCATTTAGCATGGACGAGATTATTGAGGCACATGCCGAGGGAAGACTTGTTGAAGCTTTCGTCACCGGTACCGCGGTAAGTTCTCCCTTGGTCTATTGGTGGTACGCATTGGTGTCATGAATACTTTGCTGACAGGTCTTGATTTAGATGTTCGTTACCCCAGTGTCACTGATTCACTACAATGACCGGGATATTAACCTCCCGATGACTGTTACTGATGATGGTCATAAAATTCCTCATGCGAAATACTCGTCGGCTATCAAGGCTTGGCTGGAGGACATTATCTACGGACGGGTTGATCATGATTGGGGATATGTCGTTGAGGAACAGTAGTTGACTGGAACTTGGATGAGAGCACTATATACTACATTGATGAGCTTTTATATCCAGCCTAGAAACGTGCTGGATGATATTTGGACGTAAGATAAACAGAGTAATGATACACCCAATGTTTTCAAGCGGTGAACTCATTTGTATGGATTGCTTCCATAAGGTAAGTACGCGAGCTCAATTGCGACCGAACGCGGGCACGAATTGGGCAGTTATAGGAAATGAGAATACGTGTTCCTCAATGCCACATACAGGTAGAACTAAGCATTTGTCAAAATGTATCAAATTCTACTTACTTTCACATTCTTTTGGGATAACACCTTGAACCTCCGTCAATGGGGGATTCTCCTAATTTAATCTGAAATTCTAATATGACGCCAAACATGAACACCTTCTTTAAAACCCTTTCTAATTCCGTCATGACGTTATGGTAGTCGAGAAGAAGTCGTCTACCCTTTTCATGGCAATCAACGCATGATTCTAAGGGTTTACACTCATGTTAGCTGTGGACTGAGCAGTCAGGAGTGAAATATACCAACCTTCATAGAATCGTGTGTCAATCCTCCCAGGTGAGGTAGCAAAGTGACGCAATCATACTTGAGCAGCCTTGAACTGACTTTGGGCCTTTTCGTCCCGAACATCAGCACTGGGCATATGTAAAAACAAGAGAAGGCGCTTACTCGTTGTAATGAACGTCAAGTCCAACGCTGGATATAACCCCGCTATCGATGGCGTCACACATAGCATCCTCATCGATACACTTTCCTCTTGCTACATTCACAATCCTCATGCCCTTCTTCATATCCGAAAAGACTTCTCGTGAAAGCAGGTGATGGGTTGCCGCAGAGTAAGAGCATGTCAAGACTAGGCAGTCAACGACGGCAACAAGCGCTTGCAGATCCTTGTGAAGGGTTGCAGATGGAATGAGACCCCTTATGTATTCATCTTCGTGTTGAACAGTCTCAAGAAGCTTCCTCAGATTCGGCCTGTCAATGCAGTGAATCTCCATACCTAATGCTGCAGCCTGACGCCCAACAGTCTGTCCGATTGAGCCCATGCCGATGATGCCCAGCTTTCTGCTGTAAGGATCTACGGCTGTCTGGGCAGAGTGTCTAAGTGCTGGAAGAAACTCGTCGTTCCGAAGCATGCGCTCGTATCGGTTTAGCTGACGGAAGACGGAGATGATGAGGTAGGTTGCGACGACGGCAGTTGCTTCGCTACCGCCTGTCGTGTTGAAGAACTCGATGCCTCGAGAATTGAGCCCTGAAACGTCTTCTTCCTCAAATCCATGACCAAAGTTGACGATCAACTTCAGCGATTCGGGTAAGTATTGCAGTGCGCGTCTGGTCCAGCCGTTGCCAACTTTCTCGATCCCGGCGGGGACATTGAGACCGATTCGCATGATCCCCGAAATATCATGGCAAGTACCACCTTTCAGAGACTCATGAAAATCTTTCGTAGTTGAAAAGTCATATTGGTGAACAATGTATCGTGTACAGAAGTCTTCCCAAACAGTGTCAGGAACGACCCCTTCGGGCGAGCCAATGACGAGAACCTTCGGGTGTGATGCCATGGGAAGGAATTTGGAGATAAAGCAAAGTGATGAATTTGGTGAAATTAGGCAAAAAAAGCCTGATTGAATTGGAGACATGCAGTCATTCAATTAAGTTACCAACAAGTTCTCTTCGCATTTAATGCCTTGCTTCCTGTGAAGCGCTTAGCAGCTGCCTCTTCGTAAAAGACTGCCTATTCGGGTAGATCTTTTTCAGTGGAGTCCGATCTGATAAGAGAAATGCACCCCTGCGAAAGATCTTATCCGATCTCGCTTAGCGTGGGGTCGCATGAGATGAGCAGCCTGGAATCCGTCATCAACCCCTCCTTTCGCGTCAAAATTGGCGTCGTGACTGATCGCGGTCGAGGAAATTTTCGAGGTTGCTCTCGCACCAACATCAGCTGAATACCCCATCGACTTGCCGCAGAGACCGACGTTGACTATGGCTGCAAGGGCTGACGCTGCAGGCGATGGCCTTACTGGCTTCTACGCGAAGTGGGTTTCCCCCTGAGGACTTTGAGGTGATCTTGAAGTCGCAGAACTAACAGCCATTAGGGTTGACGAGTTAGAGACTTCTTTCATCGAAAGTAAGTGATTTTTGTTTAATGCAAGTTCCAATAGTTCGAAGTTCACATCAACTCACCGACGATGAAAAGGACTGGAAGAAGCAGTTAAGATCCCTTCGGTATCTGCTTACGCGGAACGAAGAGAAGATGTTTTCATAGTAGGTAGTATATCTGTCTCTCAAGATGAATTAAATTGACAAGACTATTAGATGAGCGAATGGATTGCTTCAAAGATGAGAGATCTAGGAGTGGAGGTCACACTGAAGCCTTTAGGGAAACAGCAAGACAAACCGGACCTCGAGTTGCCCCCTCTCGTTTTGGGTCGATATGGTAACGATTCCCAGAAGCCGACCGTTCTCGTCTACTCTCACTACGATGTTCAGCCTGCTGCTCTCGAAGATGGTTGGAAATATGACCCCTGGGTTCTTACGATTGAAGAGAATGGCCGGTTATGTGGCCGAGGAACTTCCGATGACAAGGGCCCGCTGATAGGATGGCTCAACATGATTGAGTCCTTTCAAAAGGCGGGAGTTGAAGTTCCGGCGAACCTTGTCTTCTGTTTCGAGGGTATGGAGGAGAACGGGTCCTTTGGTCTGCGCAAAGCCTTGGAGGAAGAAGCGCAAAACTTCTTCAAAGACATTGATGTGGTCTGCATCACTGATGTCGTTTGGGTCAGCGATGAGCAGCTGAGCATCCCCCAGGGCTTGAGAGGAATCATCTTCTACCTGTTGACCATCACCGGCGCCGAGAGAGACGCTCATAGTGGTGGCTTTGGTGGGCAGATCTCGGAGCCGATGACCGATATGGTCAACATCATGTCCTCACTCGTGGATTCGAACGGCAAGATTCTTGTGCCGGGTATCTACGACACAGTGCAAGCCGTGACGAAAGAAGAGTATGACAGCTACAACAAGCTAAACATCTCAGACGATTCCTTGCTCGGGGGAACGGGCGCCAGAAGCCTTCACAAGACTCAGGCAGACGCTTTGATCGCGAGGTACTTATCATCCGCTGGGCCTAACTTTTGACGTGAAATTAACAAGCGCCTAGATGGAAGAAGCCATCCCTCAGTCTTCACAGGATCGAAAACGCGACGCCTGGTGCAGGAGCTGTGACTTCGATTCCTGCGAAGCTTGTTGGCAAGTTCAGCATCAGGACAGTTCCCAACATGAAGTCACAGGATATCGACAAGCTTGTCCAGAAGCATATTCGAGAGAAGTTTGAGAGTCTCGGAAGCAAGAACGAGTTGGATATCAACTGTGCCGACCAAAGTGACTGGTTCTACGAGAGCGCCGACCACTGGAACTACCAAGCCGCAATCCAGGCTACTCAGAACGTATGGGGTGTTGATCCAGTCCTCACATGCGAAGGCGGAAGGTAAGGAGGCATCATGCAGGGTCGTTTACCGCAAGCTAATTCTGGACCAGCATTCCCATTGCATTGGACTTCAAGCAGATTCTTCAGAAGAACGTGCTTTTGCTTCCCGTTGGACGACCCACTGACGGCGCTCATACCATCGACGGTGCGTTTTGTTATTCTTCCAGAGTCCAATATTTGCTAATCATTTTCGGTGGACTGCAGAGAAGCTGGACAAGAACAACTAGTAAGAACTGTCGATTTGCACAGTCCGTTTCGCCTTACTAACGACCCCAACAGTATCAACGCTATCAAGTTGTATGGATCGTATCTCCAAGAGGCGCAGAAATTGTGGCGTCAGAGCAAGGCGACAGCATAGCTCACCAGACAGTATTCGCAAATCGTGCTTTAAGTAGGCACCTCAGGACAATCAGAACATGGATCCGGCTACATCGCAGAAATCGAGAATACCCATTCCAAGAAGAACCTCCACTCTCGTGTCGTCGTGACTCGTGACCAAATCGAAATGCGCTCTTTCGGCCACCAATCAGTCTCAATCACCGAGCGATACCTGGTTTCTGAGCGCGCTAAAGCAAGGATCGTGGCGGATGGCAGAATTGCCCAAATAGGGAATTCTGAACGACAGAAATGAGGGGCATCAATCGTGCGGGGCACACCGTTGAGATACGACACAGGCTCGTAAAGCGTCCCAGAGAGGAGTCTAAACATTCCCATATGTAGGCACATTTCCTCGACATTGTTTTCTGTTGAAATGAAAATCGTTTTTGAATTTGCGATTCCACCGCAGAGCCATTAGCCTTCACTTGATCCTACTTCCCTTCGTCGCGGGACTCAGTCGGCCAGAAACGGCACCATGTGTCGACATCAGTCATCAGCGGTTATAGACGTGAACACCAATTCCAACTTCAAGGAGGTCGTCACAAAACATACCGAAATTGATGTGACAATCGACTTCGAGCGAACTGTGCTCGTCGGGTCAACAATCATTATTTTCGAATCAAGACTGGCGAGTCTGACTGAAATCACTCTTGATACCAGCTATTTAATCGTGAGACAAGCTACCATCAATGGCACCCGAGTTTCTTGGGACTTGAAAGCCTCAAAAGACGCCAATGGCAGCCCCCTTCATATCTACCTCGATCGCGCCTACGAAAATGGAGAGGCTTTCAAACTTGCCGTAAGCTCTGGCTCATGAACTAACGTGGAACTCTGATGCTGAGTACACTCTCGTAGATTGACTTCGAAACAACAACGGAAACAACTGGCCTTCAGTGGTTCAAGGCTTCGCAAACAGACGATAAGAAATATCCTTTCGTGTGTAAGTCCCCAAAACAGACTATTGGCTGTTATCATCAGCTTATACATCGCTGACTTGATGAAGTTTCCCAGGGAGAGCCAGTCCACGCACGCTCCATGTTCCCATGCCAGGACACTCCATCTATCAAGACAACTTTCGACATGACTATTCGGTCCATCTTACCAGTTGTCGCGAGTGGTATTCCTGAAGATGACCTAATCTTCCCTCCCGTCCAGGAGCCCCTAGAGCTCAAGACCTACAAGTTCAAACAGGAGATCCCAATCTCTAATTATCTGTTCGCGGTGGCTAGCGGGTATGTGTGTTACTCCGACCGACTATGGAATACAGCTGATGAGAATCTCTTAGGAATCTTGCGGGAGAGAAGATTGGTCCTAAGAGCTATGTTTACTGTGCGCCTGGCGATCTTGAGGCCTGCAAGGCGGAGTTCAAACCCGATTTGCAAGCCATAATTAAGTCTGCTGAGGTAAGGTAGCTGGCTCATCGACGACCTCGCTGTGATGACTGATTTTGTTTATTTTTGACTGCAGAACCTCATCTTCGAGTATCCATGGCCGCTTTACAATCTCGTTGTCCTGCCAAAGTCGTTTCACTTAGGAGGCATGGAAAACCCAGTCTTCAACTTCTACAGCGCTACTGTTGTCTCGGGCGACCGTGAGAACATTGGAGTCGTGGCCCACGAGTTCGCTCACAGCTACAGTGGAAACCTTGTCACTAATGACGCCTGGGAGCACTTCTGGTTGAACGAAGGATGGACTGTCTACATAGAGCGTTGCATCCTGCGAGACCTCCGCGGGGAAGAGGCAGTCCAGCTTGAAGCCATCGTGGGATGGCAAGATCTGCTCTACAACATTGAAGCTTATGGTGGCAACGAAAGCGTGTTCACAAGTCTCGTTCTAGAATTTCAGGGAAAGAGGCCTGACGACATCATGTCGAAGATCTCCTACGAAAAAGGCTACACCTTTTTGTGTTTCCTGGAACAGCAGGTGGGGAGGGAGAAGTGGCACAAATTTGTTCCTCACGTAAGCGATTGTTGGTTCTGCAATTGTACAAGATACTTATGATGGCTTTAGTACTTCAAGACTTTCTTCGGCAAAAGCGTCAACTCTCAGCAATTCAAGAATTGCGTTCTGGAGTTCTTCTCTCAGGACGTCTACGCCGCAGCTGCCCTTCACACAGTTGACTGGGAAACCTGGTATCACAAACCCGGTGCACCGCCAAAGCCTATGTTCGACTCCAGCCTCTACAGAGATTGCATTGAATTATGCGACAAGTGGAAGATGCTTAGTTCGAACGAAAGCGCCTTTACGCCCTCGTCTAAGGATGTTGAGGGCTGGACGGTTGGACAATTGTTAGTCTTTCTCGACCTTCTGATTGAAAGTTCCAGTCCTATCCCCAAACAGTTCAGCCACGCACTGGGTTCACAGTATGGTTTACTGTCCTCAGGGAATCTGGAGGTAGTTAGTCGCTATCTCCGTGTTGCACTGCGAGCAGGCGACGAAAGTGTCTTGAAGCAGACCGAAGAGGTTCTTAGCCAGACCGGCCGTATGAAATTCGTCAAGCCACTGTAAGCTTTCTCATTGCAATGAAGTTTCTCCCGTGATAGCTGATGTGATGTACCAGATTTGAGGGGTTGTTGTCGGTCAGCGAAAAGTTGGCTGTGGAGTTGTTTAACAGACATCGCGACTTTTATCACCCGACATGTTTGAGGTTGCTGAGAAACGTGCTTGAGAAGCATGGACTAACTGTTGGTTGAAGCGGATGTTCGAAAAGTCCCTCAGGTTTCGTCTTCATACATGTATTTTGGCCATAGGGGTCTCTCCAGCTCAGGCTTTCCTGGCCTTTCACACATTTTCCCGTCAGAATCAAACAGCAGTCAAAAAAGTGCGCCCGCAGACGATACCCTGCCGTATGAAAGTATGGAAAAAAGGTTGAAAGCGAAGAAGATTGGGTTGGGCTTGTGGAGACATAATCGACATCTATATGGCTACTGGCTGCATGTAGATTTGAGCCACAACTAGAAAAGCCACTTGAGATACCGAGGTAGACTTCATCTTACGATGCTATGTGTTTTGAGTTTTATTCGGTCATACACAAACGTTTTCTAGGGTGTCTATCACTTGTGAAAGAGCAAAGTGATCCTTTCAATACAACGCGACTAGTATCCGACTTATCGTAAGTGAAAAGGATATAGTTTCCGAGCCCCTGGTGGTGGGAAACGCCACTCGGCTTTATGCACTGTAGCAGGTGTAAGCCCGATTCTCGCTTACCTCCCCGGGCCCAACTCCGAAGCAGCGCAAGTGGAAGCCGGCTCGCGACCCGGCGTTAATGGCTGTAGAGTACTCAGCCGTCGCGGTAGTTAAAAGCGAAATATCCATTATTATTTATTTCCCTTGCAGAATGAACGAATCTCTTGGCATCGGCATAACACTACAACCATATTCCCCAAGATAAATCCTATCCCTGCAGTATGTCGTTTCCTTACAAGCAAGTTCTCCTGGTGGGTGCCACTTCCGGTATTGGCGCGGCCATGGCAGACAAGCTTGTTCAGGAGGGCATCAAAGTGATTGCAGTCGGTCGTCGCCAAGAAAGACTTGATGCGTTTGTCCAGAAGCATGGGCCATCCAGGGCAGACTCGATCTGCTTTGATATAACAGACCGAGCCGGGTTGGATAACTTCGTGAACGAGTAAGTTCTCTAACATTACTGTAGCGGGTTAGACCGCCGAACTAATGAAGTCAGAGTTTGTCGAAAGTTCCCTGAACTGGATTGTGTGTTCATCAACTCAGGCGTACAGAGCCAGATCAGGCTTTCCCGACCCAGTAGTGTGGACCTGGACGCATTTCGCACCGAGGTCAACACCAACTTCCTAAGTGTTGTCGACATTTCCATCAAGTTCCTCCCGAAACTCCAAGAGAAAAAATTTCCCACCGGATTGATATTTACCGGAACTCACCTCGCCATCATTCCCGCTGCCACCCTACCGGCATACTCGGCGTCTAAAGCTGCGCTTCACTCTTACGTCTACAGCCTTCGAGAGCAATCGAGGGGTTCCAGCACTAAGATTATTGAGATTTGGCCACCCGTTGTTCAGAGTGAGTGCAAGGCAAGGGTTCCTTACCTCCACGCGCGACTAACTTTGGCAGCTGAGTTACACGACTACATGGGCCAAGAGCGAGGCCGATCTATGGGAATGCCTGTCCAAGAGTTCACCGAAAAAACATACTCTCAACTTGTCAGTGGCTGCGATGACGTGCTGGTCGGTTCAGTTGGTCGAGAAAAGCCTTATTTGGAGCTATTCAGGTCCCGGAAGCAGCAGGCCGACGACCTGACAAAACTAGTCCTGTCTCATTTTGAGCTGTAGTCCTGTTGGGAGTGGCAGATCATCTTCATGGATGGGTCATGAAAGAGCTGAATGCAGATGACAGCCACAAAGAAGGATTGACACCCCAGCATTCCGTTGGGTGGTGCATGACGTCGCACACCCTTTTGCGGGGTGCAGCGATGCAACCGAGTTGAATTCCTTGTCAATCCCCTTGCGAGCCAATGAAAAGCTTCTGGAAAAGGTTTGGGGAATACGGAGAACAGTCTGGGGTATGTTCGTACCCACGTCAATACCCCGACGGGATGGTTTCAACGGACTTGAGCCTCGGCCTGTCAAGGTGGGCAGGCTATGGGTGATTCATGTGATGAAATCGAGCCCAGCAGCGGGGAACGGCGCCCACCAAATTATCAAGGTCAAAGATGCCGATCAAAGTCATACGTAGTAGGAAGTAGGCCAAACTTGAAGTACACCAAATCAATTAACTGTCCAATGCTTGCTTGTACCAGCATAAACTAAATATGTAGACAAAAAGAAGAGTCTTAGTCGTGATCATACGTCATGAGTTCCAAGCTTGTGCCACTACTTGTCGCCAAAGTGAGTCGCCGGCCATCGCCTCCTCCACGCTGGTCCGAAAAAGTAAACCACTGGAATAAATACAGCGAACGCGGCGATCAGCCCGGTATAGATCATCATCGAATGGAAGTATCCCATTTCGACAACCCAATCAGAGATCTTGAATGACAGTGCAAAGGCCAACAAAGCCCTGAAAGAGGCGATGTTGACCAACGCAGGGCCAGCAAGATGGGGGTAACATTCCAAAACGTAAACTGCGCCGATGGAGTTGGCACCCAAGAAGCCAAAAGCCATCAAGCCCAAGCCTGTCAGGAACGTGACCCAGGAATAGTTCGCCTGATTTGAGCCGGCCAGGCCGAAAATGACGGCTCCGATAATGCCAGCGAGGGTCGGGATGATGAGATTGATGAGCTGGTTCTCGGGCTCTCTCACACCGCGCTTCATTGCGAGGCGGTTGGCCGTCCAGTCAGCAGCTTTGCCAGTCACCAATGCGACTGCGACGGCTGCGACAAGGATAGGGAGGAGGCAAAGTCCAAGGTTCATAAAATCCCATCTAGAAGATTCGTTAGTCGTGACATAAATGTAATGACATGTTCAATGACTTACGACCACGGTGCTGTCAGAAGAGCGGGAGCAACGGTGTATCCAGCCGCAAAGGCGCATGCAATCATTACACTGTTGAGCATAGTAATGAAGAAAATCTGAGGGTAAAAGAACGTGCGAAGGGTGTCAACGAAGGCGTTAAAGCCCTTGCGCCACTCCATCTTGCCGTGGAACATGGCGATGTTGTACCGAAACGTTCTAGGCTCACGCAAGTGCCCGGTCTCATCCCGGGGGACGCCATCTGAAATAGAGTCAGCTTTGACGTTGCTAATTTAGTTCGTGATGAATTTCCGGCTTACTCATTTCGGCACGTGTGCGATCCCACCTCGTCTCGGGCATGAAGAAATAGATACCAACGAGGAAGACGGCAGCGCCCATCGCGGTGATGAAATACATCCATCTCCAGCTAAGGTTGATAATCATGTACGGAGCCGCGATTCCGAGGACGATGATGATCAGACCCTGGGCCGCGAAAATGCCAGAGATCCAAGCGTTACGTTGATGGACGAAAACCATATCCTGGATGATGAAAGGAATCAAACTTTCGACAGTACCAGCGCCCAGGGCTTGCAGGCAACGAGCCAGTAAGTGTGATGGCAGAGATCGACTGGCTCCAGCCCACAAGGCACCGATGATGGCGAGAACACCGGTAATGAGTACCACCGGACGACGGCCGATTGAAATGGCCAGCGGTACCAAGAAAAGGTTGGAGAGTCCGATGACCAACACGGGAAGGGATGCCAAGAGATAGACGTGGAAAATTGGTGGTGCCCCAGGGAAGCTGGAGAGAATCTTCAAAGGATCAGTCCCGGCGGGAAGGCCTCCGTTAGACGTCAAGTCTTTGAGAATCTTCGGATCGAGACCAGCGTACTCCACAGCAAACACTGGGAGCATAGCACCCAGAATCAGCTCAGCCGCCGCAGCCAATGCACCGAAACAGCAGAGGCAGAAGGTTCCTAGGAGTTTTCGAGAGATAGGAAGATTGAGGGGATCTCGCGGATCCTTCGTAGGTGCGGGTTGCAGAATAAGTTGGCCATTTCTGTAAAGAGCCGCGTCTCTGGCTTGTGCCTGCTCGTCAAAGTCAAAGGTGGATCGTGAAGTCTCGACCTGCTTCAGTTTCTGGATCTCAGTCGATGAGCTATTGTGTTTCCGGAACCTGTCGGTCTGAAAGTGATGCTGGTCATTTTTGTCACTCTTGTCAGCATCACGGGCCCAGGATGGTTCGAAGAGGCTGGAGCCGTTAGATAATCGTGGATCGTGAGTCGCCGGGGGTGGTGCCACTCTTTGATTTCTTTGTGAATCCATTGTTGTTGTGTAGTGTAATACGGCGTGTATGGAATGCAGGTTCGGAAGAGGGGAGGCCAGATGAATTTATCGGGGGAAATTGACTTCAAAAAAGTTTAATGGCTTCGAGGGCCTTGGTGCTACTACGCCCAATCTAGAGTTAACACAGACCATGGCGCTATGATAACCGAAACATGTGTCCTGACTGGACGGCGAGTCTATGCACCACGAAGAAAAAGGTTAAGCGGATACTTTCTGGATCGTTACTAATTGCCGTGGCGACTGTGCCTGAGATTAGGTATAGTGCTACTGTCGCCACACGGCTTGGTGGCTCTGCCCAGAGTGGCTTTGCAGAACAATCAGATGAAAGGAAGACAAAGAGATGCATCCACACAGACGCTGAATTCAACATCGCGCCCTTACCCCGCAAGGCCTGGCCCACCGCTCAGCTTCCGAGAGTCTAAATTTGATCTCCCCCTCGATTTGAGTTATTCCAGTCATAGGATGTTTCGTATATGTCATTAGATCCGTGTTGGTGCATACTTATCTCCTTCGATATACCGTCCTCCAGCATCCTCGGCAACAAGACTGGACGAACACATGCTCCGAAAAGCTGTTCTTGATTTGCCCATTTGGGTAATATCGTTTCATGGATGTCATACGGTCGTCATGCAAACAGTCCAGCTGCCCTTTTAAATCCCCAGAAGGGTCCCCAATCAAGGGTTGCTTGTCTGTTTGGCTTTTGTCGGGCAGTAAGCGATGTGGGGGGCTGGTTTGACCTGTGGGGGGTGGTCTGGGGATGATCTGGGGAATCTGGGGAGAAGGCGAGGTCATTTTTGACGTCAAGGGCGAGAGAGCATGAAGGAGGTATACTCGGTATCTACTATTCCCTTGCTAAGTGAGCTGGATGGAGGGTTGGCCCGCAAAACAATTGTGACTCCGACCTAGACAAATTTCAGCTCCCACAAATCGCCAAGTCTCGAGTTATCCTCCGCCAGCCCACCATGAACGATGACGGAGTTCTGTGCAACGTCGGCATCGAACCATCCTCTGGGATCAGGATGACCACCTTGCGTTTCGACCTTTGCCCACGTCTGTTCCTCTACATCAAATGCCCAAACATCAGCCAACATCTTCCCGGCTCCGGCGTGGCCAAGGGAGCTTGGGTCCCGCTCTCCGAACATAGTGACAATGTGGGTCTTCTCTTGGACCCTTACGGTGACCAAGGCCGAGACACTACGGGATTCAGGACCACTGATACCGTCCGGAGCGAAGGCAACCGTAGTCCAAGCCTGAGAAGCACAGTCAAAGATGTCTACGGACCCGCCCTGCTCGGTCTTTCCATCAAACCCGTTCATCCGATAGAGCTTTCCGTCGTGGTACGTGATTGAGGGTCCTCCACGCGCTGGCGGCGGTGCGTCAGGAAGCTGGGTCCAGCTCTTAGACGTCAGAGTGAAACGCCAGAGATCAGCCATACGTCCCTTTTCCGGGCAGCCAGCATGGACATAAACATTATCAACACCATCAGACGCAATGGAGTGGTAGCTGCGTCCAGCAGGAAAGGTGGCAGACTTGTCTCCGGCGGGCTCGATCAAGTCCCATGTGTTTGTGGATGGGATGTAACGCCAAACGCATCCATTCTCCTCGATGGGTTCCATCGCGAGACCACCACGGCCGGAGAAGATGTATAGGGCATCGTGCAGGACAACGCTTGGGGACCCAACGCGCGGAGAAGGGGCTGTAGAAGGAACCGGAATCGTACGAATATCTGCTAACCCTAAATATCACACAGGACTTCTAGTCAGATATGATACCAACAGCATAAGTGAGAAGACATAGGTCTGGGTTGCTACCTTGAGGATCTTTCAGCTCGACGACGTCAACCTGGTTGTCGACTGGCTCTCTGGGAACAAGCTCGCCCCCAAAGAAGTAAGCGCGGCCGCCGAGAACCGACACCGCCTGAGAAGACCGGCGAAGGCGATCACCAGAGGCAATACGAGTCCAGAGAGCAGATATCTTTGCCATCGTGTTGTTGTCTTTTCGAATTGCTCTGAGGTTCGGTTTGAAAGGTTCTTTCACAAAATGGCCTTGCTAAAAGTACCAAAGAATGCAAGTTTATATCAAGTCGAGCTTTCAATCTTCCTGGACGCGGTTACTGAGGGACATGGAATGGAACTAGGCGATCGGGATGGGCAGTTTTAGCCGGACCCTGGCCCCTACACGGAGGGACGGAGGCTCCGCACCATATTGACACAACTAGAAGAATTGACGCATACTCTCGGCAACCACAAAAGCCGGGTCGAACCATCAAGTGGAGGATCGTTACACAGGTCTTGGTGCTGCTAATTCGGAGTCTGCCGTCTATTGATGGGTTGCAATGCAAATTGTTGAGAGTGAGCCTAAGTAGGGTGGGTAATTAGGATGTAACACACGAACATGAGAACGGCAGGTAACCGCCTATATCCGTCGTAAGTGGCGTGTCAAATATCGGTTAATTTGACAGCATGTATAAAAGTAGAGAATGGTGAGGTTATGTTTGTCCTGGTGTGTGCTCAGGGACCGCACTTGATGCGCCATCCTCACCTCACTTCTGAGCCTCAAAGCAGAACCCATCGGTCATAGGCACATATTGTAACGACAGTCGTGCCGAGTTTTGAGCCATATTTTAACGATGGTGTTCTATTATCTGATTGTATTCATGGCTTTCGACGCCTTAGATGCCCTCAACATCTTCAATATCTGTAACGATACAATGGGGGCTGCGAATCGTTTCGGGGCCTCAATCAAACGGCACCTGAGAGAGAAAGATAAGCAAAACAATCTCGTCATCACTGTTCTTTGCAGCATTTGGGGCGCTATAGTCGGTTTCTTCATCATCTTTGTCTGCGTTGGTGCCATCAAGGCGTATCGTCATCCCGAGAGATACGGCCCGCGAGACGGCTCTGAGGGCCAGACAGCTCAAACTAGAATGCACGGAATTACTCGGGCGATGTTAGCCACGATTCCGGTGATTAGATTGGGAGCCGTGGAACACTCGACTTCTGATATTGAGCTACAGAAAGCTGCGTCCAAAGCTCCGACCAGGACAGTTGGCGAGACGAAGAGCTGCAGTATCTGTACGGAAGACTTTTCCGCCCACGACGACGTGCGCGTGCTTCCTTGCGGGCACGAGTTTCACCTAGCATGCGTTGATCCATGGCTAATCACCAAATCTTCCACATGCCCACTCTGGTAAGTTGAAAACTCGTGTACAGATCGTCGTTCTTTAAATCTGTCGACACTTCCAGTCTTTCATGATGCCGGCGTTGCTAATTCGAATGGAAAAGTCGACATGACCTTGACCCGAGCAAGACACAAACACCCAGACAACATGGAAGCTCAGCTCCACTAAGTGAATCACAAGAGAGAGAAAGCATGCGTCAGACAATCCTTTGGATGAGGTTGGCCAATGCCTAGATGATGGGAGTACACCGGTCGGAGCTTCATATGGCCTGTAATCCTGTATCCAGTCTGATAGCAAAACGAGAACCGTAGCTGATTGCCAGACACTTAGCCTTAAGAATGTTAGTTCAGGAGGTTTCTTTCGTTCAAACGATTTGCTGAGAAAAGATGAATTTACTTCAGTATAACCTCCTACTTCTTTAAAATTAGTCAGACTGCCAACATCCCAGGACTCGCTGGCCGATCGGGGTCAGATTCGTGATGGGCAGCACATTAGTCCTTCCCGTAAGCCGGACATCATGGACCGCACACTCGACAATTCTTCGGATCACCCTTGAATCCATGAGTTGTCCTGGGCGGGCTCGTGTCCCCCCTGCTCCTCTGCTGTGTCATATCCCTCTCGCTTCTTCGTCTCTTTCCGGCTTCGACATCAGCTGCACCACCGGGATGATCAACTGCAAATTCTGTATCTGCCTTCTGGGTTTCCTTTTGGTGCTTTCGTTTCTTGATTTGACGCACAATGCCCCATACAACCCCTATCACGGCGTATACGGGACAGCAGACTACGCCTGCGTAGCCCGGAGCTCCCATGAATGGTTCCATTCCATATTTACCGGTGTCTGGCTTTGAGGCCTCTTCTCTCTTATTGATGTTGCGCGAGGATGTCATGGTCGTCGGTGAGAAAGCTCACAGCGGTAGGTCGCTAGTCCGAAAGTGAAGTCTACGACTGAAGCAACAGCTGAACCTGAAGTTAGCTTGAAACTCAAAGATCGTTTGTATTTTGAAAGACTTGCTCTACGTAGTCAAGATGTCGTCGCGGGGTGTAGTGGACCAAACACCACGAGAAGTATTGCGGGGACGGGGCAGAGGCTCAATGAAATTAGTTGTACTTCGAATTATGCCACGATCCTCCTCCAGCTGACAGATAGTATCATTGTGGCGTTTGAAAGTGTTTGGTCTCGACAAGGCCGGTATGCAACCACCGATTTGGCGTCCAATCACTGCTTTAAGCACATCGCCAAGATTGCAACTTGGATGATTATTGGTAACTATTTGATTACTGCATTGTTCATTTTCGATCACCTCAACATCTGAACCGAATGGCTTTAGTAATGACTCCGTGATGGCTTCACGTTGGGTATTCGAATTGACACAAACAAAGGAAATGCCCCAAAACTAGGCTTCAAGAATTTGAAGCAATGCTATCAAATCTTCAAGGGCGCTGGTCTGGGCCGCTGAATCTAGGCATGAAGCTTACGAGCAGCGGTCAATCGCGTATGTCTGTTGATCAGTAGTTATGCAATATCGACACGGAGTAGACTGCTCGGCCGACTAAACTCTTCAAGGCCTTCGGTTTCCGATACCCAGAATTGTGGACGTCGCGTTAGGAAACGGAGGCCAGCAGGCTCCGATGGGCCCAAAAACCATCGTCTCATTGGATGAAAATGTTACATAAGCGGAGGTTCCGTCCGCCGATTACAAAGAACATCTGGCTCTCGGTTCTCCACAAACCTCCGTTTTTCGAGACCCTGGTCGCACTAGCGGATCAGCCTGCATGGTTGTGGGAGAAACTGATCACGACCGAGGCAAGTTTTGGCGAGTTGAGCCAACGGTCTGTCTACAACTGGCCTGACTTTGGTCAGTAGAAATGGGTCCAGTCATCAAAAGAAGGAGAGATCATTCTCAATCCCGGCACCCTCCTCGTTACCACGCAATCGCTTCCATGGACACTAGAAATGTTGAGCACTTCCCTCGGAAACATCGGTGAGCTGGCTGTGGCCAATCCTGTTACGCTGGATTAGCCTCTGCCTTGAGCATTGCAACGCCCGTTTGCAGCAAACCTATCTCCGATTTTTTTCTACATGACTGCAAGCACTTGTCTTCGTTGAAGAGCCATCCAATACGCCCAATCCTCCGTCTATCACCAGCCTGTCTCCAATTCCAGCCATGGCAAGACTGCAAGTTGCCAGCAGCGAAGAGGGTGTTGGCTCTAATGAGCGGGCACCTCTTCTCAACTCATCTCCCACAAAGAACAGCACGAAGGATGGAGTCCCTCCTCGCATCACTCGTCGTCTATACGTGTCGCACTTCCTGTCCACTTGGAACTCTCGCGTCTTCGAATTTGGGGCCGTGCTTTACCTGGCAAAGATCTTTCCAGGGACATTAATGCCCATGTCAGTGTATGCACTCACTCGTGGGCTGTCAGCAATTCTTCTAGCGTCGGCCATTGGGCAGTACATCGATACTGGTAATCGTCTCAATGTCGTCCGCGTGTCAATTGGTCTGTCTATCCCCTTACATTAGACGGGCTCAACCTGTTAACACCGTGCAGTCTTTCAACGTCTGGTCGTAGCGGCTTCATGTGTCCTATTTTATTTGATGAAGACCAAACTTCTGTCTGGTAAGAGTGTGGACGTTGGTCTACTGGTACTCACTTCATTCTTCGCTTGCATCGAAAAACTGTGCTCCATCATGAACCAAGTTTCGGTTGAGAAAGACTGGGTAGGTGTAACCACGCATTGTAGTATGGGCTCATGCCAGACTGAAGTATGATTGACCGTCATGTCATCCAGGTTGTTGTTGTGGCCGACAATCATACGTCTTCGCTTCGAACCATGAATGCGCAAATGCGCCGCATCGATCTGCTCTGCAAGCTCCTCGGGCCCCTTTCCATCGCCCTGATCGACGGCGTATCGACCGAAACTGCCATCATCTTCAACTTCACCATGAACGTCTCTTCTGTGGTGATGGAGTACCACGCCATCGCACGTGTGTACTACGTGGTTCCAGCACTACAGGCGAATAAGTGTGATGGCCACTCGCCCGATTTGACCGCTATAGGACTTCCTCGGGCTTCAGCTGGTCGACTAAACGGCTTGGGTCAACGCTTGAAGTTCGTCGCGAAGAAGTCCGTGGATGACATGAGACTCTACGTTCTTCATCGCGCGTTCCTCCCATCTTTCGCTGGTGCTTTGCTCTATCTGACGGTATTGAGCTTTGGCGGTCAGATGGTCACCTACTTGCTCTCCACTGGATATTCCGCCACCGAAATTGGCATTGCGCGAACTATAAGTGTAGCCTTCGAAGTCCTGGCCACCTGGGTTGCGCCGTGGCTGATGGAGTTGATCGGTCCTGTGAGGGCGGGCTTGTGGATGAGCAGTTCGCAAGTATCCATGTTGGCAGTGGGAACCGCAATCTTCTGGGCATACCAGGATCAGCCTTGGATTTCAGCGACTGGCCTGGTTGGAGGAACTATTCTCAGCCGTGTAGGACTGAGAGGGTTTGACCTCTGCACTCAGATAATCGTGCAAGAAGTGAGTGCTGCCAAAGCGTAACATATGCCACAGAGTTCGCAAGCTGATAAGTGTGATGTAGGACGTCGAGGCAGAGAATCGTGGTGCTTTTTCTTCGGTGGAAGCAGCTTGGCAGAACGCCTTCGAGCTGTTGTCGTATGCCTCGACCATCGCTTTCTTCCGACCCGAGCAGTTCCGATGGCCGTCTCTTCTTTCCGTTGCAGCGGTTGCAACTGCCAGTGCCGCATACACTATCTTCGTATACCTTCGTCGCGGACATCTGCTACACCTGAATGCTTTGGGTAAGTTGTCCTGCATCCCAATGAGATCCAGACAAGGCGACGAAGAAAGAGTCATCGCAAGAATCACATCAGAAACCGATATCTGAAAACAATCAATTCAAACGCTATGATATACGCCATTCTTTATGTCGCTCAGAACATCGCTAGAGGGTTGGTCGCGTTGGCAGGGCGTTGCTGTGCCACATCCCAGTGCTCCATGATGCAGGTGCCGTCGAACCTGAAGACATCGACAACGGCAAATGGCAGGCCGCCTCCTATAACATCCATTCGGTAGTGAATAAACGCAACATTATTCTCGAAGCCCTTATTCATGATCGTGTTATTGACGGTATTCGGGGATACGAAAGGTCCAAGAACATCTAAAGTGTTTTGTCGGCCTGAGAGGGCGCTTGGGTTATGCTGAATGTAGTCCTCCGAGACGTGGTTGAGCAGGGCCTTGGTAGCGTTTCTGTCCACGTAGAAAGCCTGAATGAATTCTCCCAAAATGACTCGTTGTTCCTCTGGCGTTGCTGACCGAGGCGGGCAATAAGGAGCCGATCCCTGGCGACGGTGTAGGCCGGTAGCGTCGGTGGCCCAGGCGAGAGCGCTGACGCCTAGAGCGAGTATTGCAGAGGCGCGCATGATTCTGTCGGTATTTCAACGAGTGTGGTGGACTAGTTTGTATGATGAAGCCAGGTCGAGTTGAAAGAGGTGATAGCCACTTGAAGCAGTTGTGGAATCTGAGTTACTTATACTCTGAGACGGAGACGAGGCGCAACAAGTGCCGAACTTCAAATAGATGAAGCAGTGCTGACCAAGACCTTTAGAAGAGAACAACCGACGGGAGTTCATCCTAACTGCGCCACGTGCTGCAATGCTAAGGAAGTCTATTCTGGTGGATCCTGGTCTGAAATGATATCAACAGCAATAACTACACTATGATCTTTTCTGCTAGTGAGTCAGGAATTGTAGCGAGGGCTTTGCCTAGAATTGTTCCTTGATTTGCAATGCTCGTCTTCATAATTGTCCTGCCTATTTCGCTCGGTTGATTGAACCACTCTACTAGTTGCCAATCTGGAGATGCTTCCGCAAGTTAATCTGTGGCTTTTGGCGCAGGAACGCAGACTTGGGGCCTGACAATAAGGGATACCCTGTTGGAGATCCCCAGGCGGTCGGCACAGTGCCGAGCTAGTTCCATGGTAACGCATGGCTCTAAGGTTTGGATTGTGGAACCACGGACGGCCTCCCGGTTTAAAACCCCGATGCTTATCTTCCCAGGTTACTAATTATGGTCGCTTACAAAAGGATTAACGGCTGGTATCAAATTGATTCCGAGTTGTAATGTGTAAGTAAAACAGAGGAACGGCAGTTAACATTTGCGACGTAACTTCTTTCGATGGTCTCGACATCACAGGCAGGAGAAAATCACTCAGAAGTCCGCGAAAGTCACTGCAGGAAATCCAAGAGCACTATCGAGTAATAGCAGACATAAGTCTTGTCTATTGCATTGCGTGCATTCATTCCATGGCAGGTTTGGCCGCGACATTACTGAAATTCAGGTATTATGAGCAAGAGCTGCCCAGTATTATTCTGGGATATTTCTTTCATAGCGACCGAGCTGAACGCCATTGTTTACATCCATGGAAGGTTAGCGATCATTCATTGCGACTCGACAACAAAGTGCAATACAAAAGAAGCATGTAGACGTTCGTATATCATGCACGAGTGTGGCGGGATTTCAAATCACTGCACTGCGCAGCCGAAATGATCCAGAAAGGAGGGCCTGACGAATTTGGATGTATTGCGGGTAGCATTGCATCCGATGTCTCATGGCGGAGTACCTGATTATAATATCAGTTCTCTGGTAGAGGGTTTAAGATTCTTAGATGCGGTACTTTGTTCATTTGTCGTCCATGAACTCTAACTTGGGCTGATCCGGCATCAGGGCCGCGGGGCGTAGTCGCTCGCCAAGCTCTGCGTACGCAACTATGCTCTGGTTCTTTGGAAGAATGAAGTACGTAGGCTGGCTGACATAGTCATCTATGAACAAATACTGACCCCTTCTCAACGAAAACATGCAATTCGATTTGTGGACTTGTGTTCCCCCATCTTGGCCGAGAAGTTCGGGGCTTTTAGCGCTCGCATGGTGCTCTTCCACCATTGATGTGGTTGCAGCAAGTCTTGGTCGGGCTTGGCCACTTCTGTTCCGTCTGCAAAATCTCTGCATCTTTTGGCAGTCAACAAGCCAAGTACTACAGCCAATAAATGCCAACGCTGGGCCCATCGACGTCAACCAACTCTCACGTCTGATTTCCGCTAAAACTCCAATTGCCCAGACTTGCTCAGAAAAGCCGAGCGAACATCTCCGCAATTGGATCCTTCTCCCCAAACAGACGTTCAATATGTCAAACAGAAACTCATGTGACGGGATGTCCAGCTTTCAGCTGCTCATTCAACTAGGTGCTCTCTGGAATGAATGGTATAAAAAGCTCGCCCCGTCAATTTTGGAACGATAGTAGCGTTCGTAGCCCGAGATATTTCTTTTGCAGTCCGCTTCAGGAACCCCACGCGATATCTCAATTTATTGGCAAGATGGGCAAATCTTTGATCCAGAAGATCGTCAAAAATGAGGCGATGAAGCAAGACCCCCCTGAGATTTACGGATGGCGGGTCTATGCTCTCGCATGTTCGGCCTGTTTTGGTGGCCTCATATTCGGTATTGACACAGGTGTCATTGGTGGTGTCCTTCGTATGAGCGAATTTCGCCAGTAAGCCACATCCAGTGCCTGTAAGTGCATCTGCTGATATTTTACGCTCAATGGAAAATTAGACTCTATGATCTTGTCGAAAAGACAGACCTTGAACGGTCAAATCTCAGTGCGAATATTGTCTCTACTCTCCAGGCAGGCTGTTTCGTTGGCGCCCTCCTCGCGGCCCAAGCCGCTGATAGGTTTGGTCGTCGGCCTGTTCTTATCTGGGCGGCTGGTGGGATATCCGTGATTGGCGTCATTCTCCAAGCTGCTGCTTCAGGTCATCTCGCGGCTATGTACGTAGGAAGGTAGGAAACCCCTCCCATCCGTTCAGTAACAGTGAATTACCAAGACAGTGCACTGAAGGATATGAACAGATTCGTGTCCGGATTTGGTACTGGATTTGCTTCGATGGTCAATCCTCTTTATGTTGCCGAGAATGCACCGCGCGCTATTCGAGGGGGTTTGACTGGCATCTACCAGCTCTTCATTGTGTTTGGTATTTTCATGGCTTACTGGATCAAGTGAGTACCATGCGTATCTGATGAGAAAATCAATTGACTGTGTCTAGTTACGGTTGCATTCAGCATGTTACCGGTACTGCCAGGTACATGGTTCCTCTTGTCATCCAAGGGGTTCCGCCGGTCTTGCTTATGATTTCGATGTCCTTGTGCAACGAGTCACCGCGCCATTTAGCCAAGCAGGATAAATGGGAAGAGGCCATGAGCGTGCTATCCAGGATCCGTGCTCTGCCTCCAGATCACCCGTACGTGGCAGCAGAGTTCGCTGACATAAAGTCTTCAATTGAGGATGAAAACGCGATCCTCGATGGTATGAGCTTCATGAGTTTCCAAAAAGAAATGTGGCTGGTACCTGCAAACAGGAAGCGCGCCATCATTTCTATTCTTCTCATGTTTTTCCAACAGATGACAGGTTTGTCACACACACATGCATCACTTCTAGAATGTTAAGCTAACGCGTATCGATTGAAGGCACAAATGCCATAAATTACTGTCAGTCTATGCCAATCTTTGTGTTTTACTTCATTATCTTTGCTGATACCCAAAGCAGATGCTCCTCAAATATTTGCTACTCTGGGAGTTGAGGGCTCCGAGAATGAACTCTTTGCAACCGGAATCTACGGCCTTGTGAAGCTGATTGCGGTACTGGTTTTCCTCATATTCGTCGCCGACTCACTTGGACGTCGCAAGTCTCTCCTTTGGACAGGCATTGGCCAAGCACTCACCATGCTGTACGTCGGAGTTTTCGTCGCTGTGGCAAAACCACAGGATCAAGATGGGGGCCAGGTTACACCTGCTGGATATGTCGCTCTTGTCTGCGTTTTTCTGTTCGCATGCATGTTTCAGTTTGGTTGGGGCCCTTGCTGCTGGATTTATGTGTCCGAGATTGCAACCACTCGCCTCCGTGCTACAAACGTCTCCTTTGCCGCGGCGACACAATGGCTCTTCAACTTTGTTGTGTCGCGCGCAGTTCCTCCGATGCTGGAAACCATGGGCACTGGTGGGTTTGGCACCTACATTTTCTTCTGCGGCTGGTGTCTCGTCATGACGGCTTTCGTATGGTTCTTCATCCCCGAAACCAAAGGCCTTTCTTTGGAAGCTATGAATCACCTTTTTGGCTTCCAAGAGGACATTAAAAACAAGCGCATTGACACGGAAAATGCTTCAGTTAAGAATGAGCTTCAGAATGGTGGTGAGTCCCAGGCTCAGCACAGCGGCAATTCTGTACACAGGGTCTGAGCAATTTGCTCACAAAACCAATGTCACATCCAGTTGAGTCAAGAGGTCTAAGCAGATAGCACATTTCTATGTTTAGTGTGCAGTCGTATCTGGTAATACTTTACGTAACGACTTATTTGAATGAGAAAGATACGAGTACAAGACTCTCGACTTTTGCGGCAAATGCTCATACTTAGTTCAAGTGCATCTGGTGAGTATCTGAGCCCTCTACAGAGGCGCGACCGTTGGCCGGGCAGGAAGGCCAAACCGTTCTGGGCATCCCGAGTGCCCTTACAAGATGTAGTGTTCGCCATCAATTGGATCTTCAAAGATGAAAAATCGTAGGTTGGGGTCAATGATATTGGCCTACTATGAGGGCTTCGTGCGCCGTGCTCCAGGCGACACATCTAATCCATCCGCTGACATCAGGTTTTAGGTAAACTTGGCGCTGCTCTGCGGAATGATGTCTTTGTAAAAGATGTCTTCGCAAGCCCGGGTCGCCCAAAGAGACTGGCCAATCAATCGACACATACTTCAGGGCATTGCTGGGGCTGAGACCTGGTGAATTGCCATGAATATAATGGTAGTAGTCCACTGAACTCTGAAATGGCGTTCAGTATTTTGCAGGGGCGTTCGGCTCCAGTGACACAAACCCATGGATGTTGAATACTCCGGTGATGGTGGCGCTCTCAGCCGCAAGGTAGCCAAGAAGACCTCACACCCCTTCAATCCCAACTGAGGTAGTTTTTCGAGGCTAAGAAGCTGGTGAAGGATGGACTGAGCACCTTTCCCTTCTTCCAATTTTATCCTTCACGCTGGAAGCAGGCGCTCTTCTGGTCAAAATAATGCGCTACATTGCCTCGTGGGAAAGTTTTAAGTTCGAGAAGCTTTTTTGGCCGCTCAGACCGTCGTCAGCAGTAAGATGGGGCAGCTCTCTCGGCGAGAGTTAGTTGTCACACAGACCCTTTTGGACGTCCCACAGTACAAGCCATTTCCTCTTTGAGAACGACGAGTGAGATTAGCATCCCTTGGTGGCGTCTGAACATATTTGGGATTCTGTGAACCGATCTGAACCGGCTTTCTGGTTCGCTCTGGAATTTCCTCGGAAGTATTATCATTTTAGACGAGAATCACAAACATCCCTCAAATGCCTCAGCCGGCTTAAACGATTCCCAGCATTCTGTCACATATATGGGAGCAAGGAATCATCCGTGCCATCCCGTACCCCACCCAAGCATACATAAATCCACTCTTCTATTTCCCTTTTCCAACGGAGACACCCACGAAGTCGCTTCCATATATGGAAACAGGAAATTTGCTTTGAAGTGTGGATGGGCTAGTGCGGGGTTCTAAGTCAACTGAACTCAGCTGCTTGCCGCGGCTGACGGGGCATGGACACTTTCCTGCGCCTAGCTGCTTGTCTCCCTGGAAAGAGTTTGAAAGTGAGGCTTCAGCTTCGAAAGCTAAAAGACCTGAACCACCCTTTTAGAGGACGAACTACAGACCTCTACGCCTGACGCGATTCTGTTTCTATGCTTACTGATATTGAATCTCTTCATACCTCATCTCGACTGTCATTACGTGCACTATTTCCCCGAGTCAAGCAAAATGGTCAGACTATTGAGCATTCTCATGCTTGGACTCGCAGTCTTTGCCGCGGCTTCACCGACCGCTTCAGATGCTGCCCCTGAAGACCACTTTCGATCTGGCTCACGCTGCGCTCCTGTGAAGGGAAATTGCTCGCCAGCCTGCGGCAAATACAACTTCGCGTTCGCGGGTTTGCCATGGAACCATCCTGCTATAGCAGCTAGCGGGTTTACCCCACAACAGGTTGAGGCTGGTATCCGGCAAGACATGGCAGCGATTGTGAAGGCTGGCTATAATATCAAGGGTGTGATATTTAGTGAGGATCAGTTGGAACTTTGCTGATTTTACTTGCTTAGCTGTTCTCTTTGGGCCTGAAGATAGCCTAGACTTCCTCTCATCGGAGTTGAAGGGTGTTGACTGGACAGCAGTCGGCGTCGGATTTGGCATTCGAGGAAGCCCATCTCCAAACATCACGCGCCGATTCATGGGTAAGGACTTACAAACCCACCTATCATGGAGATATTCTGACGGGATGGTGATGCAGACATCATCCAACTTTACCGCGAGGAGACCCCTCGTGAACGAATTCTTTTCAACTACTCTCCCGTCACATCTCTCTGGGCGATCCAGCAGTACTTTCCACTCCCTATGAATTGCACCGATAATATGGGGAAGGACTTGGTGAGTGCCATTTTTAAGTAATACCGCTTTCCCCTTTCATACAGCAGCTAACGAAGTGAGTTCAGGGCATCGCGATCAAGTGCAGTGCTTGCTCTCCCCCCGTCTAGGCCGATGTTATCGAAACCGAACACCACATTGCCATAGCCGGTACACACATATAGGATGAGAATATTCAGATTAATTTGATATTTCGTGTTGAGAAAAATGGAATTAATGTCATGAGATACATGAATTGGTATGATTCCGCTTTATTGATCAACCGTCTTCAGCACACGCGCCTACGATCTACGTCATCCAACCTGAGATTATTACCTGAACGCATATGAGTGGGCAAGCTTTTACAATGAATCATTGATAACCTTCAAAATTTTGTTTTCTTTGCGATTTATTTGACGGATCCTTGCCACCTTTGCCGCGGATCTCGCGGCTTCTTGGTTGCGCATGTCTGGGCCAGCTGCAAAACACCTCCTCCTTGTGTATCTACAGCGCGGCCTTGCTGATGAAATATTTAACTCACATTCATCAGCATAGGAAGAAATAATTCTGCTCTTCGGCAAGAGAGAAGGTCCGCGGGTAACGCTTGGGTCGCACGCAATGTCATCAGCGTCGCCAGTGGCGACGCTCTTGGGGCTGCTGAAGCTCACTTCATGTTTGCAAACAAAGCAGATGCGACCGTTCTGTTAACATAGATCATTCTTTGGAGGTCATACCTCACTTAACACCAAGGGAAAAACGAGCCGTTCTAAAAAGTTAGATTTGTCGGGTTGATTTATCGTAACGGTTATTGAGAATGGCCCCACCATGTCAAACCTTCGATGGATTTAAAGTTGCCGTGTCGGCTTCGGAGACTTCGTTCCGCCGGCAACTGGGATGATGGTCTGGCATTTAAAATGTCCGTGAAAGTTATCCTCAATGGCGCATAAGTAGCTCTCGGCGGCAGGCCTGCCCGCTCTTTACTGCGAAGCGATCTCCACCACAGGTCTTAATACCTCGCCATGACCGCAGAAGTAAGCAATTCGACTGAGTGTCGCTTGAGTCAGTCGCTATCCTCTCGTGATGATGACAGTCATGATATCTACACCAATTTCTTGTATCTCGACACGTCATCACCTGGCTTCAACGACCCTATAACGTTTCCAAAAGACCCTAAGGAACGGTGGGTTTCTTTGCCCGATCACATTTCAGCACATGGTTGTGTTACGAGCGAATTTCATAATGCTAATCTAATGTCAGAGAGAATCTGCTTGAACTTCCCGGGAACAGAAAGGTTCTCATTGCCCAGCCAGCTGTTGTGACCGACGTCGGTGACAATATACGGCACTACACACTCGACTGTCATGGTTTTCAATACGTCAATCATACGACCAAGTGCAGCAAAGAGATATTTCTCGACGAAGCAGAGATTAAGGCTAGTTACTATCCAGAGGTTGAGCAACTGATTAAAGACGTGTAAGTCGGTTGTTACTCATTTGCGACCATGAGACAATTAGTAAATATGAAACGGCAGCTGATATACGCAGTACCGGGGCCTCATATGTTCATTTTTTCGATTATGCCGCCAGGGGTCCATTGAATCGTGATGACGGTGACCCAAACATCAACAGGCCAGTGAAGTCAGTCCACTGCGATCAATCCTACGAAGGCGCAAAGCGGGTCGTCATGTCACGGTTACCAGACAAAGCGTTTGCCGAAAAAGTTGTGAAAAATCGAAGGTTCCAAATCATGAACGTACGTTTCATCCATCGGCGTGACCATTCGAGAATGTTGACGAAGTTACGCTCAGATCTGGCGCCCTTTGGAACCAATCTATAAAAACCCATTCGCAGTAACCGACGCTCGATCAATACCAGATTCCGACTTGGTTGCCCTCCCCGTAATCGCCGGAGATTACACTGAAGAAAGCTGGGCTGCAGAGCCCAATCCTGCTCATCGATGGTACTTCAAGTTCGCTCAGAAACCAGATGAGGTCTTGATGTTCAAATGTTTTGACTCTGGTAAGAATAAGGACATCGCCCGTAGAGTACTTCATGCTGCGTTTACGGACGGGGCTCAAGAGCATATGCCCTCACGAGAAAGCTTTGAGGTCAGAGCTGTTGTAGTTTACGATGACTAGCTCATCAGGTCCGATTCATCGTCCCGATATCTCTCATGTAGCCGTTTCTTTTGAATGACACGATATCTGATTACATCAGTAGGCGCTGTGTACTTGTACCAAACTGTCGAGGTCAAAATTGGGAACAGGGGCGGAGCAGGCGTTGATACGGCTCTGGCTGAACACCGTCAGCTGCGTATATTTCAATTGCTTCATGAACTCTGCAGGCGACGCACTCGCGTCTTTGCTAAGCTTTTGCATATCGCTAGGAAGCAAAATTTGCTAGACCTCAAAAAAGCCGTTCTACCAATTTCTTCATGGTCCCTTTCAGGAGTAAAGGCAGACTTAGCTGACATGCATTTATTAACACAACATCGTTTCTCGGGGTCATTTCTTTTCGACGACGGCAGTGTTGGTGATTATCTGAGCGCCTCGGATGACAACAGACTCGAGATAACTCAATACGGAGCTGAAGTGGAGACTTGATATATGGCCACCACCTGTGCTGCACAGTTACCTTGAAGTCCGCTTTGAGAATGTAGCGCGAGATTACTCTGTCCCTACTTGGACGTGGTGGAGTTTATCTGGGGCCCTCCGCAAAGGGGCTGAGCGCCGGGGTCCGATTCAGGGGCCAAATCTTGGTTCGATCTTCAAATCGTGG